TGGTCGCAAACTTAGGAGTGCTTCCAAAAAGATTACCTCAGAATGGGCAACATTCTGTGAATTTGACATGTTGCCAAAATTTAGGATCACTATGGATCATTATCATCATGCCATGTAACATTGCAATCATGCTGCCGTATTTTTGACAATCTGGTTGGCCATCCGCACCGACTTGATTCGTACATCGCCCCATGCCCCCAAAATACTGCGTTTGTGGAGCGAAGAGCTCAGGTATACAAACAACGAGCATGGCGGTCCTAGAAGGACTGCCGCATTGGGAAGGAGCCTGCAAGCAGAAAGGCCAAACTGTATTGCACATACCATCACATACAATCACATACCACATCTTGAAAACAATATTCAATCATATTCAAACATGTTTCAATCAATTTCAATCATACCACAAACACACAACCCTAGTAGAAACAGCGGCCTCAAAATAAGGGACAGCAAATACTTGAATCCTCCCTCGCTAAGCAAGTCATGCTCATCACTCTGGGTGATATCGTATATTTGCGCACGGAATCCATGTCTGCGCCACATTTGACTTAGGCTTGAATCTGAGAAACATGGAATACATATGAATACATCAACAAACCAAACATTGTCAAACTCACTGGCTAGGAAGACCTAGAACCGAGCAAAGCTACGCTGCACGTCCACGACCCCCAAAGACGTCCAGTAGGTGCAAATCTGCCGGGCCTAACATTCAAGGAGCAACTCAACATATTCTAACAATTTCTGACATGAAATATCATGAAATGACTTGTATAATATTATATATGTGACATGACATGAGCATGAAAAAGAAGCATGTGAAATCACAGACATATCACATACTTTGTACGAAATTCTCGTGCCATCAGGAACCCCTAGTTTCAATGCAAGTAGCCGTGCAAACCAGCCATCATCCCAAGAACATGGGTGAGCACTGGTATGTACCAACTTGCTTCAGGAGTCACGGTTGACGTATCCATCTGCATCGGCATGGGCACTGCAAAAACCACAAGCAGTACCACAGTGGCAGCCAAGTAGAGCACGATTTGAACCAGAGTGAGCTGAGGACAGCTGGTTCTTGCCCCATTGCAAAAAATCAAAAAAATGTATGTCTGTATATGTCTGTCCATTGACTGTCCAACGTCTCTAGTGGAGCTCAACATTCTTGGAAAACTGAACATAAGCGAGCCATAATGGGACAAGGAATGACCATGATGGGTAAAGGCAAAGCGGAACCTCACCATGCCAGTCTCCACTGCCCATCCCAACCCTGCAAAGGGCACTGGTGCAGCTTGTGCATTCAGTCCTTCCTGTTCGTATTGTTTTGCCTGGCCAGACGAGAGCCTAAATTCATCTACTATCATCTACTATAAAATGTCCTGCCATGAAAAAATCACAAAAATTCATGAATGTAAGGGTTCACTATGGTTCACTCCCGTTGCCTTTTCCCATTGCTTTTCAGTGGGAGGCCAACGAGAAACCCACAGCCAACGTTGTGACGCTGGATACCTGGACAAAACAAAAGCAAAACCCATTTGATTGATTCTTCACATCTGCAATCCATACTGGGCTACCAACCTCAATCCCTCGTGCCAAGACGGACGAGGTGTCCCATCAGCTTTGATGCCATGGGAAGTGCACCTCCGTTCATGTTTTGAATGGGGCTCCATTGAAAATACGGAAAGATGAAAGCATGGCGTGGCATGGAACATATCTGGAAACCATGGCCGGGCCTGGCTTTCCAGAGTTTATGATGACTGTCCCACTTCGCAGGATATGCAGGATGGCCACAGTTCCTGCATTCCTAGGCACAATGTGAACCGAGAAAAATGCATAAAATATCATAAAAGATCATAGTTATTGAAAAATGCCACCATATGATATGCCAACACATTCCAATCCGTACTGCCCTCACTGCTGTCCAGTTTCGCAACATCCGGACTCTGGTGGTGGTCCAGGCGCGTCCGACATGGTAAATGAAATCAGCGCAGCAAAGCTACTTGCGCACAGCTTTGCACGCACCCCGGTACAAATGTGACAACAATACACAACACTTGAGCCACTATCATCAAATGCCACGAAAAAAATATGATGATCTGTGATACATGTCAACATATGTTTTTTCAACTGTCCAGCAATGTTCAGCATCTCCACCACTGCCCACGTTTGTGCACTCGACATGCATGCACCATAATGCACCCAAAAATAGAGGCACAGAATGGCACAGATATAGGTACATTGGCGTACTCCACCGTTCACCCCGACAGTATGTTCATGTTTCAACACGTTTATGTAGAAACATCAACATTGGTTAGTAATTATTTGTTTTTGGGTTCATTTGTGTAGATTGAAAGGGAGGGGGAGGTGAAAAATGTAAAATTGCTACTTGGGTTCCCAAACTAAAATCTTACATTTTCCACCTTCCCCCCCCCCTTGTAATTGACTCAATATATCGCAATCTTTAACCTGGAAACATAGCCTTGGGGGGGGGGATTTGAAAATGTTAAATTCTCATCTGGGTAGGGTAACTTGAAATTTTACATTTTCAAGACCCCCCCCCCAGACCCTTCATGTTGGGGGGTCAACTGGAATTCTGTTATTGTAAGTTACCTTTTTGACGTCCCCCGGGGTAAAACTAGGCTTAAGGCTGTAGGGATACTGTGTGTAAAAGCTTCTCACTATTTGGTCTTGATACTCCTCTTCTCGACTGCCTATAACACATCTTTCATACATCGTTTCTAAAATTGCGTCTCCATACTAACAAGAGAAGACCCTGCTCCTCTACGCTCTCGGGCCATCCGTCGTCTAGTTGTGAAAAGTTCTTATATATAATATATATTATATAATATATAATTATATATTTTTACGAGTTTGTTGCAGGCTTCGATTGGAAATCTGTCCAATAGTAATCCGCCGACCCCGGCCTTTGCCAAGGCAGGGGCGGCGCCTGGGACCACCGGAGGTGTGGAACTTGGCTCTTTCGTCGCTTGCCACGGCAACAATGGCATCCCAACCCCGCAAGCAAAGTTTGTGGAACTTGGCTCCTTCGTCGCTTGCCACGGCAACACTGGCACCCCCAACCCCGCAGGCAAAGGCACCAAGGCCCATATCAATAGCTTTTTATTGGCGTTCAAGCCTGCCGTTTGCCAGGCGTCAAACCCTCCAAACCCTCCAAACGCCTTTTTGGTACCCCCAACCCCGCAGGCAAAGGCACCAAGGCTGATCAATAGCTTTTTCTTGGCGTTCAAGCCTGCCGTTTGCCAGGCTTCAAACGCTCCAAACCCTCCAAACGCCTTTTTGGCACCCCCAACCCCACAAACAAAGGCACCAAGGCCATCTCAATAGCTTTTTATCAATAACTTTTTATTGGCATTCAAGCCTGCCGTTTGCCACGCTTCAAACCCTCCAAACCCTCCAAACGCCTTTTTGGCACCCCTAACCCCGCAAGCAAAGGAGCTTTTTATTGGCGTTCAAGCCTGCCGTTTGCCAGGCTTCAAGCGCTCAAACCCTCCAAACGCCTTTTTGGCACCCCCAACCCCACAGGCAAAGGCACCAAGGCTAGCTCAATAGCTTTTTATCAATAGCTTTTTATTGCCGTTCAAGCCTGCCGTTTGCCAAGCTTCAAACGCTCCAAACCCTCCAAACGTCTTTCTCGCACCCCTAACCCCGCAGGCAAAGGCACCAAGGCCACATCAATAGCTTTTTATATTGGCGTTCAAGCCTGCCGTTTGCCAGGCTTCAAACCCTCCAAACCCTCCAAACGCCTTTTTGGCACCCCCAACCCCATAAAAGGGGGTCGGCGGCACCAGGGCGTTAGCCCATTCCGGCGATGCCTCGCCGTTTGTGGTGGAAGCTAAGCATAGCTTTAGCTACCCGGGGGCGCGCGCCTGCCGCCGACCCTCCCCTAAAATCCTTCAGCCTGCTGGGGTTTTCACGTTTTTGGGGGTTCGGGGTGGGAAAAAAGAGGGTAAAATTTGAAGATGCGTTTTGGAGGTCCTTGTTGGGCGTTTTTTGGTCGACGTTTGGTCAATTTTCCATAATTTTTTGGTACTGTCCACGCGTAAAAATCGTGTAATTTACAATGTTTTTGTGCCTTTGGCATCCAAAAAAAGCTTCTGACAACATGCAGGAAACTGCGTAAATACCAGTGTTTTTGCTAGGCCCGGGCCACAAAACACTGTAAATACCGTGATTCTTGCTAGCAGAGGCTCAAAACCTCGTAAAATCTCGTAAATACCGTGGTTTTGCGTTGGCGCGGAGCCAAAAACATCGGTATTTACGGTGTTTTTTTGCTCCGAGAATGTGAAAAATCGCGAAAACACCGCCTATTTGGCGCTTTTTAGGGGTTTGCAAAAACCGTCGATTTGACGATTTTGGGGGGTTTGCAAAAAGTACCAACTACAAAGATAACAACGACAACGATAACAGGACCAAGCAGCAACAGCTATAACAACAATAACAACAACAACGACGACGACGACGACGCCGACGATGACGAAGACGACGACAACAACGACAACGACGACAACGACGACAATGACGACAACGACGACAACAAGGACAACGACAACGACAACGAGAACGAGAAGGAGGACCAGAAGCAACAACAACAACGACGACGACAACGACGACAACAACGACAACGACGACAACGACGACAATGACGACAACGACGACAACAAGGACAACGACAACGAGAACGAGAAGGAGGACCAGAAGCAACAACAACAACGACGACGACGACAACGACGACAACAACGACAACGACGACGACGACAATGACGATGACGACAACGAAGATGCAGCTCGCAGCATGTCATGTCCGCAAGTTCAGATGAAATCCCCCTCTCTCTTTCCCTCCCCCGACCCCTACAGGCATCACCGGTGTGCGAAGCTCTACAATTATGAAAAAGCTAAAAAAAAGTTAAACGAAAGGGAAAGAAAAGGAAAAAACAATGGCGAAAAAAGCAACCACAAAAAACGGAATCTCCCTGCTGTTGCACCTGTGGTTCACCCTCCACCGAGGCATCCAAAAAAGACTGGAAGTTCTTCAGTGGCAACCTTGGCTCTGCCGGAAGTTGGCCAAAACTGTGGACGCCTTGTCCGAACTCATCGATGTTGAAACTACCTAAGTACCTAAGTGTAGTGCTTAAGACTGATGTGTGTGGGCAACGAACAGAAGTCCATTGCAAAAGAAACCGATTTCAGGGTCAGGGTTCCACCATGTTCCGATTTCAGGGCCAAAGAAACCGATTCGAAAACGCAACAAAGAGCATGATCTATGGTTCCTTTGGACCAAAGAAAACTAGGCTTGAATTGGCCAAACATCATATTGGATCTTCCTTTTTGTTACATAAAAAATTGAATGACATATATAGAAATCCCAATTTTTCTGGATGATATCTCCAAATACCCCACGTAAAATCATGTTGAGGAGAAGTAGATCACCCGCCACCCAGAAAGACGCGAGTGCGACCAATGTGACTCGGTCGTCGAAGCTGCAGCTGGACCTGTCTTGATCCCAGAGCAGGTTCCCTATACGCTGCGTGTATCATATATGCTATAGGCTATACCCTCTGGTAAACTAACATAGCTATGGAAAATCACCATTTTTTATGGGAAAATCCACTATTGATGGTCATGTTCAATAGCTATGTTAAATTACCAGAGGGTATACTATATACTCTGGCAAGAGTCAGGACTGGTAATTCTCAGTCCTTTCTCAAAAAAAACACTGTTCCAACGTTCGTGGTGAAAAGGGGCACTCGGGAGTGGAACATTACGATGATGTAGCGATTGCCTTCACATTGCGTTCAAATAACGTTGATAACGCTCAAATAATGTTCAAGTTGCGTTCAAACTGCGTTTGAATTGCGTTCAGCGCATCCTGTGGGGCAACAGAAAAGTTTCAAAAAGAGCTTGGAACAACAAAGAACTACAAAGAAAACAAAATCGTGGAAAAGGTCTTTTTTGAGAAGGGACTGATAATTTCCAGTCTTCCTCATGCTTACCAGGTTAATTAGCTATATGGCTGAGCATTTGGTTTCAGTAGAAGTTGATTAAATTCAGACAACAAACTAGCATTTGGGTGTAAATCACACAAGAAGAGGGAGATTGATGGATACCACCATCACCTACCTCTATATTAGCATTAGGTTCACCGAGTTGTAATGGATATATCGACTCAAGTACATAGGATTGAGTCTGGATTTATAAGAACTTATTATGATTTATTATGGAGGTTTCCTAAAATGGGGGTACATACACTTTATCCCTTTATCATGGAAAATCCATCTATAAATGGATGATTAGGAGGTTACCCCCCCCCATTTTGCGAACCCCCCTAATCTACAACTCAACTAAGATTGGATGGTTCAATTCTACGTCTCCAAGAGCCGCTTCAGCCACCCCAAACATCAGCCAATCAAAATGAATTCTAGGCTGGTAAACCCAGCAATCAAATACAATAAACGTCCATAATAAACAGTACCAATTACCAGACACAGTTTTAAGATTTGCGGATTATAAACATTTGAACTTGGAATGTTCTCCAGTAGCTTTACCATATCTGAACGATTAGCAACTATTCAAAACTACACACGAGCCAATCTATGAAACCAAAACAAAAAAGGGGTTTTCGATCAAAACGTTGGGGCACTAAACTCACCAAACATCTAAACCACGATTCAGACCAGACACCAGCTTCAGCATCTCGCATATACGGAGGGAGGGACTCCAAACTTGTGGCCGGAGATCTTTGCTCAACCTGTCTTGCCCGCTTTCAATCCTATCCCCTATTACTAAACACCCCCTAAATGGTCCCAAATCTGTGTAAACCCCCTACTAAAATGTGGTTTCTGAGAGGTGTTAAATATTATATAGGGGGAAGGGATTAGCAAAGACAGGCGCTTTCAGCGCTGGCTCAACATGTTTTCTTAGACTTAGACAAGACCTCTGTTGGCAATGGACCGACTGCCTCAAAATAACAAGTCTGTTCTTTCTTACGGTACGTTTACATTCTCACCTAGCCTCTTTGAGTGATTACCTGGTTGGGAACGGTGCAAGATTTTCAGGATGTTTAAAGGTTAAAGGTTATCTCCAGATATGATGGCTGACGATATTCTTTCCCAATAAAGTAGCCATAGAATGGGGTTATATATGCCCTGTTTTCAGACAATTATAAACAATGATGTTGATTCTACCAATAATATATCCCCATTACATCATCACATCTTGAAATATCTTGGAATATGTTCTATCATGTTCTATCATGTTCTATAGATACACCCGGGGCAATCCATAAATCTGAATTCACTACTTCTACCCATTTTTTCCTGGCTCCTTTAAGCCTCATGTTGCCCTCCGAGGCGCCACGCGCACCACCTTAGGTGGCGGCAACATGGGAACCTCTTGGCGTCGCCCCAGCGGCTCCAACGCCTGGAGAGCCAGGTCCAATGATGACAGATGCCACTTCTCTTCTGGTTAGTAGGAACCCCTAAAAAAAAACAAAAATGGAGAATTGGATAGGAATTTAAGAATGAATGTTGATGAAATGCTCCTAACATGAGAAATAATGACTCTTGTCTTCTATCTTTTTGTTGCTTGGTTTAGCCAGTAATGGATAGCAATGGAATAAATTGAGGTATCTGACCTGCAAAAACTGGGGAGAGCCTAGATATGCTGGGGGCTCAAGAATCTCAGCTCATTGGGTAGAAATTCAACCAAAAAGACAACATATCATCTGGCACATATTACAGTCAGAATTAAAAGTGGGGATCGGCCTCAGGATACAATGAGGAAAGCGATGAAACCAAAAAACATGACCTTAGGTACCCAAGAACTTTGTCGGAGTTTCCAACAACCTACTTGCCCATCTCTCCATATTTGAAGTAGCTAGAGCTCCAGATTTTGATTCACCAGATCTCCAGGATTGCTCAAAACATTAGCTCAGCTACGGTCGAAGGCTCACATCGTATGGCATGCCTCAGCTATCGCTGATCCACCGAATTCATGGTCTGCAAGCATTCAGACTCCAGTGACTTGGAGGTTTTTATCTCACGCATTCCGATGAAATCCCCCTTTAGGGCTTCTTGTCAAACGGAGAAACTCAGAAACTCTTACTACGCATTCAACTCAATACACCTGAAAATGGCCATTCTCCTCCACAAAACAAGTGCTAAACATTGCTAAACCATCACCCAGAACCAAATTCTCTGGTAAGCCACTTCAATTTCGTCCCCGGCAGTGCCGTTGACGTTGGCGGCCGTGATGGGAGGTCCTGTGATCAACTTGATTTTTTGGGCAGGTTGGTCCGAAAGGATCCGAAAAGGAGGTATACACCCCCAACTGATCGCTGAGAGGAACAACTGATGAATGAAGCAGGACCCAACTTTCAAAATCGTTCAAAACCATTTCCCACCACTGTACACCGAAATCGGCTCCTCAAAAGCTCGATGCAAATCCACAGCTTGTGAGGCCGCGGATTCCAGATGGCACACACGAAGTTCCGCCAGTTCTTCCGCGGTTTCCCTCCGTTTCCTCGGGCATGTGGGGACACATGGCAGGGCCAAAGGATGAACATGAGTGTGTTGAACAAATGTTGAACATATACCGCATATACCCTATAAAATTGCAGTTGAATATGGAAAATTGGCCACAAATAACGATTTTAATTTGAATGATAGGGAACCGATGGGGTGAAGCCCCTGGATTTTGATGGATTCTCTGGTACCCTATTTTCATCCAAACACCCATATGGGGCTGCATCATTTTTCACGCGTGTATCCAAGACATGGGGGAGGAGCCCTTTTTGCGTGATGAATTTCAGGTATTTCAGATGGATTTCAGGGGTTCCACAGTCTTTTAAACATCCTGCAAGATGTGTTTCTCCAAAGGCCTCTAAAACAATGTGTTTTTTCCATTTTGATGTTCCCGGGTTCCAGAAAAATGATGGTACCAAACTTGGACCGTTGTCACATCCCACAGTCCAAGTGTCTCATTGACTTGAGCACGCTCTTGCAGCATCATCGCAGTCTGTTCCTGGTAGTGTTAGGCGATTGTTGAAGACTCTTCTGTGTGACAGAATACCCTCTGGTAAACGTTTACATAGCTATTGAAAATCACCATTGTTAATGTGAAAATCCACTATTAATGGTCATTTTCAATAGCTATGTTAAATTACCAGAGGGTAGATTATGGGTGTGTCTGAAAATGTTGTGTACCCCTAAACCCAATGGTTTTGCTGATCATTATCCCTATTTTTTATGGCTATTTCATTGGGAATATAGCCTATTTTCAGACAAACCCAGATTGTAGCAAATCATCGGGCCTTCGATCTGACATCTATTCGGACATGTTGTTTGACACTTTGTCCGACATTGTATCTGGATGTTTCTGGCAAAAATTCAGACAGTTTATCGGACTGACATTGTAACATTTTCTCTGGCACACAGAAAACACTGATATTTTATCTGGCAGACATTCTGACCTTCTAGCTGACATACATTCTCGCACGTTATCTGGCATTCTGTCTGGCATTCTCTCTGATATCGCTGCTGGCATTATATCTGACGTTCTACCTGTGACTTTTTATAGCACTCTTCTAAACATAGATTCTGACATTTTATCTGACGTTCCTTCTGGCATTTATCGGACCTTCTATCAATCAAACAGTCTGTCTGACGTGTCTTCTGCAATACATTCTGACATTTTGTCGGGCATTTTGTTTGACATTTTCTCTGACATACATGCTGGTTTCTTTGATCTACTGATCTACTATTAGTTTTCAGATATCTGCTGACATTTTACCTGACATTTTGTCGGACATTTTACATTAGGTAAATTCTGACATTGTATCTGGCATTTTGTTTGATGTTGTATGTAACAAATCTGTTGGCATTCAATTTGACTTTTTCTATCTGCCTGACATGACATGTTGTTTTGATAACTTCTGACATGTTGCTTGGCATTCTTTCAAAGTCTTTTTCTGACATTCTATCGAACATGTTGACCTTCGACATACAGTGTGACATTTTTTCTGGCATGTGGTCTGTCGTTTTATCTGACTATTTGGTTTGACAATTTGTTCCTAACCCTCGGCGCAGAAGGGGCTCAGGGAGCGGAAGAGGAGGACAAGGAGAAGCGGCCCAGAGGAGCAAGCTGACATGAAATCTAGAGACCCTCACCTGACAGGTGGGGAAGACATGGGAAGACATTCAATGCTGCATCCCTTTTCATTTGCAAAAAAAGGAGATGTGGTATCTTTTTCCTGTAAGATCCTGTAAGTCAAGAAAATCATGTTTTGGCCCTAGTCGTGGTTCCTTGCTTCGTTTTTTTGTCTAGACTGCATTCTTTTGACCTTGTGGTCTTGTTTCTTGTGTTTTGTTGTGGTGCTTTTGTAGTCTGTGGAACTCATGGTATTTAGTTTTGCGTTTTTAGGGTTGAATTTTGCTGTGCTAACTCGCAAAGGAAAACACATAGACACAACTTCCCTTCTGATATTCTTTCAAAAAACTTAAGCAGAATTCAAGACCCAGTCTGTCAGACAAGGAAACACCTCTGCAAAGTGTCCCACACGGTGCAAACATGTGCAAACAACAATTCTGCAACTCTTACTTCTGCACCTAGGCAAACATTCTGCATTTAGCAGACAAAATCTGTTCCAGCTGGCTGTAACCATATGGAGGTTTCTTAAAATACGGCTACCTCCAAATCATCCATTTTCAGGTGTGCCCTAACTATAGAAACCATTGGAAACCATTGGAAACCATTGGAAACCCCCCATCTCGCCAGCCTCGCTGTTGGCCAACTTCAACTTCAACTCCTCCACAGTCTTCTCCAGCTCCTGCGCTCGTCGCGCCCAGTGGATCCGATCTGAGTCGCACCTCGGATCGCCGGACGTGGCGCAGCCGCGTGGGCGCGTAACGGTGATCAAAGATTTAGAGCGAAGTTCCCACAAAAACGTGCCGGGCACATGACCATTTTAGTAGGATTTGTTTAACATGTTTGTGAGTTGAGATTTGAACAGACCTGCTGAAAAATGGTAAACAAATCGTGGCATATGTAACCTTTGATGAACATGTTTGGGGTTACTATACCTAGATAACTATATAAGTATACTCATATATCATAATGGTTTAACGGTTTCATCAAGATTTGGGGTGAATGATGGTGAATAAAAGCAATCCACAAAATTGAAATAAGCGAAAATAATCTAAAGCTTTAATTAAGATGATTCCCTCTACTTAGCATCATTTCCAGTGAGGCTGGTGCGAGGTTGAAGTCGTTTCTATTTCTTGCCGGGGAATGTGTGGACGTATATATGAAGGCTCTAAAGCATACCCCTCAAATTCAGAGGGAATCGACCACTTTGGGCCTCATAAAGGCCCATATATTCATGCAAATGGAATAATTTATGGACGGCATGGGGATAGACAGTATACATGGCCCTGTGCTTTACAATCTGTGTTGTACCCGTCTTCTCATTCATTGAACCGAACGTGGCGACAGCATGGCCCCCACACACCCGCGCCCTTCCGGCACCGCCGGTCTGCGAAGCTCTACCATAATAACCAATGATTCGATAGTATCCAGATGTATCCTGCATCCATGGTTTGGATTTATTTTACCCTCTGGTAAACTAACATAACTATGGAAAATCACCATGTTCATTGGGTACATCCACTATTTCTATGGTCATTTTCAAGTTCGTTATGTCTGTTAGTCATTACCAGAGGGCAATTTCTCCAGTTTTTGCCAGCGAGCTCATGCAACTCGTCGTTGCTGAGACGCAAGCGTTCGGTCAAGTCCGACAGCTGCCGCTGGTGACTGCAAGAAGTGCCCTGCGTCTCAAACCAGTCCTGTGAGGGAATGTGATATCCCAAGTGCTACAGAAAGGGATATTAATACTAGGGATAGTCGGGATAGTCCATAAATGGGATAACACTATAGATAAACCATGCACAATCATGGTGGGCTAACAATAGGGATTGATTGCCGCCAAAGCCCGGCATTTCACCCAAGACCTACCATAGCACCCCCAAATGCTTGGATTGAAAGGCATTGGTTTTACCACAGTACTGATCTTGTGTGGAACAGAAAGCCACTTTATAGGAAGGCAAAAATAGAAGTGGGGTAGGGGCTTATAAAAATTAAGGAAGCCCCGCAAACCATGGCCCTCCACCAGTTTTTGCCAGATAAAAAGGCCATTGTGGTATATTCCGCATCTTGAGACAAGCCCAAATGCGTGGGAAGAGAACTGATTGGAGTACTCAGAAACCCATAGAAATCTAGTATCTCAGCGAATGATCACCTGAGTGATGGCCCATCACCATTTCCAGCTGATGCCATAACTTGGAAAGGGAACTCCAGTTGCCTTTGGATTGGATGACTCTATGGGCAACCAAACCGGAAGTGAATAGCTGCGATGTTCATATTTACAGAGGGTAAGGTTCTTTCCTGGAATCCATACAGCCCTCATTCTGGACAAACCGGAGGCTTTGGCCAAATCCGTATCGAACTGTGCAAAGTGAGGGTACCAGCAGTGATGTGCATTCATTTCCACCAGTAGCACACTCTTAGCCGAATATGACAATGTAAAATCCTGTCATAGTAGAATTGTCTATAGATTCTATATTTGCGTTATTCAGGGCGTGACGCCCGTGATCGTTGGCTTTCCTTCTATGGTTGCACATGTTTCTACAGCGGCTACACACCCAGCTTCAACAGAGGCTTATTTGCGTCAAGCCGCGCAAGGCTGCAAGGGTGTCCTCAGAATGGTTTCAAAGTGATGTCCACCTGCAGTGTGTCTACATGTAAATGGCCTAAGGCCTAATGACCTTATCTGGTTGGTGGTTGACCTACCCCTCTGAAAAATGATGGACTTCGTCAGTTGGGATGATGACATTCCCAACTGAATGGAAAAACAACATGTTCCAAACCACCAACCAGTGATTATTAACCATTATTAACCACTATTAACCATCATTACCCCATACTAAACCAATGTTCCAAACCACCAACCAGTTATGTTTCCTCTTATTTTGTTGGCAACAAAACAGGGCTAGATCCGCAGACCCCAGATTTCTTCCTTTTGGGGAAAAACGTCCAGGGATGGAATGGGCGAGGCGGAGACATTGGAACTCCAAGAACTGATCATTTTCCATGACTTGTTACGAATCTCCACCATGTATAATTTATCTATACATATACAGTATATATATATACACACATGCAGCTATAATGTGTATATATATATACATATAATATAATTCTATATAATACACACACATAAACCCAGACATGTCTACCTGTAACCCGATGTAATCACTGGAGACACAGGGCAAGCGTCAGTGCACTTCCCCTCACTCGTTGAAGTTGCTGGCCCTGCGGTGAGCTTCCTCCATTGGCCGCATGAATCTGGTGCTTCAATTCTTCGCCCTGGTACAACGAGGCCAGCACCTGCATGGAACAAACCTCTGGACCAAGCTGGCAACTTATGGCAAATTGAACAAATTACCATCTGGTTATTTAACATAGCCATGGTATAGATGGCCCATTTATAGATGGTTTACCATGGTTTACCTATTAAAAATGGTGATTTTCCATGGCTATGTTAGTCACAACCAGAGGGTATTTCTGGATATTTCTGGTAAGATGCGGTTGCTCAAGCCATCCCATAACATCCAAAACGCTTCATCCCATAGGCCCCTGCGAAAGGGGTGGGCTACAACTCAGCCATCGTTCAGGGTCAAGGAATTGTGTTTTTCCTTGGCCTTGGATTGTATTGGCTTGTGAAAACTAAATATACTCTTTTCAACAATCTAATCTGGCATGGGGAAATCCGTGATTGCAACAAGCCAGAACGGATTACACCCCTGAAAACGAATAACGCTAAGGCGATGCTCACATTGGAAGTGTACATGGTGGGTTTCCGTGGGTTAAAATTACATGTATATGGGGTAAAGAATACTGAACCCCAAAAAATGGGTCAATGCTAAACATGACCCAATTTAAGTGGGTCCATTGGTACCCAATACCTTGACCTATACCCACTTGCCGGGTCCATGTTCAACCCCAAACGGATCAGATTTAGATCTTTAGTTTATAGTAGTTTCTTCAGTATTCCCCAAAGGTACTCTCCGGTAATCAAACGTGCTGGAAACTGGAAATCCCCCATTTACTTCGATGAATTTCCCAGCGAACTAAACCTCCATGGCTAGGCCACGGGGATCTTCCAACAGTCCGCCACCTTTGATATTCCCATCAACTTTCCATCAAATCCACATGAAATTCCATCAATGGTTAAACCTCCGTGGAACCATGGGATTTCCGTGGATTGCCCCATATTTCCAAATTTTCCAGCGGCCCGCCATGTTTGATGACACCAGAGGGTACATGATGTAAATTATCCCATATATATATCCAGCGATTCATCATGTTTAAACATTATATACCGAATATATGTCATATTTAACACCATATTTAATGGTTAATTAATGGTTAATTAATGGTTAATTAGGTTAATTATATCTAATTATCCCTTGGTTATTCCATTATATAATAATGTTTAAGTACTATTTTAACCTCTATTTTAGTCGCCATTATTCAACAAGGAGTCAGTCTCAGGGTGATCTTCCCAGCCGCCCACTACATCCCCTGCCTTGCTGTGAATCTCTCGCAGTAACGAGCTCTGAGTGGAGAAGTCTTGACCTAACGACTTTAGAGACTTCAGAGGCAGCTAAGTGTGTTTATAACTGCAATAACTATAGGATCTACGGAAGATCTATCTAGTTTTCATAGGTTTCTAAAGCAACTAGGAATTTGATCGGAACTAGCGCCATCATGATATTCCCATTGTATTCCCATGATATGTCCATAAAGCGGATATAATATCCCATTTAATGGCATATCATATATCAATATTGGGACATAATGGGGATAAAATCAAAATTACCAAGAATATTCAGAAACCAAATGGACATCCTTAAACACCCAGCAACAAGGAGTGGTACTTTTGCCCTCCAAAAATGGCATTCACACAGAGCCAGGAGTCCTTGTCAGTCATGTGGGATGCAGCCAGTTGCTCATTGGTTGAAACCCCAGAAAACCCTCATCTTTGCTTGGCCAAATCCACTTCTTTGATGGTTGAACAGTTGAGTCCAACACTTTCCTCTTGAATGGTTGTGGATACAAAATGACAAACCTCCAACCTCCATCTCGAACTCCAAGGATTCCTCAAAAAATGGTCATCATAAATCGCGGCAAAGTAAATAATGCGGCCACAGGCCACAACAGTGTCAGGTTGTTGCTTAAACCTTGGGTTGGCCCAAGTTTGTTTGCTGGTGAAACCAACCTTTTCTCTGGCCAAAAACATCCAAAAACCACAAGTAATCAATATGTTGCTGAACAATCAATCAATTTATATATGGTTGGTGCCAGAATTATAGAACGGAAGTTGAGGAGTACGAAGGTACGGTTATTTCCCGTACCCTGTTGTTCTATAATTCTGTTTTCCTCGGAAGGTAGAAACAAAAAAACGTGTCTGAATTTACTCCTAACTTTTTTCGTCGTTCTATAATTCTTGTCGGAGCGCTCCGTTCTATAATTCTGGCACTGACCTGTATTCATAATTGAAGATCCATGAAAAAAAAATCAAATCCCAAAATGAGTGCTAACACTTCAAAGACCCCGTGAATCTTACGTTGCTTCCTCTCAAATTGACCATCTCCCTGGCGCTTCACCCCAGGCAGGTACCCTATGGGATGGGCTTCGAAACTTCGAAACCACCCTGGCGATTCCGGTGATTTCATCGGATTTTCATGGGTTTTTCATGGGTTTTTCATGGGTTTTTCATCCCTTTTCCCGCAAAACCATGGGTGATTTCTGACATTGGTAGGGTCATCCCATCCACCGAGACATCTCAGCGACGCTTCACCAGCTGCCGCAGCTGCGTGTTCTCGACCTCCGCTGCGGTGAGCTCTTCCAGAAGCTCGGAGCGCCTACATGGGACTTCCAGGATGGAGCCGAAACGGGATGGGGATGGATTTCTAGGCAAAATGGATGAAACTTTGAAAACACATGGGATTTAAGTTGGGGTTGACGGGTTGACTCCATGAACATATGGGAAGTACGGAAGTACATTGGAACTTAAATCTTGAATGGTGAATCAGAAACCCAGCAAATCACCTCAATGAAGAAACCTCAAAGTGGGATATGATATGTCCTATGGGTTCCTATGACACATTATGATACATTATGGTCAAACATGGTCAAACGATATGGCAAAAAACATGGGGTTTGGTAATCCAAGCATCATAAATGGGATTCCAACCACAAGTGGCCATATCAATTCCCTCTAAGAGGATGATCAAATACGAATTGCCCTCAAGCCCAAAAGCCCGCAGTCTGGTGATGAGAGCATCATTTTTACAAAGACAATTTTGTAGACCCCTTTCATTCATCACTGTTAAACAGTGAAAGTTGATGTGATATTATGATGTTGTATGTTGTTATATGTTGTTACTATGACCAAATTCAAGACGTTTAAGTAGTACCTATCATGTTCATTCCAAAAAACCCTACCCTGTGGAGCGGGGTGAGTCGGGCCTCTCTTCGCAGGTCGCTTGAACTTCAACAGCTTCTGTGGCACAAACTCTGGCAGTGAGTCTTTCCTGGGGTGACATGGGGTTCCAAATGTTGTGATGTTCGCACGCCTGACTGAGATGTTTATGCCAGTTAGTAGCTGCTTAAGGGCCATATGAACTCAAAGGTGATCCTTTCTTTTTGTATGATTCAAATTTCAAAACGGTGATTCCGTTTTGTCATTGTTAAAGCAAAGCTATCAAACGTTGTCGGGGGCACGATCCCAATGCAAGCATGTGGGGTCCTAAACTGGGGGTCCCAACATCATCCAAGTTAGATCAAGACTTAGTTTATTGAAACAACCATGGTGACAACTGGGGTACCCCCATGACTTCGGAAACCTCCATATCTCAGTTATATATATATATACATACACACTATATGAATTATAGATAGATTATCCCATAACCATAATATCTCATATAGGAAACCCACATCATCAAATACGTATATCGCATACATTACAGATAGATTATCCCATATATATATATATATCCCATATTATCCCATATTATCCCATCTAATATCTCAAGTCTAGATAGATTATCGTATAGAATTATATTATCCCATCGATGTCCCATAGATTATCCCACATGATCCCATTAATGTCAATATCATATACCCTCTGGTTATTTAAGATAGCCATGGGAAATGGCCCATAGAAATACATGGTTTACCATTCTTAATAGCATGGGTGGATCTTTCCATGGCGAACTGTTAGTCATAACCAGAGGGTATACCATATATATATATCCCATATGGCAGTGTGTCAAAACCTTGTACCCCTGGTGAACATCAAAATAGCTGGTAAATGGATGTTCATTCCCCTAAAAATGGTATTAATAGGTATTGATCCATACCCATATATATATATCCCATATAGGAAACCTCCATGTCGCAAGTCTCGATCTCCAACTTGCTCTCCAACGCCTCGCAGCGTGCCCAGGCCGCGTCGCGCTCGTTGGTCATGCTCAGCAGCTCCGCGCGGAGACAGCTGCTGGGACCGTCGCCTGCCGGCCATGTCTGGTGGGGCCTGTTGGATGGACCAAATCTTGGTAAAAACAATGTAAAAACCCATGGGAAAGGCGAAGTTCGCCATGAAATGCCATGAAAATGAACATCATGTTGGTAAATGTTGGTAAATGTTGGTACTATGTTGGTAAATGTTGGTACTATGTTGGTACTATGTTGGTAAACTGGATTTGAAAACTCGTCGTTCATATGTTTCCTTGGGGTCGGAGGCTGCGTTTTCAGAGGTGGTTCCACGAGTAAGTCTTTGACAAGGTAAGCCTGGAAACCACAGGTTCATTTTCCGATCCTTAGTCGAACCTAGTCAAGCATCCCTTTTTCGGTCAAACTGAAATTTGACCCATACATAATCTACATGATCATGTGTGACACGTCACAGATTTTATCAAACACAATGGGCATGACTGAGGGATTTTCAGTCAATCCACGTCGCAAGTCTCGGCATTTTTGTATGTAGTGAAGCTCCCTTTATCCAAGGCGAGCAACAGCTGGGCCGCTCATTGAAAAATAGACTTGGTGATATTTGGTGAAATTATGTGAAATTGCACATTGTACATCTTCGTGGACGCCGCACCTGTGGTTGTTTATACCAATCCAAAGTTTGAAGTTATTAGCTATATATGGTCGTCTGAAATACTTGGGGACTATTGACTCTTGGCTCTGATACATCGGGAAAAAAGTTATCATTGACATTAATTGACCCTAATGTTGTAAACCCCACAGAAAACCATCCCATTAACCAGTGATTTGCGGGTCATTTGCATCATCCCAACTAGGGGTATACCCAATGATAAAATATAACACACCTACAACTTGAGGGGTTTATGGCATTGGGTTTACCACATATTGATTTTGATTATACTACTCACTCTCCGGTAATCAAACATAGCAAAGGAAAAAACACCATTTACAGATGTGTTTTCCCACTAAAACCTCCATGTTATAAGGGATTTCTCATTTGTAATCATTTGTTGCCATCATTTAACCATCATGTTCCAATGATTTTCCTATGATTTTCCCATTAAAACCAGAGGCTACCTCTGCCACTGCGCTACCGGCAGTGGATCGTGGCCTTGCTCGCACATGGGCACAGTGGCAGCGAAGCTGCCGTTGCAAAGACCCCATAGCCTCAAACGCGGAAAGAGTTGCTGGTAAGATCTGGTAAGAATGGCTAGTTCCCCAGTGATTCAATGGGATGATACATACGTGTGTGTGTGTATAGTTAGATAGATAGATAGATAGATAGATGGATGGATAGATAGATAGATAGATAGATAGATAGATTAGATAGATAGATAGATAGATAGATTAGATAGATAGATAGATTAGATTAGATTAGATTAGATTAGATTAGATTAGATTAGATTAGATTAGATTAGATTAGATTAGATGAGATTAGATTAGATAGATTAGATAGATAGATAAGATAGATAGATAGATAGATAGATAGATAGATAGATAGATAGATAGATAGATAGATAGATAGATAGATAGATAGATAGATAGATAGATAGATAGATCCAAGGATAGATAGATAAATACATACATAGATGGACAACTAGATAGATAGATATATCGATAGATAGATATGAAATAGATAGATAGATAGATAGATAATATATAGATAGATAGATAGTATATGATAGATAGATAGATAGATAATATCTCGTTATATATGTAGATCGATATTTAGATTCTCCATCTCTAGATTATATTATATTATCATTATCTTATATTAGAATATATTATATTATTTTAGTATTATCCTTCCCTTTTATATTCGATAGATAGATAAGATAGCTGCTAGCCTAGATAGATAGATAGATCGATCGATCATAGATAAGATGGATGATCGATAGAGAGAGAGAGAGATAATAGATAGACGAGATAGAAGTTTTAGATAGATATATAGATAGAAGATAGATAGATAGAGAGAATAGAAAGTTAGAAGATAGAAGTGGGGATGGATGGATGGATGGATAGGATAGATGAAGGATGATAGAAGGATAGATGGATAGATGGATAGATGGATAGATGGATAGATGGATAGATGGATAGATGGATAGATGGATAGATGGATAGATGGATAGATGGATAGATGGATAGTTGGATAGATGGATAGATGGATAGATGGATAGATGGATAGATAGATAGATGGATAGATGGATAGATGGATAGATGGATAGATGGATAGATGGATAGATGGATAGATGGATATGATAGATGGATAGATGGATAGATGGATAGATGGATAGATGGATAGATGGATAGATGGATAGATGGATAGATGGATAGATGGATAGATGGATAGATGGATAGATGGATAGATGGATAGATGGGATAGATGGATAGATGGGATAGATGGGATAGATAGATAGATAGATAGATGGATAGATGGATAGATGGATAGATGGATAGATAGATAGACAGACAGACAGATAGATAGATAGATAGGATAGAAGGATAGATAGGATAGATAGGATAGAAGGATAGATAGAAGGATAGATAGAAGGATAGATAGAAGGATAGATAGAAGGATAGATAGAAGGATAGATAGAAGGATAGAAGGATAGAAGGATAGAAGGATAGAAGGATAGATGGATAGATGGATAGATGGATAGATGGATAGATTGATAGATAGATAAGGATAGATAAGGATAGATAAGAATAGATAAGAATAGATAAGAATAGATAAGAATAGATTAGATTAGATTAGAATAGATAGATAGATAGATAGATAGATAATAATAGAAAAGAATAGAAAAGAATAGAATAGAATAGATAAGATAAGATTAGATTAGATTAGATAGATAGATAGACAGACAGATAGATAGACAGATTGACAGACAGACAGACAGACAGACAGATAGATAAGATAAGATTAGATTAGATTAGATTAGACTAGACTACGTAGATTGGAGAGATAGAGAGATAGAGAGATTCAGAGAGAGAGAGAGATAGATAGATAGATAAAAATAAATAAATAAGACAAATAGATAAGATACATAAGATAGATAGATAAGATAGATAAGATAGATAAGATAGATAGATAAGATAGATAAGATAGATAGATAAGAACGATGGATAAGAAAGATAGATAAGAAAGATAGACAATTAAGATAGCTAAGAAATATAGATAAGAAAGATGGATAAGAAAGATGGATAAGAAAGATGGATAATCAAGATAGATAAGAAAGATAGACAATTAAGATAGCTAAGAAATATAGATAAGAAAGATGAATAAGAAAGATGGATAAGAAAGATGGATAATCAAGATAGATAAGAAAGATAGATAAGAAACAATGATTAATAAGAGAGATAGAAAAGATAGATAAGAAAGATAGATAAGACAGATAGATAAGAAATATAGATAAGAAAGATAGATAAGAAAGATAGGTAAGAAAGATAGATAGATAGCTAGATAGATAGATAGATAGCTAGGTAGGTAGATAGATAGATGGATAGATGGATAGATAGATGGATGGATAGATAGATACACAGTAACCCATGGATTCAGTTGTACCGGGTTGCAAGCGGCCAGTGTGCTTGGAGACCCCCATGGTACCCCAAAACCATTGCTGTCCCTGTTTAGACCAACAGCTTGGATGAGTGCATCTGAAAATGAAACATACCCCCAAATTGCAAGTTACAACAGCGAAAACGAGATTTTTTTAACCCTCAATGTTTGGGGTTACCCGATTTTCAGACAAACCTGCATCGTGGATGATATATCCCATCAAATATCCCATGAAGTAGCTGCATTTGGTTGGTTAAATCCACCGTTTTTGTCATGTAGACAATCTTTTAAGAACCACCAAATATCATATTATATTGTTGGTTTGGTAATTTGTAATCCCATTCTAGTTACAACCATTTCCATGCATGTCCATTAAACCATTCAATTGTTCATTGGCTGAATCCCTGTCTTGATGGTTGAACAGTGCTAAACCACCATGCTTCATCCTATTAGATGCTTAATCATCTTAATCATGTTAAATCTCATATATGAATTATAATATCTTATAATCCCTTTAAGTACCATGAAATCACAATAAATTCCAGATGTTTGATGGTTCCATCCTTAAAAAAAACATATAAAACCCACCATTTTTCATGGTTGCAGCACCTTTTTTCACGCTTCAACCCCGATGTCACCAGGTGACTCAGCACGCAGCTGCGAGGCTTCTGCTTGCAGATCCGACCTGGAGTCATGATGGAGCTTAACATAGCTTAACCCAGTCATTGGTGAAGACTCAAAACCAACATCTTTAGTATCTTACCATAGATCTGGGTAAATTGTAACAATTCACTAGCCTGAATTAAGGCCATTTGGGGATGATCTCCCTTACTAACCATGATTCCAGTGAGGTCACAGTGAGGTCGTTATAATTTACCCAGATAGATATACTATAGATATACCATAGATATACTATAGATATACTACAGATGTAGTCTTAAAATGATGATTAACTAAATGATGGTTAACTAAATGTAAGATAATAAACATTGGAAAATGATGGTTAAGAATACTCAAAAAAGTCATTGGTTAACCATCATTTTCCAATGATTTTTACAGGTGTTACATTTTCTTACATTTTGGACCCAGATCTTAGGTTTTGTGGTCCCCCAGGTCTTACGTTTTGACCCATATCATCCATTCTCATCTCATATCCATGATAGGTGAGATTTGGATAAACTTCAACCATCTTCAACCAACTCCAGTTCTGAAAAATGTCTTCCACTCCCAGGTTTTTATTTCAACTCCATAATTCGTTGAATAACAAAAACATACAAAAACATACAAAAACTCCAGCAATCTGATCTCTTCACGAGTTCCATTGGCTGAAAAAACACTAGGGCCACCAAATGGAGCCTTTTTTCAATCCACCAGGTTTGTCCGGCACCTGATCTTCTCCACCTTCGAGGAATCAGGAGTCCACGTCATCCAGACCGTTTCCGGCACCGTTTTTCCATGGCGGTTCAAAAGCTGGGTGGGATGGGATGTTGAAGATGCTCAAGATCTTGCTGGTGAAAAATTGCCACGAAGGGTCGCTGGAAAATTCGGAAAAGTGAGGTTTCCATCTTTTTGGTCTATGAAACAGTCTTGAAACCAACCGAGGAGGTTCCTGATTGTTTTGCTCGGCCATCTTTTATTAATCTTGGGGGTTCAGCTGGCCGACCACCAGGAGTCCTGTCCCGAACTAGTCTTCACTTCTCCTGCACTCTTTGACCACATTTCACACCCACAGTTGCAGATATCCCTCTCCCATTGATGTTACTTGAAGCTTGAACAGCAATAGGATTTCACGGAGCAGTTGATGGTTGGCACCTGCATCTTTTTTTGGCGCCCAAAATTCGATGTAACATGATAGAAACTCCCAAGCAATCTCGTTCATCCTTGTTTATTTTCTTCGGAACAGCACAGGGGCAAGGATCAAAACCCTTGTCGGATCCTATGATTCAGATATTCGGAACGGGCTCCCAACATGATTTTTTGACACCAAATTCGTGCAACCATCGGAACTATCCATTGCTTAAAAGCACGGCATGTAGAAAAATTATGAAAAACTCAGCTGATAGTGTGCCAAAGGACAATTCCAGCGCCCACGACTGACTGTGTTTCTGGATGTTTCTGGCTCCTCTGACCGTCTCGCAGTTTTTTGCTGCCTCCGACCATTGCAATGACATCCCTCTGTACATGCCGAGGATGGGCAAATTCACCGTCGTCCGCGGGGGCTGGCTGGCTTCACCTAAATGATAGTCCAAAAAAGTGCAGTTGAAAGATGGAGGTATCAACCATTGAAGGAGGTTTCCACCAATGGGGGATCCCCAAAATGATCCACCAATGGCTGGTTTTTTTCACGGAAAATCCCAAAAAATGAATGAAATCCGGATTGATTTGGGGGTAGCCCCATTTCAGGAAACCTCCATGTCAAATTCTGCAAGATGGCAAGATCAAAGATCAACCAGTCTGATTTCAAACATCTGAGATCTCCCACCGAGCAAAGTAAAAAGTCTCACTGACCCCCCAGATCTACTGTATGAAATCAATCCTAATACTAAGCACGCTCCAAATGAAACATTGATGTAGTGTATATTTAGTATTGGATCGATGCATTAAACGTGAAGAAATGTCTTGATATCTAGAGGATTCTAGAGGAGTTTGTTATCATAATATGATCATACGATGATCTACCAGGAGATAGAAATCAAGCAGCATCACTCAGGACTGAAAGAGTGACCAGGACCATGAGAATGACGCGGGCCCCATTCCCACGGACGCGGATACATTGGAGGCAAATTCGGCAGACGTCACAGGAGGGTTTGGCGCCAGGCAATCCTACATAATTAAAGATCTATTGAAACACACAAGGCTCCTCACTTAGCAATCGTCCCAATGCCTTGGCTCCCGACCTTCACATCTAATGAGCTCGGCCATAGTTCACAGCTGCCGTGCCAGGTCGGGCATAGGACCTGAAAATGTGAGGGGAAAAACTCGGGGAAAAACCCAGAGTTTCCCCAGGGTTTCGCTACCATCAGATGGGTATCCTCATTTTTGGGCAAAGCCATGGAGAATACAATGAGGATATTCTGCCCAAAAAAATACAGATATGTTTTCCAATAACCAGGAGGTTTCCCCTGCGGAATTGTGTCTTTTCTGCTATTGGCTATTGAACAGTTGGATGGGTCAAAATGAGCCAACTTGTACGAGCCAATTTTTTTTCGAGCCGCTGGGTGAATAGCGCCAGACATCTTCAGAATTTAAAGAGGGCATCACCTGGAGACTAGTTTATTAGATGTATATATCAATATATCAATTGTCAGCTGGATGAGGGGCCCCAACATGATGAGCATCTGAGCCCTCGACGTCTCAAACCCATGGCCTGAACGGGTGGCAAAACGTTGGGCCAAAAAACGGCCGAAATGGGATAGTTGAGATTATATAGAATTGGAGTATATTATACCAGCTAAGGATCACATATGGCAGACTTATTTCAAATATGATATTCATATATACCATCTGGTTAATTATTTAAGATAGCCATGGAAAATCCCCATTTTTTATAGGTCAACCATCTATTTCTATGGGCAATTTTCCATGGCTATGTTAAATAACCAGAGGGTATATCAATAAAATTCCATACATGCAACCAGCTTGAAACTCGAATTTCACATCTGAACTTCGCTCTGGAGGATTCCTTTTCTCCAGGGACCCGTCTGACCCAAAGCGCCTCACGAAATTCGTGGCTGATGGAGGGGTGCAAGACCTCAAGGCATGAAAAGTTGGCATTTGTGCCACGTCTTCAATCCCATTTATACAACGTAAAGCACGTGTTAACTAATTTACAGCTGGCGGGGGCCCCTGACGGCAAGAACCCTGCTGAAATCTTTCCAGAGGCCAATGCTACAGGTGCTATGATTCTCCTTGAAGTCTGGTTCATGAGTCAGCATACGGGCGCATGACTTAAAAACAAAGGTACCAAAGCGAAGGCATCACAAATTGAGGATTTTGCCTTGGGTTGGTCAAGTCAACGTCAGGGGTCAATCATTCAAAACCATTGCGATGTCTCCACCCCAGTCAGGGTTCACCATGCTCAGAGTAAGGTCAGATCGATCATGGAATCAATCAAAACTCCAATACCCTAGAATATATTCGAATTATACATATATATATATATATATCATTTATAATATAGACATACTGTACCGGATATCGACCATGTATGTCGATATACTGCTGATATGCTGTATATTCCACTCCCCCCCCCCACTGGCACCTCATCTGGCGAAGCAGAAATCCTATGAGGCCTAGGAGGTCAACTGGTCGTAAAAGTGCTTGGAGGAACATCCCAAAGAACCAAAAAATCGACTTCAGCCACTTCAGCCCTAAAAATGTGGAAGGTTGCATATTTCCATATGTCTATGTAGGTAAACATGTATGTATATATGTATGTATATGTATATGTATATGTATATGTATATATATATATATATATATGCATATCCCATTCAATATATTCTTCAGAGGAGTGGCGGATTTGATCCCTTATGAAGATAAGTGGCGGGGGGACGTCCGTGTCGGAGACAACATGTAATTCAACCAGGATAACTTGCTCTTCCATGGTTTCCAGGAGCATCCCAATAACTAATTAGTGAATCTCCCTGGTGATCAGAAGTCCCAAATTCCCAGTTACGGTGTCCATCCTTCCACTTACAGTAGTTGCATGTAATTGCAAGGTAAAAACAGCCTCCAAGTACTTTCAAGGGGAAAAAAACAAAGTTGCCCCAGAATCAGGATTAACCTGGAAACTTCTGCTATGTATCTTCTACTTGCAAACTCGGACCACTTCTACACACTTCAGCTTGCGGGTTTCTCCAACGTTTGAAACATCTTTGGCTGGTTCATCCTTCGTTTCCTTATGAATTTCCTGTGCTTGCTATATAAATCCCATATATTTCTTGGTTAAACTACAATGTGCGCGTGGTTTACCCAAGCGTTTCTGTTGCATTGATGATTCAACATGAATAAAATCCTGATTTTTGTTCAATCTTTATTATACTTACTAAACTAAATACATCGATTCTTATGATGACAGGGTAGGCGGGAATTGTCATATTCGCATCTTTGTTTGTTTGATAATAAAGCAATGTTCACTGCTTAACATTCCCATGTTTGCCGTTAAATACCAATCTTTTCTGGTTAAATTCCCACCTTTTTGCTGCTTAAATTCCCAGATGTTTGGTTTCATTAAGGCAGGTTAAAACATCATTTTTGCCCATGGCCATCTATGGCCTATTATTGCCTCTTGATTTGGGCGTGTCTGAAAATGGTGTATACCTTCTAAATGGATCTAAATGGCCATATTAGCAAAAAACGATCAGTATCCAATGGATTTAGGGGTAACCCATAGTTACCATCAGTTACCTATCACCCATGGTTACAAAGCCATGCATCATATGTTCCGCCCAGTAGATTCACCGTGGCCCGCACGGGAAGCAAGCATCGGCCTCAGGAGTTCCACTGGGCGTAGACCAGCCATCGCCTAAGGTGAAATCCAACCGTTTGACCATGGGTATCCATGAGTTAACTCTGGTTTATGGGGATATAACTCATCTGGTTGGTGGTTGAGCCACCCCTCTGAAAAATGATGGAGTGAAAGTCAGTTGGGATGATGACATTCCCAACTGAATGGAAAAATAAAATTCATGTTCCAAACCACCACTTTGTACCGCTTTGTGTGTCGCACTGGCTTGGGTTAGGAAGACAGTGCTTTAACTGTGATGACTCTTAGGTCAGTGTGGCAACGCGGCCAGGGGGACGGGCAGCTGGGCAAGCCCGAGACTGCCGTCTGAATGGAGTGAAACAAAACTTAACCGGACCAGGAGAAGATGTCTCTCCAAGCCAACGAACATTGAAAAGGAGCAACAGCGTAACCACCCAAGACCTGACACAGTGGCCGGCCCCGGCGAAAACGGCAGTTGACACAAACCCCAAAAACTGGTAGAAGGGCATCAGAGCAGCAAGAACCCACACGGCACAACAAGACCCCATCATCATCATACCACTGTGTGAACCATGCAGTTCAGGCCCACCCCCACATTCACCATCATCTCTCAGTCGCTTCCGCAACAAGCCACGGATATGAGAAAGCTGATTCTCAAACAGAGCCTGGATGCACTGATACTGGGTCTTACTTTGGCCGTAAAAGTGTTGAGACGGGGCCTGCATCAGGGCCTGTGGATTCGAAACTTGTTGAGACTGAAGGTGGGTGAACTCCAGAAACTGCCCGACAATCTGTGTTTGGTTCTGCATCAACGGTTGCACTTGACCAATAGCAGAGAGCTCAAGGTAGATGTTCTCCTTCACAACTCCAGACCAGTCAACAAACCTATCAAGGTGTTGCGAGATGAACGGATCTCTGCAAACAGGGACAGCGCATGAACACACCAAACCATGAACACGTTGAGACGGCGCAGCTCTAAGGTTGTTAGGAAGGGACATAGCACAAGGGTCTGCCCCTCCTTTCCGATCACCCAACTGGGAAAACAGCTGACATGAAAATCCCGCACTCTTCACCGCAGCATGATTACACGTGGACCACACTCCAGCGATCACCTGGGGACAGCCAGCATCACCGATCACATACTCACATCCTCCAGGAGCCTTGTGTAAGGTCACCATACGGGCACTAGAGTCAACAGCAACCATGGTTTGCACACCAACGGCATGGGCCCCATGTGCAGGACCATCAAACCCGTAGCAAGCATCGACCAGTTTGAGGAAGTCCTCCCAGATATGCAGTGAGTGAACCAACACCTTAGCACCATCATCCACCTTCAGCAACGGAATAGAGACTTGCTGCACCAGGACAACATCCAACCGAGTGAGTACTTCAGGAGCTCCATCCAAGAGGCCAGTACGCACCAGACCAGTCCCATCACGGACAGAGGACCAAGTGGCGCACATACACAGGATCAACGACCACCATGACCACATCAGAGAGCTACCTCCAGCATCAACTTCATCAAGATCCATGACGATCCATGGCACAACACGGTGAACGAAACGCTCTACGATCAGCAGGGCACGGCCGCACCTGCTGGTAGGTGTAGAGCCCACGGCTTGTTCCAAACCACCAACCAGCAATTGTAGTTACTAAAAGTTACTATGGTTTTAATTAATTGTTTAACTACTATAGACTATATATAGTTTATGGATGTTCATGATGTCTATGAAGCAATATATAACTACTATATGGTGCATGATGTTTATTACGATTTATTAACCTTAACTCATACCCTCCAGTAGACACAGCTGAAGCCATGGCCCATTGAGTTCGAATTCCTGGTCAGGGATGATGATTAGATGAATTATCCCCAATTTATTGGTGAGTTAATTGGGGATTTGATTTATCTACAGGGGTTTTGAACACTATTAACCAATATATATTGGTTCATTATCCCCAATATATTGATGATGTTACTTAACTGTGAATAATCCCACATCATCAGGGCTTTTGAACACTGCTCAGAAACGTTCCAGTCGACTCCAATATGGTCAATATTGCCAAGGACAACGACATCCCGCAAACTTCAAGAACGAGAATTGGATACTGTCAGTGGAGGTTTATTAAAATATGGCAGTGTGTCAAAACCTTGTATCCCTGGTGAACATCAAAATAGCTGGTAAATGGATGTTCATCCCACTAAAAATGGTATTAATAGGTATTGATCCATACCCATATATAATATGGCTATCCCAAACCATTGATTTTCCCATTGATCATAATTCACCAGTGATGATTTTGGGGTACCCAAAATGGTCTCCCCGTTTTCGGAAACCAGGTCCCGAATTCTGGAACACTCTAAGCACCTCGTGGTTTTCTCTCCACCTGGCTGTGGGATGGCGTCTGCCCAAAGTCCGCTCAGGAATTGAGGGGTTGCAACAGATTTTTTCACCAAACTCATCTCACCTCTTACGCATTGTAAATTCTTGCTAAAACATGAAACTTGAACAACGACATGAATGACGATTAACAAACTGAAACTAACGTCAAATCTAGCCAGAAACCTGTTGACAGGCTTGGTTGTATCCATTAAGAAAACTACTATCTGTCCAGTTGCTAAAGGCACTGTGTTTTTTTCCTTTGCGCGGCTTCTGCAGGTTGAAATGTTTCTATGTGAATATGTATATATATAATATTATATAATATACACATTATAAAACTAGATCTGAAATCAGTATATACAATTATGATCAATGATTTATGCACAAATGTCACCTTTTTTTCTAGCGGTCAAACACCAACTCGCCCTCATCTGGTGAACTTCTTTTCCATCCCAGCCATGCCCTCCAGGCTAAAAACAGTGACCAAACTTGGGATGCAACAAATAGTGGGCTCAGTGACGAATCACACCCCAATCAACTATATAACTCCCCTTTTTAAAGTTCTTTTTTTTGCATAGTCATAGTCACAACTTCCCACATTCCGGCTGAATCATAAAGATTCACGACCCTAACGATATCACTGAAAACAGGTCGGACGGTCGGACCTCTGTGCGGCGAGGTAGCACCAAGGGATCCAAAGTGGAGGGCCTCAACAAAATGAAAGCTGCACCCTGGGCTTCTTTGAAGGGTTCTTTTCAAGATTGGTAAATTACACACTAATTCACCCACCGAAAAAAAATTGTTCGGCTATTAGTTGCCCTTACATCCCCTTTTATAACATTTACCCTCTGGTTATTTAACATAGCCATGGAAAATCACCATGTTTAATAGGTCAACCATCTATTTCTATGGGCCATGGCTTCCATGGCTACGTTAAATAAACAGAGGGTACCATGATTTACCCAGATGTACAAGTAACACATTAACACGATTTCGACTATGATCCCTCCATCTCAGTTCCCCACTCGATGATTTCTTTCGCTGTGAGATGCGACGGGTCGCTCTGTGCCGCGCCTGGGACACGGCAGGACTCGGCTGGAAAGGTCCCAAAATGATTATCAATGGATTGGTTTAAGGGAAAATCTACAGGAAACCATGGTTTTTACCATCTAATATAGGGGTTTCCTGTAAATTTTCCCATCATCCAATTCTATGAGATTAACATTAAGATCAACATGATGATAGAATAATATGGGATAATCTATCGATAATATATGGGATATATATGATATATATATATATATATATATTTGTGGTCAAATCTCTCCACTGGACCTGCTGAAGCCCTTGCCTGGATCAAGACTGAAGCTGCAAGCCACCGCACCTGTGCCTTTTGCTAAAGCACTTGTATGTATGATTGGCCATTGCCAAACATAAAACGGCAGCTGACATTCTGGCATTCCAGAAGGTCACTTGAAAAGAAAATACTCCCATCTGACAGCGCGCTGGCTCTTCCCTTAAGGAGCTTCACCTCCATTCTTTTTGAGGGTATTAAAGTCATGGGAGGGTGCGCAGGCTGCGCTGGGAGCACAAAAAGGAAAGGATGTGAAGGATTCACAAGTCATTCGGTCTTCATTCCGATAGACACAAACACTCCATTTGAAAAAGGCAACTTTGTGGTCAAATCTCTCCACTGGACCTGCTGAAGCCCTTGCCTGGATCAAGACTGAAGCTGCAAGCCACCGCACCTGTGCCTTTCGCTAAAGCACTTGTATGTATGATTGGCCATTGCCAAACATAAAACGGCAGCTGACATTCTGGCATTCCAGAAGGTCACTTGAAAAGAAAATACTCCCATCTGACAGCGCGCTGGCTCTTCCCACATTTCCACAAGACTGTCAAGTAGTGCAAAGTTGAAAAACCAAAGACTCATAGCTCCGAAATCGCTCACAGGTGACATGATCCAAACGAAGGGACGCCACCTCTGTCTGAGAGAAAACCAGATGATAGAGTTTCCAGGCATTATTACAAATTGCACTCCACCGGTCAATGCGAGCCCAGTCTTCCACCTGCAGTAAACCACGCGACCTGATGATGGCCACCTCCCCCTTGCGAATATATTCACGAGCTGCTTTCTCACTAAGCCATCTACCATACAGCAGAATGTCTGCCAAAGGCATACCTTGCCTAGACAATTCAGAAGCTCCAGAACGTCGCAATGTATGCGTGGTTAATTGCAAAGACTTAGCCCCCAAGAGTTCAGATAAACGCTTGACCCAGCGCAACACTGACCCATATGAGATGGGAAACACGAACTCATCACTTGCCGGATACCCGCAATGCTCAAAGAAAGACCGCATGTAACTGATAACAGCCCCATTACGCAAAACAACCTTTTGTTCCATGCCCCGCTTGGTCTTACCCAAACACAAAGTCAAACCATCTGTCTGCAGCACGAGGTCACGTCCACGCAAACCAAGGCCCTCCCGTACTCTCGCAGAAGGCCGCAATAGCAGACTAAGAGGAGGCCACTAAGAACTGGGCGATTCAACATGAGAGTAGTCGCAAACATGGCATGCAGCAACTCAGGAGGAGCAGCCGGTGCTTGTCGTGAAGGTTGCAGTAAGCCCCACGTGTCAAAGACTCGCCAAGCCACTTTCAGCTTGAGGCGGGGATACACTTTTTGCAAGGCAGAAAGCAACCAACCTGCAGAAACACGGCTCCCATCAGATTCATAGGCATCCAACAACATGTCAGCTAGGAAGTAGTCTCGTTCCTCTTCAGTAAGTTCAGCCCATACCACATTCTGTTCCTCAAGCTCATTGTTGAGGTCTTGCAAAGCTTGGGTGTACTTCTCGATTGTTGACGGCTTTAACGAGCTCAACAAGAAAACCTGTAACCGGCTCAGGCCATGCCCAGGTTCCATCAATAGCCCCCTGCCAAGGCGAAGGAAAATATGAAACTGAGCACTTTGGGGCTCTTGGTCGCTCAAAGCCACGAGAGCGAACTTCCAACCAGCTTTGCACAAATAGTGTTGCCAAACTATTGCACAACTTACGAGGGTACTTTGCTGCAGGAATAGTTTCGAAGTGCTCATAGTTATCCAAACCAACCAAACACTTGTGCTTACGTTGGTGATTACAACGCAACTGCAGTTTATGCAATCCACGCGGCAGCAATAACCCTGTAGGCTTTTTGGTTGGAGCCCCATATCGACACTGGTGAATAACGGAATACACCAAACCAAACGTCCGACAAAAACTGTGCACTTCTTTTGTGGCGAAAAACGAAGGTAAAGGTTCTCCGCGGTCTGCCGGATGTCCCAAACCAGTCCAGCCCCCAGTCATAGCAACTTCGCCTAATAACCCCAACACCAAAAGATAGAGGGCAGAACCAACATGCACTGCCAACCTTTCTCTATCGGTGCAATAGCTCAAGGGATACCAGGGAGACTGTCTGCTCCTCAGGGGTCTGGGAGACATGCCACTTGCCACCTTCAACGGCACATGTCTTGCCGCGGAAAGTGTATTGCACGGAGGTGATCCAAAGGCACCAGCAACCCTTTTGGACTGAATCAACCGCATGAGCCAATCACCCCAAATAACATTAAACAAGTCACCATGCAACGAAGGAGGGGATACCATGGAATGTAAACCATCCAACGACGCCAACGGATCAACTGCAATGCCGACAACGCTAAGCCCATGTTCACCCGCCAAAATTTCAATTTCATCCAGCAAATCATGATCTCTTCGGGACCCTGAGCAAAAATGAATGAAAAACCATGTGTCAGTCGGCCACGGGCCCAACTCCCGCAGATCAGCTACCGGCTCACTAGAAGCCAACTCCACCTGCGGCAGTGAAGCTGCTGAACTTGGCTCATACCATCTTGACGGGGTGTCTGCTGGATTTTCCCCGGAGGACATCCAGGGATAAAACACATCGTGGCCACCTGCTAGATTCACGCTACAAACCTTTCTGCATCTGCTGTTCAATCGGCTGCTGCTGGACCTACCCTTCGAGAAAGCCCCACAACACGCCGCAGAGTCAACAGGATGGATGAAGCGACTGTCATCATCAACAGGCCTGCGCAGACGGTCCTCTGCAGTCCACGCGATGGCATCAGCCTCGCTCAAAGTGATGTGTTCTGATTCCCACGGCACCCCAAGATATTTCCAGCGAATACGCTCGACTGGAATGCGAACCTTTTTCATTGGACACTTGTGTTCCTGTGTCAGACCTATACCCCATGGCAACTTCAAGTTAGTGTAAACGGCATGATGTGAACTATACCTTGCTAACCATTGCGCCACCAGTGGAGGAATAATGCCAAATGCTCTGCCCAATCCAGTCATGGAGGCATCACTACATTCGATGCGGTGGCTCCACGAAGCCGACAAATCAAACTGAGCAAATGGAATTAAAATGGTTGAGACACAAATTTCCTGCCAAACATCATTTGGGATTTGGACCCTGTCACGCCTCCTCTCACGCAGGCCTTGTATCCAACGGTAGGTGCAATCGAAGATGGACCTCAGCGATGGCCGGCACGAATGCATGAAGCTGTGCTTGCCAATCAACCGGTCCACCACCCCTACAATGACATACTTTTTGAGAAGGACCTGCATGCTGGCTTGAAACAAACATCTGCGCTTGTCCAGGGAAACACCCACCCAATGATCTCTGGAATGGATGAAATAGCCCTGAACTTCTTGATCAGCTAGGCCGTCGACACTCTTCTTGACATTGGGCTCCACCCCGCGCGCGCACCAGGCAGCTTCTGCCTGAGACAGCCAGGAAGGGCCAATGTTCCCCGAGTCAGGCTCATCTGCATGCTCAAGAGCCCAGATGTCGTCAATAATTGAACCCCAAATGGGCAACTGACCAGGGACAACGTGATCAGGATGTAACCTACAGTCTTCAGGTAAAGCAGCATCATGAGTGACCACATCAGTCAAACCCTGAGCCCACCCAGCCGAAGGACCAAACCCCATGGGAGTGGATCTAGATGCCGGAAACACTTCGGAATAATCACCACGCCTTGAAACAAGCCGCACTGGTGGCCCGCAGAGCCACTTCTCCCAGCGCCGACCTATTTGCAATCTGTGAAAATAGTGTCTAGCATCTCGCTTGCTCGCCAAAATAACACCACCCCTTGGAACTGTGACTGCTCGTAACATGGGAATATACGCAAATTTTGGACGTGGAAGTCTCTCTGGATCAAGAAGTTGATTAACTGCCGGGTCAGTGATGACCCTGTCTTCATCGGCATCTTTGACAACTGCAAAAGCCCCAGCCAAAACTCTCTTCCCATTGTGCTTGGCAACTTGCGAAGGTTTTTTGTATCTATGCAACCCCGCCTTCACATTCCTTTTAACAAGCTCGGGATAAGAAGGGGATAACCAAGTATAACCACGACGCAGTTTCTTGGGTCTCCGCTTGGATGGAAGTAACAAGGAACGAGGATTGACAACTTGCTCTCCCATCTCGGGATACATATTCCCCAAATGTTTTGCCAATGTAACATCAGCTGCTTTTGAAGGAACGCCCCCCTTAACCCCCAAGGCCAACACCACACCTGCACCAGTGTAGCATTGCGTCTGCCGCAAATACGAATCCAGACCCTCATGATCCAGAATGGGCATGTCTGTCATCACGAATGCCCGCAAGATGCGCTCTATCCGAGAGTGCACCCGCCCATGAGCAGCAGATAGAATGTCAAAGCGCTCTACCCGCTCTCCATGCATCCAATTAAGGGCAGCCACAACCATATTCCCCCCGTAGTATGCACATAGATTGTCAACATCCGCCTCATCACCCACGCCAGTCACAAGGGACCCGCTGCGGCTCAAAGGCGGCAAGGGAAACACTTGGGATGGGGACTTACCCTGGTTTCGACCCTTCGGCCCTCCATTGTACTTGAATTCCCGCATCAAGCTTGGCAACTTGAGAGTACGCTGTAGTAACCACATGCAAGAGTGCAAGCTACCAGCATCGCCCCTCTGGTTCAGACAGATAGTCAAAGCTTTAGTCATCACAGAATAGTAACGCTGAAAAGTGCACGCCCCAAGCAAATGGCCCCCCAAAGAGTACCAAGCTCTTCTGAATCCTTCGCTCAAGCATTGGTCAACGCCAGCATGCTTGTGCTGGCCAGGCTCTTGGAATTGTTCACCAGCTCTATTGCCTCGGCCTTCTCCCAGCTGCCGCCTTTGGTCTTTGCAGCTTGGATTGCCAGAATGCGCTGGCAAACGATATCCATGGCCTGAGCTATCTCCCGCCTGTTCACGGCATCCAACACTTCTGAAAGCGTCACCACCTCCTTGATGTCCCGGATCTCTGTGAGGCCTGAGAACTGATGGGCCCACGCAGTCACTGAAGGCTCCCTCAACTGGCCACTCCGGCTCAAAGACCCTTTGCTGAGTCTGGAATACACTCCGGCCAGAAAATGGGCTGTGAGTGCCCCTGGATGGCGACTGGCAAAGGCCACCAAGTCCCCCCGCTTCTTGAACTTCAGCATGTCCACCTGTGTCAAGTCTGCCTGGTGAACCTTCCGGTCCTTGCCATGATCCTTCCAACATAGGGGCTTGCTCTTGCGTGATCCAGAGCTGCTGCTGCGGGAACTGCGCGACCTCGAACTGCTGGAGCTGGCTGAACTCCGGGAACTGCTCCTGGATCGTTTCTTCTTCTTCTTGCTTTTCCGGGACTTCTTTTTCTTTTTCTTGTCCTCGGGCTTCCTGGACGATCCACCCGGGCTCAGCGCCATAGCCTGCAACTGTTGCACCGCGGCCTCCAAAGCTTTCAGGCTTGATGCATCGGGAGCGGCGCCTTGATCGGTGGGCCCCAGAACCGCTGCCACGGGGACACCACCCGCGCCACCCACCACGCCGGCACCTCCTGGCGCCACTGGTCCAGCCAAAGCTGCCTGGACTGACACCAAAGGGCCACCAACACCAGGCACATTCACTGGCCAGTTGTGACCATGGTTGTACTGCATCATCACCAAATTGGCTTCTGCCGACACGTTCACAATTTCGGCTGGAGAAGGTCTCCATTGGGCATTCCCTTGTGGGGGCACACAAATCCAGTTGACAGCATCGCCATCTACACCATGAGGGGCAGCACGGGTACCATCCGCTGCAAGAACCGGCAACCTCATATGCAAGCCCAAGACTTGGATCATGACCCACCACCAGTCTGCTCCATCTGGACTGGTCGTTCGGCATAGGGCCTCTGACGCAGATGGATTGTAGCCAGCTATATAAACCTCGTCCCAATCAGGAGGCCTGGAGATGAGAACAAACGTACCTACAGGTATTGGAGGTGCACCAGCCCCAACAGCTGCTGCCATGCCAACCCAGGTTAGGTCACTACCCCGTTCTGAGGCTTGCCCCCAGCTGCTTGGCACCGGTCTCCAATTATATGCAACTTCGTCGAGCTGGGGTTCTGCTGCAATATACCAGGAGATCAGAGTACGAACCAAATCAAACAACGCACCAACCAAGTCTATGCAAATGCGAATCAACCAAGCTATCTCTCGCCAGGAGTGAAGAAGGATACACGCACCACCAAGTTGGAATGCCAGATTCAGCCACTGCTGCACTTCCCAGAGTAAGTAATCACTGGCCCCTGTCCAGGACCAAACCAATGAACTTACTCCAACCAATGCCAAATCACGAGTCCAGGGTTCTACTATGACCAGCCACCACCAAAGCCAGGTACCAACTCCCACTCCGAAAGTTGCAGGGACAAGAGCACGGTACATAGAGGAGCTAGGAGTCTTGAGCACAAAAAGGAAAGGATGTGAAGGATTCACAAGTCATTCGGTCTTCATTCCGATAGACACAAACACTCCATTTGAAAAAGGCAACTATATATAACCTGTAAATTCTGCAATACCTGTTCCTTGATGTGATTCCACTTGATGTTACAGCTTGCAGCCTCCGCTGACATGTCTTCCCAAGACACCATAGCGGTGGGCATAGGGTTGAGGTACATAACCGTTGGACGGTTCATGGTGCTCTGAGCGGTGGTGCAAAAGCTGCGGATTCATTTGGCGTGGGACGCCTTGGTACTTTCCTTTTCATTTGACAGGGTCAACATCATTCATTCTGACAGGGTCAGTTCATTTTGCTATCGTGGTTGGATTTCTATCTGCTGCCAGTGTGATTAGTTCACACTGGTAGCGGAGCCTCGTGCTCCGGCTGCCTTGTGTGGTATCCGAAAGAGTGGCCGATCCAGGGAGGTCGACATTGACTTGCAAGTTTTTCTGTAATTTGGCAACATGCCACCTGGTGTTTCAGGAGATGGAGCTTTGCCACCGGTGCCGGATGACGAAACACCGACACCACCGGTAACTCAGCTCCCTTGGAGCCAGATCCCAAAGTTTGTCCCGGGCGTCACCAATGTGCAGGAGTACACTCAGAAGCTGAAGTTTTTGGCTTCACTGTGGCCAGTTGAGTACCTTGATCAGCTGGCGCCCCGGGCAGCTCTTTTGATCGAGGGCACAGCCTTTAGAAAGATTGCACGGATTTCACCGGCCAAGCTCAAGGTGAAGTCTACCGATGGCATAGCCACTTTGGTTGAAGCCATCGGAGGGTCTTGGGGGTCGACAGAACTGGAAGAGAGGTATGAATATTTTGAGAAGTCGCTGTACGGGACAGTCCAACGAAGTGACGAATCTCATGATAGCTTTCTTTCCAGGATGGAAGCAAATTTCATGGAGCTGTTGGCTCGAAATACCACGTTAGAGGAGGTCCAGGCCTATGTCCTCCTACGTCAATCCACCTTGAGCGCTGACGACAAAAAGCGCATCTTGCTGGAACATGAGGGCGAGCTCAAATACAAACCTGTGGTCAAATCGTTTCGATTGCTGGGAAGCAAGTTTTTCAGTGAGTTCCAAACGGGACGATCCATACAGAAGACAAAGGTGTATGAGGCCAATGTTTTGGAACAGTCAGAGGATCAAGAAGGTGGTCGAAGTTTTGAATCTGGTCTTTCTGAGCGTGCTTTTCACACTCAGGTCGACGATTTTGACCCCGAGCTGGACCAGGAGTTTTTGGAGACCTTGATTGCCCAAGAGGACGCGGATGCGCTCACTGTGTCTACTTTTGAAGGTGAATTTGAGGAATTTCTTCAAGATACCCCTGAAATGTTTGAAGCCCTCACCAGTTACATAGAAGCCAGATCGAAATTGGTGGAAAAGAAGAAAAGCCGTGGATTTTGGCCCATCAAGGGTAAGAGCAAGAACCACAAAGGTCGTGGAAAGGGTTTTGGCAAAAGATCTCGGGATAAGGATGCTCTTCTCCTTCGTATCTCCAAGAGTCATTGTCGACGATGTGGAGCTTTGGGACACTGGAAAGCAGAGTGTCCTCAAGCTGGTAGCAATGAGAAATCCCAAGGTTCAATGCCTTCCGCCTCAGCCAACGTGGTGTTCGATGAGAGGCCTCAGGAAGTGATCAATTCATGCGCCGAGTTTGATGAAGTTTTTTCTGAGGATGATGAATATGAAATGCCTGCCACAGAAACCAGCCTGCATTCGAGTCATGCCGAAGCCGTGTGTTTCATGCTGTCTCATGAGTGTCGAAGTTCAGGGGTTGTCAATCTCAGTAAAAGAATGTCCAACTTTAACAAGCACAGGAATCAGTTTGGTAAGGTTTTGCAGAAACATGTTCAGGATGATTCGCACAGCTTGCCCAGGAAATTTCGTGACTCAGTGAAGCCCAGCACAGCATGCCGAACGTCCAATGCATCCGATGCCTTTGAGATTTCGACGTCCATGCCAGTGTACAGTAGCCTTGAGTCCTTTTGCACACATGCCATTTTGGATACAGGTGCAAGCCGTTGCATCATCGGTGAAAAAACGCTTGAGAAGCTGAAGCAAGCTTTGCCTGGCAACTTAGCCGAAACCTTCCGAAAGCAGACCAGTCAAGTCAAGTTCCGCTTTGGTAATAACCAGACTTTGACTAGTCAGTATGCAATCCAGATTCCTTTGAAGCATGTTGATAACAAGAAACACTGGTTGTCAGTTGAGGTGGTTCCAGGTGCAACTCCATTTTTGTTTTCCAAGCGTGCGTTCAAGATGTTGCATGGATCTTTGAACTCCAAAACCGATCAGTGCCACATGTCCAAAGTTCAAAAGACACCCATTGCATTGGCCACCAGCCCAACTGGACTGTACCTGATCAACATGTTGGACATTTGTTATTTCGACGAGATTGCCATGTATCAAGAAACAGTCTCAACCGAGACCTCATGTTCCTTTCAATCCAAGTCAAAATGGGGTAACTTGGGATGTAAAACATCTAACATAGTCAAATCTAAGAAAGTTGATGGGGATAATCACTTTCGCCAAGCCACCGTGACGCACCGACCAAAGTTCCAACGATGTAGAAGCTTTCACTCAAGTGAGCACACCAATTCGTTCCAGAGATCCGCCGTGTCCGCAGATCACGATGCCGCCAATGGTCAGTGCGTTGAAATCAATCGCAGAGGCTCTCATTCATCTGCTCACTTTGCTCCTGCAGATCTTCGTGAACCAGCTGGAAAAACAAGAGGTGATTTCCGAGATGGAGACCGAGAACAGCCCGGAGACGCACATGCAACTCCAGGAGATGATGAAACAGATTCAGCTCCAAAGTGTTTCGCTGGAGTCCCTCAAGGACGAGATCAACAATCAGAAGAAGACTCCCGAACGCAAGACTCGAGTCATCAACTCCAGTGCTGCAGCGTCGGCTCCGTCAGGGGGTTCTATGATGGTCGTGGCCGGACCACCTACTGGAATGACCCAACGAAGGATCAAAACGCCATCTGTGGTGTCACAGGCGGCCAGCTGGGAAGAAATCGAAGAAGTGGAGGAGATTGTGATCCAACAGAATCTGCAGAGTGTACCATTGACCATGGCATCCAATCGAAGCTCACAGGTGCCGCCAGCACCCACCTTGCCGTTACCGGGACATCTGTCCCTGGAGGAGTGGGGATCCAACACCATCAATTTTGGCCGCAAGCACAAGGGGAAGACCTTTGCCACCGTGATGCAGCAAGATCCAGGATATCTGAGCTGGAGCTTGGCAAGGTATGCCAGCCTGATGCCCGAGCACCAGGACTTCGTGCGCTATGGCCAGTTGTGGATGAAAGAGGTGGGCAACGATCTGTGAGTGAGAGCGATTTTTCTGCTGAAGTGAAGGCCATCCGAGAATCAATTGCCAGATCGGGTCCCAAACCATGTTTGCAAACTCAACATGAAGCTATCTTTCAAACATTTCAAAATTTTGAGGATTCACTTCAAACTGCCACCGTTTTTCCAACATCCAAGTCTCGAGTGTTTTTGTTAGAGATTTATGCCAATCCCAACAGTCCACTCACTGAAGCAGTACAACAGATGAGACATCGTGCATTGAGGTTCACAAAACAGGATGGTGATTTGTCTACGTTTTCAGGACGCCACAAACTTTGGAGCTGGATAGAGATGTATCAACCTGAGCATGTCTGGCTAGCGCCTGAATGTGGTCCCTGGGGAGGATGGAATAGGTTGAACAAAATGAAGAGTCCAGAACTATTTGACAAAATTCAAGGACAACAAGACGAACAGTTGCCACATGCCAGACTCTGTGAACGCATCTGTAAGTATCAGCTTCGACATGGCCGTCACTTTCATTTTGAGCAGCCTGCGGGATCCAGTCCTTTGCATCTGAAGATTTTTGAAGTCATCCGTCAAAAGACTGCCATTGCCCGATTTGATATGTGTCAGTTCGGCCTGCGTATCCCGAAGACCAATCGTTTCCTGCGTAAACGTAGCCAATTGATGACCTCCTCCAGAGAAATTTTTCATGCCATTCATGGACATCACTGCAAAGACCAACATGAACATCAACGCCTTGAAGGAAACATGGTCATCGATGGCCAACATCAGAGGCTGACCAGCTTCAGTGCGACCTACTGCCGTGGTTTTGCCAAAGTGATGGCCAGTAAGTTGTGCGGCCTATCTCATTCCTATGTAGGCTTTGAAGAACAAGTTTTAACAGGTGATGATGATTCCTTTTTGGAACGACCATCAAAGAGACTGAAATCCGAAGGTATCAGCATGCGAAAACGCAAAGAACAATCCGAGTCTCTTGGTACGCCCAGTGTTCATGAGGATGCCAACAATGACGAAACTGACCATCACTCTCAGGATCCGAATCCTGATGTTGCAGAACCAAGTTCCGCAGTGCCTGACCTGGCCACAGGGTCCGAACCCTGGCGAGTGGTTATGCAAGAGGCGATCAAGTCAGCCCCAAGAGTGGGCAATGCAAGATGCGCAATGGATTCCCAGGCTTGGCACTTAGCCCAACAGATCCTCCAGAATACTATGGTCATGACTGACATGTTTGTTTGTAGGGGTACTGAGCGGTTTCAGGTTCCACTCCATGCACCGTCCTCACATCATGCTCCTTTAAGATACACTGTCAGCATTCATAGGGTGACTTCTCAAATCCACGATCTTGGAGTTGAAGACTGGCATAAAAGCACTCGTGCTCAACGCATCCGCAAGAGTGTGCCCAGTAAGTTAACTGTCACCTTGTTTGGATATCTGCCGAGTTCAGAATCAGCGGAAGTGCCTTCCAGAGAATCAGAGCCGCCTGATGCACTTGCCAAGAGTCCCGAAGTTCCCGAGGGCAATGTTGAGCCCCCATCGGCTGTTCGTGCAACCGGCAATCAGAACTTGCCCTTTGCTGTGCATGCTAGAACCAGCAATATAGCTTGCGAGGGATGGGCACCTCCACCGGTGCCATTGCATGGTCCCAAGTTTCGCCTGCTGAGCGATCCTGAAAAACAAGATCTGGTCAAGGTTCACAAAAATCTGGGGCATCCAGATCCTAATGTACTAGCTCAGCATTTGAAACTTTCAGGTGCTTCTGAACACGTGGTTGAAGCGGCCAAAGAATATATCTGCGATGCCTGTGTTGAATCATCAAAGTTCCGACATCAGAGACCTGCCAAACTTCATGAGCCCAGAGAGTTTAATGACTTGGTTGGAATCGATGGTTTCTTTTGGACTGGACGTGGAGGATTTCAAGTTTTTATCTTTCACTGCATCGATGAGGCATCCTTATTTCATTTGGGCCGTCGTCTTGACAACAGACACCTGGAACATGCAATTCCGGCTTTCAGAAACATGTGGTTTGCCTGGGCCGGCCATCCATCACGGGTGTACTCCGACCCTGCTGGTGAATTCCGATCCAGCCAATGGCTTGACTTCCTTCAAAGCCACAACGTGGAGCCGAAGTTCTCTACGGAAGCATGGCAGAAAGGTAGGATAGAGCGTCATGGCCAAATTATTAAGAACATGCTCACCAGATATGATCAAGAAAGAACCATAGAGAATCATCAAGAATTTGACGCAGTTCTCCTTTCATGTTTCCAGGCCAAGAATGCACTTTCCCGACATCAAGGTTTTTCTCCAGAACAAGCAGTTCTAGGTAAATCCACGCCACTACCAGCATCCCTGACATCCGATGACTCCACTGCTGCCCATAGCCTTGCCGATGGGAATGATCTTGCCAGTGAACAATTTCGTAAAAGTTTGGAAGTCAGGTCAAGAGCTCGAAAGATGTTTCTTCTTGCGGACAATGATGCAGCCATCCGTAGAGCATTGTTGCGGAAGTCCAATCCACATCCGGGCCATTACACCATAGGACAGTCTGTGATGTATTGGAGAAAGAAGAACACCAGTGGTAGAAGAGATGTTGGACGCTGGCATGGGCCTGCTAGGATTGTTTGCACGGAAGGAACCACCACCATTTGGGTAGCCCATGGGGATAGACTTTTGCGATGTGCTCCGGAAAGCATCCGGCCGTCTTCCTTGCGTGAATGGCAGAGCGCCTCGGGCTCTCTTGATCAGCAAATTCAAGACCTGCAACGAAGCTCGGAAACTGTGCCTGGTCAAATTTCCTCAGATGGCTTGAGACCTGAACAAGCCCATGCAGATGGAGATGAATATACACCCGGAAGTCCTGCTGAAACCCCACTTGTTCCAGTGAGTAATCAATCCAGTATGCAACCTGAAAGTGAGAATTTTCCTGAACCTTTGGCCTCCACATCAAATACTCCACTTCTTGGACCCCAAGATAACCAAGATTCAGTGAACCAATCCCCGAATAATATCCTTCCAAACCTTGACAATGCCAGTAACTTGGATGATCCCGATAACCATGTTCCCGATCTAGAAGTTGAAGATGCACAGGTCTTGACATGTCACGAAGTTGACGGTTTGAATGTTGATATTGCGCTGCACGAATGGACTGTTTTTCATCATGGCACCAACTCAGGTGAAGTGTGTCTGGCTGAAGATGGAATGCCCTTCATTGAAGAACCACTAGATCCTCATGAGAACCAATGTTTCATGTTGGAAGTTCCACTTTCCAGACAGGATCTCCTGCGATGGTCCCAATCCGACCATCCAGAAGAGTTGGCACAAGTTGCATCAGCAAGCAAAAGAGCAAGAGCCGAGGTCCAATTGAAAGACCTGAACTTTCAAGATCGAAAACTCTTTGCTGCCGCAAAGGATGCTGAGATCTCTTGTTGGCTACAAACCAGCGCCCTGAAGCCCGTCCTGAGAAAACATCTAAACCCAGAGCAGATCTTGAAATCGAGATGGGTCTTAACCTGGAAAAGTGTTTCAGATGATGAAAATTCCTCAGGTGGACGAAAGGCCAAAGCGCGTTTGGTGGTTTTGGGATTCCAGGATCCCCGCATCACCGAAGTCAACCGAGATGCACCAACCTTGACAAAAGAAGGACGTCACACCGTCTTGCAATTGATAGCCTCGAAACAGTGGTTATTAACTTCATTTGATATCAAGACTGCCTTCTTGCGGGGTAAAGCGGATAGCGAAAATCCTCTGGCCATGGAACCTCCCAAAGAGCTGCGAGAAAGGATGCAGCTCTCTGAAGACCAAGTTTGTGCTCTGATTGGCAATGCATATGGAAGGGTTGACGCACCGTTACTCTTTTATAAAGAACTAGCCAAACAGCTTGACACCCTTGGTTTTAAGATGCATCCGCTCGAGCCTTGTGTATACTATCTTGAAACATGGAAGAATGGTCAACGAACTTTACATGGAGTTCTCGGCACACATGTTGATGATGGAATTTGTGGTGGTGATTCATGGTTTCATTCACGACTTGATCTACTCCGTCAACAACTACCATTTGGTTCCTTTAAGCAACGAAAATTTGTCTTCACAGGAATTCATTTGGAACAACTTCCAGACTTCAGTATTCGTGCCAGCCAAAAAGACTATGTGCAAGCCATTCCCCATATCGAGATAGGCAAGCATCGGAGAAGCAATCCACAAGAACCAATCACCGAAAGGGAGTTGTCAAATCTCCGGGGCTTGATAGGAAGTTTGCAGTACGCAACTACTAATACAAGACCAGATATTTCAGCCAAGTTAGGTGAAATTCAGGTGCAAATTTCCAAGCCGACTGTGTCAACACTCCTTGATGCCAACAAGGTTCTTCGTGAAGCTCAGACAATGAGTGATGTGTCCCTTTGCTTCCGAGCCATTGATCCCCAAGAGTTGACTCATGTGGTTTTTGGTGATGCATCCTTTGCAAGCCCGAAGCAATTAGCTTCGTTCCAAGGTACCATGGTATTTGCCACTACCCCCCAACTTCAAAACAATAAGGTTGCTCCACTTAGTCCTTTAACATGGTCTTCCAAAAAGATTTCTCGAGTGGTCAGATCCACCTTATCAGCAGAAGCTTTCTCCATGTCACGCAGTATCGACAAAATGGGGATGGTGTCGTCTCCTATGGGGCACTTTGGTGGTACCGGAATTTAATTGGAGATGTCCCCAAGATGCATTCCGACAATTGCCGGCAGCGACTGTAGTAACAGATTGTAAATCCTTGTTCGATCTCGTCAGCCGACGAGCCATGCCCACGTGTGAGGAGTATAGGACTACGCTTGAAGTTTTACTCATCAAAGAAAGGTGTTTAGAACATTGCCTTTTCCGTTGGATCCCAACTGCCTTGCAGCTAGCCGACCCCTTGACCAAGAACATGGATTCATCACTTCTCCGTGCGGTGTTAGAACGAGGATCTTTCCAACTGTATGATGAAGCAGCCAGTTTGCAAGCGAATGCCCATCGCAAACAAGCTCTCCAGTGGTTCCGGGAGTCACATCAACACAGAATTTGGGGAGTGTAAATTCTGCAATACCTGTTCCTTGATGTGATTCCACTTGATGTTACAGCTTGCAGCCTCCGCTGACATGTCTTCCCAAGACACCATAGCGGTGGGCATAGGGTTGAGGTACATAACCGTTGGACGGTTCATGGTGCTCTGAGCGGTGGTGCAAAAGCTGCGGATTCATTTGGCGTGGGACGCCTTGGTACTTTCCTTTTCATTTGACAGGGTCAACATCATTCATTCTGACAGGGTCAGTTCATTTTGCTATCGTGGTTGGATTTCTATCTGCTGCCAGTGTGATTAGTTCACATAACCTATATATATATAACATTTTATAATCACTATAATTTGTTGGGATGTCCCAGCCAGCCATGTTTGATGACCACAGGGTATATACTATATACTTTAGAGGGAATTGATGTTCCGATCTTTTTGGGGGATTACAAAAAAAAAACTGAATCAGAATTGTTAGTATATATGATCCAGCAGAAGAATCATAATCTCAAATGAAACATTGATTTCATGAAGTAAACCATAATTGGAACATATAAATCTGGACTAATTATGAGCTACAGTATTTTCCACAGTTTGATGAAATCAGCAATTTTCGGATGATGAAGCTACAGGAACACACATTATAATCCCAACATAAAATAAGTCCCATAATCCCAACATGTGGGGCATGAACAAACAACGAAGAAATCAAAGAGATGGGACCTGAATGATCCCCAGAAACAAATAAAAAAAAAACCATGGAGGCTCCGAATCCAAAAAAAATGGCTCTGGGAGCCAAGCAGTGGAAAATCCAACGTGCACAGATCCTCTGAACAATATGGAAAACCACGGTTTTAACCTGAGCCAATTGATCTTTTTTAACGCTCAGCTTTTCATGTCCCATTGATTCCCATTGTATCCCCAGGGCCAGGCTTTTGGGAGATGGCGACTTGTCGTCCCAGTTTTCTTGGTTGATCTACCCGCGTTTGGTTGAAGAATCCTCATGTCCCCAGCAGTCACTCCAGCTGACTCAGAAACCAAACCACAATCTCCAGATTAACCATAGTGTAACCCCTGCTGACTGGCAAAAAATGGGTTGCATGCCCATCAGTGATTTCCTGGTTTCAAATTAGGCTAGGGATGGTTGTAGAGGCATCCAATTACCCAATTCTTCAGGATTGCACTTGATTTGCTGTATACAGTCAGCCAAGTCTTTCCGTTTTATGCCCGCCATTCTTGGTGAGTTGTAGTGATCTGATGTTTGGTGTTTCATCCCAGCCATGCCCCTGCCTGAAGTGCTTTGGGAGGTCAAGATTTCGAGCACTTCCTGCTCGTTGAGTGCTTCAACTGAAGGATCCTGACAAGGTCAAGCTCGGGGTCCAGGTATAGGTGCAAATATTGTATATATATATATATATGTATATATATATATTAGTAGTATATATACGTATTTATAAACCACCCGAACAGACCGGACACATCGGGACACCATAAGCTCGTCACCCCAAAATGCAACCCTTTGGAGATGCAACAAATGCTGTTCCCCATCGAATCTTGGTTTTGTGATCGCTTTTTCTCCTTGGAATGTGCCAATACCCAGCTTCAGGACTGCGAAGTTGCCAAGTGTTTAGATCCTGACTTTCTGGATAGGATCTGGGCTTCCTAACTGATTCCAACTGAATGGTCACCTCACACCCTTCGCAATTTCACAGGCAACACCTTCCACTGAGTATATTTCCTTTTCCTCTAAATAAGTCCCAAAATCGAGTAGGGTTCGGCTGCGTGGTGGTTGATACTATAATATATATTTATATACATATATATATACACACACATACATATATATATATATACATAAGAACCTCCTCATTGGTAAAATGACCATGTCCCGTCATCATCTTCAAAAATCACCAAAATCGGTCGGTTGTGGTTGAATCCTCTTTTTCAGTTTCAATGTTCCTTTTGGGGGGTTGATTCAACTCCCACTGCACTTCTGCAACTGGTTCTTGAATAATTTACTGCTAATCTTTTCTCCCCGGCAGACAGCTGCATTTTGAGCTGCTTTAGTCGAGACTGCCCAATCAAAATCAATCAAAAAGAACTTGACTGAAATTGACCGACGTTTTATCCAATATATCCACTGTGGTCGTTGTCCTATTTAAAATCGACCACCAATTCATCAATTTGACCAAACATGTCATCAAATTGACCCTAAACAATCCTAAATACATCCAATATCATCCAATTGGCTTATTGATTTAAAGAAAACAACCCATAAAGGTCACCCCAAATGAATCTCCCTTATTAATCCAATGATTTTTGATCCACCAAAAAGTCACATCCCATCGGTCGCGCCATAGGGTCCACGGCTGAATCATCAAAGGCCCAACCCCGCCTGGGACTGCTGGGACCGCTCAAACCCGCAAGCGGCACATTTTCAAAAACGGGTCACCAATGGAAAATATGAAAGTTCTAAGCAAAAAGATGGGGGTTCAGCATCTCTGAAAGTTTGGTTCGGTGTGCTGAATGATCTGAATGATCTGAATGGACTGGTGGGAAATTTAGAGGAAACCATGGTCTTTCCCATCAGACATAGGGGATTTCGTCTAGATTTTCCCATGGTCTTTCCCATCAGACATGTAACAAATTCTGGGAAATAGGGATGTGATGAAACTTGAATGTTTAAGCACATAAACAAATATGGAAGGGGTAAGATAGAAGTTTGGTTTTTTTTACAACAAGATAAAGGCTGAACCAGTAGAAGTGTGGACTTGTTACCGCAACAATACTGCGGGGTTCAGAAATCGGCCAAAGTGTGGATGTTGACCAAGATTGTTTCTTGCAAAACAGAAATTGAGACGATGGGTTTAGACGAGCAGTAACTTGGGCTGTTTGGCAACAAGCACAAAAGGTCTTGCCCATTGCCCGTTAGAACTAGGGCTAATGTCCAAGACAGTGGAGGTTTACAATTGGGTACTGATGTGTCTTACTGAGTATTACTGAATTACTGGGGTTGCAGACCCGCTTTCACCTGGTCACAACATGTCACAACTGTGCGCCGCAAATGTGATCGAAAAAGAACAGATGGAATATCCTGAGAAGCTTCAACCCACATGCTGCACATCCAACTGCAACAGCACTTTTCTCCTGAATCTAGTATAGGCAAAATGATCAAGATATACACTTTGTAGTAATTTGTAGCAAATATGTTTTGCTGTATTATGTGAGAATTACACACTGCTGACCAAGAGTAAGCCATGCGAGAAAGTCTCAAGACTGCCTGGCAGGGTCACCCGTTCCAGGCTCTGTGAGAACCTCTTGCTAAATGTCAAGCTCTTCAGATTGCTTGGCAGGGTCACTTGATCTAGGCTTTGGTTGAATTTCCAGCCAAATGTCAAGCTCCGAAGACTGCTTGGCAGTGTCACTTGATCTAGGCTTTGATTAAATTTCCGGCCAAATGTCAAACTGAGAAGACTACTTGGCAGGTTCACTCTTTCCAGGTTCTGGTTGAAACTGCATCCAAGTTGTTGTGATGGCGGTCTCTATTCATCCCGTCACCAAGTTCAATGTTGGAAACCGATGTTGATGGTCATGAGATACAATTCCTGCAATTCAGCACTTTGCAAAGCCGAGAGCACATGATTCATGGCTTTGAAAATTGGCCAGATCCATTCACTGACCGCTACTCACAGGATTTCTCGAGTGGATCTTCGGACGATTTGATGCTGGCACATCTTGAATAGCTGGGCATGGTTGGAGGTGTAGGGGTGTAGGGGTGTAGGGGTGTAGGGGTGTAGGGGTGTAGGGCAGGGTGTCTTTCCAGTGTGTGATTCGACTCAGTCGCCAAGTCGTGATGTTCAGTTTGGTGATGTGATGACAGTGCACGAATGTGCATTCTGGGTGGCTTTTGGGGGCCCATTGCTCAAAAAAATGCTGTGATAGGTGTTGCAGAGGGAGGGTCACCCAGTAACTTCACCCTGCTCAAATAAAGATGTGCTGGTGCCAAAACCACAAGTCATGCCACAATTAGGCATGTCACCCCACCATGGTGCTGCTACCGTCAAGCTGTTCTCTGGCGCATTATGATTCATAATGCACCAGTGCACAGCCTGACGGTAGCCAATGTTCGTCAAAACTATGGCCAAATCGTTAAACTCTTTAGACTGCTTGGCAGCACTGTTCGGTGCAGGCTCCTTTTGAAATTGTCGCCTAAATTCGCCTAGTCTGCAGACTGCTTGGTAGGGTCACACATTGCAGGCTTTGATTGAAACCATTTCCAGACATGAAACTCTGAAGAGAGCTTGGCACTGCCACTCCTTCCAGGCTTTGCAGGCTCTGTGGCAAGGTCACTCATTGGAGGCTCTGGTTGAAGCCATCGCCAAACCTGTTCAAAAAGTGGTTTGGCTGCTTGGAAGGGTCACTCCTTGCAAGTTCTGGTTGAAGGAAGCACCAAAAGTCAATTTCTCAAGACTGTTTGGCAGGGTTACTCCTTCCAGGCTCTTGTCGAAATGACAGCCAAATCTCAAGCTCTTAAGACTGCTCGGCAGAGTGAGCTGTTCCAGGCTTTCATTGAAGTCCTTGCCAACTTGCCAAGTGTCAAACTCTGAAGACTCCGTGGCAGAGTGAAGTGTTTCAAGTTGGAACTGAAGCCAAGCATCAATCTCTGAAGGTTGGTTGGCAAAATCACACAGTTCAGGTTCCCTAACGTCAGACTTTCAAGACTACTTGGCAAGATCACGTCGCAGGCTCTGATTGAAATAGCCGCGCAAATTCAAGCTACGTAGACTGCTAGGAAGGGAAACTTTTTTCACATTCTGATTGAACCAGTAGCCAAGTGTCAAGCTCTCAAGACTGCAGGGCAGGGTCACTCCTTCCAGGCTTTGGCTAAAAGCATTGCCAAATGTCAAATGTTGAAGGCTGCTTGGAAGGGTCACTCCTTCCAGGCTTTGGTCGAAATGATTGCCAAATTCCAAACTCTGAAGACTGCTTGGCAGGTTCAACCTCTCATACTCCAGTTGAACGAACCCAACGTCAAACTTTGAAGATTGCTTGGCAAGCTCACACCTTCAACGCTCTCATTGAAGTCATGGTGAAACGTCAAGCTTTCAAGGCTGTGGAGAAGATGGTGCAAATACGTTGTGGTTGTTATGCCCGCAAGCTGTGTTACCCCTTCTAGGTCAAATTCTGCCGGAAGTGCGGAACCTTGCTTTCGAATTGAACACCAGGCGGCATGCAGATCTGTTGGGACATAAGTGCAAGACAGTGTTGCAGCCCTGCCCATGATGCCTTGCTCCCACAAGGTTTTGTGAAGCACCAGGGGTGCATCAAGGAGATGCAATGTAGGGCGACGCGGCGGAAGGTGCGAAACAAAACCATCCTGCGCAGCCTGCGCACTTCCAGACCCATAGAGGAACCACTGAGTTTCAACATGCACCCTTCACAATTCAGGCATCGTACATGTAGATCAATCACATCAAAAGCACTGCTTGGTTCCAGAGAACCACTTGAAGCGCTGGTAGACATTAGTCCTTGGTTATGATTACAAAATGACAAATGCTGGGCTTTGCCAGCTCGTATCAAAGCATTCTCGAGCCAATCTTGAAGTTGACTTGCATGACTGTCTGAAACTAGAACCTGATTTTCAACTGAAGCATGTATATCAGTCAACAGACTATCACGTCTAATGCATCTACATTATAATGTACATATATATATATATATGATAATATATGTACATATGTATGTGTTTATATATACACATACGACTACATATACAGATGTACATTTCACATAAAAAATACCAGAATTTGGGGACGCATGAAGTTGGTGTTCAATCCTTGGCTTTTGACCATGACTGTGTGGCCATGTTCCTGCAAGTTCCACCCCCAATAACTGACCTTTCGACTCGTCGATGAAAATGGCTTTCCGGCGATCAATACTTGGCATTTGCCAGCCCCAATAACTGATGTCCTTATGAGGAGAGTGAGACGCTAAAATATGCTAAAAGAATTGAAATTCTTGGAGTGCCTAGTTTTGAGACAACCTCCACCGTCCGTTGAACGGGAGGAAAAAAAAAAAACGCCCAACTGACGCAAACTCGGCTAACCTTAGACCTCAAAGAGCCGCTGACAAGCAGGCAAAATGTGCAGAGATATTATAGACATAATATATGATTATGTATGTGATGTGTATGTATGTATGCATATATATATATGATATGATATTATATTATATATATACATATTATTCTCCCATATATCATGATACAACTTTATATTCGTCCATTCTCTTCCATTGAATAGAACAGGAACCACTTTTCAGGGCTCTGAAAAAACGGGGGGTTGACCTGTTCCAACTGGTCTTGGAATCCCAAAAAATGGCAACCCGTGGCCGAGTCACCAGCCAGACAACTTCAGGTAAATCCGACCATCAGCTCCTTTGGAACTGTGGGCTTCGGCCGGTTGCTGGTTGAGCCACCAAGAAATGATTGTTTAACGATCTAAAGATTGAACCAGTACATACAACAGTTTATATAATGAGTATGTAATGCGATATTTCACACACGATATTGATATTTTTCACAACTTGATGCATTTTTTTTGGGCTCGTCTGAATATGGCATTTCACTGGGGAAAATGATGATAAACATATATAAGCATATAGATTAGCCATCCGAAAAAAATGAGGGACCCTGGGTCAAAAATCAAATTCTAAACCCTACCCTCTGGTAAACGTTTACATAGCTATGGAAAATCACCATGCTATTAATGGGTAAATCAACTATTTCTATGGCTTTTTTCAATAGCCAACTGTTAGTCATTACCAGAGGGTAACCTGGATACTTTCAGATCCCCCAAAGACAGTCGTCTCATGCTCAGTTGAGGCACCATGGATGGTGACCCGGTGGCCGACCCCGCATGGGTCGGCCACCGGGCCGGCCAGTGAGATGAACTTCGCATGGTCAGCAACTGAATCTCCGCAAATCTCACAATATGATAGATGTTTGTGTATATGTATATAGATATATATTCATATATTACGTTGGATTATTGTTACTCTATATAAACTACTAAATATATCTGAATCATTTCAAATCTAGTTAGATCTTTTCCACTACATGAATATGTATATATATATATACAAGATACATCAATATACTTGGATTTGCTTACAATTAAGAGCTCCTCAGAAAATCACATTCCCATCTTCCCAAATTTTCGATTCCCATGGAATGGTGGAGAAAATCCATCCGCGCCTGGTGCCACCACGGAGGCCTCAAAGACCGCGCCGCGCTTCAACACGGCGCCGGTGCGCGGAGAAGTCACATCGGGGCCTCAAAGGCGACGCGGCGCCAGGGGCCCAGGGGAGGTCGATTTGTGGGGTCTCGAAAAATGCTGTGTGTTAATGCATGGCGAATGGATGTTTAATGATGGTTAATAGTGGTTAATGATGTTTAATGGTGGTTAATGATGGATAATGATGTTTAATGGTGGTTAATGATGGATAATGATGGTTAATGATGGTTAATGGATATTACTACCCTGTAAATTAACAGTTGGACCCTGGAAATAAGCCGTTTCTAATGGAAACTCATCTTCCAACCCCGACAACTGCCAGGGTCTATGTTAATTTACTGGAGGGTATATCATTGGGACTCTACATTCTTGTTATAATTGATATAATGGATAATGGTACATCAATTGGTATCAATCATCACGATACAATTGGCTGAGAATTGAGAGAACGACTACGAAAATCAATACAAAATGGTGAAATATGCCACTGACAAAGATTTGTAGGTCTATACACACTACAAGATTTTGTATAAACACCAAAAATAGGAATGATTGATATGAACACTAAACAGTTACACTGGCTTTATGATATCACATTCATATTTTGGTGCTGAGAATTGTTCTCAGCATCGACCAAATTGATTGAGTCCAGGTAAGACTTAGAAATACGTGCATTTTGATTTAGGCTGTCCATTTACCAAGATACAGTATATACATTATATACATCTATAAACAATTGTCAATTGGGTTAAGATCATTGGAATTTGTAACAATCAGCCATAAACTTATCATGTACTGTTTATATGATTTTATATGTACATATACTGTATATGTATATATGATTCTGTATATATATATAGATATATATGATTATATATGTACCATGATAAGAAGGTAGATCATCGACAAACAAGTGATTTTCCCGTTGTTCAGCATCTTTGATTGCGAACAGGTATCGTATTTGGGAATGGGTCAACAATATCAATCGCCCAAAATGAATGCAAAAGCATCCACAAACAGTCAGTCGGTCTTAGAGATTCGTGGCCTCTCAAAAAGTCATTCCCCAATCTGAAACTGAAAATTGGGTGTGTCTCATTTTTTGGAGGATAGCCTGGAGGATATCCCATTTCTGATGGGTAAAATGATGAAAAAATTGATGCCAGCTCTCGGGATGATACAATGATGATCCCCTGGTCACGTCAGGAAGGCGATTCGAACATCATTCAGCTTGTGAGATATTATGAATTATGATTCACTGGATTGGTTAAGGGAAAATTTACAGGAAACCATGGTTTTTACCAGCAAATATAGGGCTTTCCTGTAAATGTTCCCATCATCCAAGTCTATGAATGATGACTGTCCCATTGATTTTGAGTTTAAGGACATGTTAGAGTACAACCCTCTCTTTTGATGTCTTTTGGATGGTGGTTCACCATTGCCTTCCTGTGTTTTTCTTGTTACTACTATAACAATCCACCTTGGGCACATTTGAGCACCCCAAAATTGCGTCATGCAGTATATGATAATGTCATATAATGTCATCGTGATAAGATGCCCATAAAACCGTGGCCGCGGACGTTGCCTGCACGAATCCCAAGACCCCTGCAAGGCAGTCAACACGGGTACTTGAGATCAATTTAGGCAATGCCAACACCGGATTGTTTATATTTAATAAACCTCTCAGGTAATACCAATTTAAATGCCAACATATCACTATTTTTGGGGAGAATGCCCCCAAATTTATCAACAGATTTTATGAATCCTGGGTTGACATAACCGTTAATTAAACCATCCAATTTGGAGGTTAATAATGTTGAGCCATCTCCTTCCATATCCATAAAATGATCCAAAACTGGAGCCATTTAAGCCAGCAAGAATGTGTGCGGCCAAGCGATTTCTATGCACCTACCCTACAATGAACCATTCCCAAGATGACCATTTTTATGGGTTGTATTAGGGTTGTATAAATCCATCCCCCCCTTGGTAGGTGGATTTTCAGGTTCACATGACCCTAAATCCTGGTCCCAAAAGATTCCAAAAGTCTAAAAGTAACACAAACAAAAACGATCGAAAAGTTGTTTTGATCAATAGTTGTCGCAAAATTCAGGTGGGACTTGACTTTTCTATCCCAAATTGGGTGCTTCCTAAAGTCACTGGAGTGGTTTAAGGGAAAATTTACAGGAAACCATGGTTTTTACCATCAAATATAGGGGTTTTCTGTAAATTTTCCCATCATCCAGTTCTATGATCCTAAGGTAACCGAAAGTTTCCGCCCAGGCCCGAGGTTTTGCACCGCACCTGGTCGTGACTCGGTACAACCTGCGGCACCTGCAAGCCACCTGGGTCACCTGCATGGCATGGTCATGCCGAAAGAACATGGCATGATGGGATAACATCATATCCCATATGAATCCATATGATTACCCTCTGGTAAACTAACATAGCTATTGAAAATTGCTATTTATAGTGGATTTTCCCATTAAAAATGGTGATTTTCCATAGTTATGTTAGTTTACCAGAGGGTATTTCATGACTGGTTGGTGGTTTTAACCATCTTCAAAAATATGAGTTCGTCAATGGGAAGGATGACATCCCATATATGATGGAAAATAAAAAATGTTTGACACCACCAACCAGATGATTTTGGCACTATGAGATATGGACATCATGCTATAAGATCATAAGGAAATGATGTCCGGATAGGATAAACCAACTGGCATGATTGGTATTGTTTTTCTGGGAAGAGTCCACTAATGAGTGGTGGGATTGACCAAAACTACTGCCAAAGCCAAAATATGTGTGGGATCGTTTTTTTCTGGGATTTGCGAGGATTTAAGCCAATTTAAGCCACCTGGAGATTCTAGGCTAGCATATAATAGAGGTTATATAATATAGAATACTCTGGATACCCAGCAAATTGATCCTCCATCGAAGTTCTGACCATCTTTACGAGCTAGCTACACAGAGTCTAAGGCGGGGATGGAAGGGAAATCTCACAGAGAAATCTCGATGGGCTGTACCGCACAAGGTCAACCTGGCTAGGATTGGCCCAAGTCTTGGAATTGGCAATCATGTTGTAATAATTGTAATATCCATATATAGATATAGATATATTATATATATACATCATGTATAGACTATAGATATACATATATACAGTATATAATCATCTATAACAATGTTTTGCCCAAGGAGAAATATCTACAGCTTCCTCTTTTGAAAGCTGGGCGTCCCAACGCCAGAGCTTTGAGTACGACCTGGGCTTGGACTGCCGTGGCAAGGTGCACCAAGCTTGGTCGAATTCCGATTTCAGATGTCGCAAGCAGTTTCTGTTGCAGTTCACACTGACTAAGTCATGTATGTTTATTCATATGTATATGATTTAAGTTTATGTATATATATAATATCAAATACATCGAATAATATCGAATATATTGACATGGAAAATAGAATAAAAAATGTGTATATATATATTATATATATACCGTTATAAACAATCAAACAAGTCAAGCAAGCCATTTTGTAATGATCATCTGTACATATGAAACATATTGATCCCAAACAGCCCACCGATGAATCCCAAGAATTGGATGTGTGATGGGAATTGATTTGGCGATTGGTACCCAATGTGTCAACCACACACTTATGGACCTTATGGCATATCCCTTTGAACAGACCCAGAGCCGCCTTCCACCGTTGCAGGAAAACCTCCAGACGCCTTTCGAGCGAGTCGGGGATGTCCAAAGGATACAGTATTACCACCCCAAAAAATGAATGGTCATCAATATGGCAGTGTGTCAAAACCTTGTACCCCTGGTGAACATCAAAATAGCTGGTAAATGGATGTTCATCCCCTAAAAATGGTATTAATAGGTATTGATCCATACCCATATCACCAAAAGGAAAAGGGAAAGAAGACATATGTTTGACGCACAAACACATAACAAAACCCCTTGGCTTCCCAGTGTTTGTGAAAACGAAATGTTGACCCATATTCCCAATCTCATACACCCTGTTTTTTCCTAGCTGGTCATGTTTACATATCATATATATATATAGATCCATATAATCATATATATATATTATATAATATCCCTCTTTATAGCAAAGGATGACAGTTTTCCAAACTACCCACCCAAGGTTTCCGTAGTCTTTGGTAAAATTTCAACGTCCCACGAGTTCCACTCCTTTCCCTCCACGTCAGATGCCATGGGCTTCGCAATCTGCTGCGTCTTGGAACCTCCGCTGGCACCAGCTGTCAACCATCAGGGATGCGCAATTTCTGGCCATATATTATGTAATATTAATAAGGAAAATTCATGGGTCATTAAATGTCCCCATTGAACATCACCCAACCATTAGGTATATGGTCTATAATGGCTACTATAAGGTGATGTTCAATATTCCCAAAATGGGACATTTAATGACCCCTGGAAAATTATACCAAAAAATGATAAACCATTGGGGTTGGGTGTGCACTATGTTCTGGCAAACTCAAAGATAGATGTGTGGCAAGTCCAATTTTCTCAGGTTTCATTAGTAGTTTGTTCCGAATTGACATCATAAAGCACACGGGAAATGGTCACAACATGTCACAACCATTCGAATTGATGATGCTGGACGTAAGTTTCTATGGTTTGCAACTGGGTAATTTTATTACACTTGTAACTTGTAACTCTCAAAGAATCTTGTCTGTTGTAATCCCTAGCCTGGGATGGTCCGGCTTGACACCAGGTGCCAAGGTTTTTTGTTCGCAATGGCCAGCAGCGAAATCGCACAATGTACAGTAGATATGTTTTTCTTCAAATGGGGCACCCCAAAATTGCCACTTCGCGAGCATGAGTTGTTTTTTGAATAGGCTTTAATCCATTGGATTTCGCTACAAAATTTGGAACGCAGTAAATAGCCAGTTTCATAGGTAAAATGCTACCAGCTATTTTAATTCGCAACCCCAAAAAGCACGGTAACACTCTTAAATTACCACTATGTCACTATATGTATATGTTAGTTAGGATTGGATTTTACCAAAATCTACCTTTTTTGACCAGCCAAAGATGGTAGTTTCAACCAACTCCGCACCTCGCCAACTTTGCCGCTTCGGCGCAGGGCTGTGTCGCTTGGGTCCGGCGGTGAAGGGGCTGGGCCAACGGTGCTGCAACTGCCTGGTGATTGAAAAAGTGAAATTGGGGATGGTGGATCCTATTGCTTTGCTAATATGATATCTTTTAAAACTTTGTTCTTTTTGTGCTTTGTGTGGGTCTGCCCTGCCATTCGAAGCATTTGTAAACTGGAACCTCTCACTTTGCATGAACAAACATGTGATATAACGTGATCCTGCCCTGCAGCGCATCGTATAATCTATTCTTAGATAGTCAATAGTGATGCAAAGACATGTGTACAGTGTTCTTTTATCGAATACGCATGAATACGCAATATTACGCAATCAAATCTGAAACAAACTAACCCACCAACGAAGGCAACCAAGGCCATGGCAGCTCGGATTTCGGAACTAAAAATGGGAAGTTCAAACAACTGCAGCTTGGGTTTCAATAAAAAACGATCCTCCAACCGCTGCAAAGCAGCCTTTGCAGCTGCAGCTGTTCTTTCAGCTGTACCTGTTGCTGATGCAACTGCTGCTGAATCTGCCGAAGCTGCTCCGGAAATCCTGGGATCGGTAAAGGGCCACCTTTGGGCCCTGTCAGGGCCCAAGGGTTGGACGCCATTTAGCTGGGATCAAACAAAAGAACTCTGACTGAAGATGTGGCCTCCATAAAAGTGAGAAATCTGGCATGTCGCCTTCTTTCCTTCTGGATACAGTACCATCATGTGCCATCTAGTACTCATCGTTTTCGGAATGTGGCTGGGGTTCAACATCATGCATTCCTTAATTTCCATGGGGCAATGTGAAGGTCTCCTGGTCCATTATGCTCACATTGGTACCCTTTTTCTTGAGCCGTACAGGACCTACAGTAGGCGATGAGTGCCCAAAAACTTCTGCCATGTCCTTCTATGGTTGGCTGAGGGCGGGATTCCCATAGTGGATTATATTATATATATATAAATGGTCTAAAAGAATCATCATTCAACCACATAGTCACATAGTGTTTAAGCCCAAACAAACCCATCAACCACCAGGGACCAAGAAATTGCCTGGTGTTTCTTCGCCACTGGCAGGAAGAGGTGGCGGAGGTGCCAGCTCTAGATCCGACCTCGTTGGGTGAGTTACACCGCCCTGGACATTTTGAAGGTGAAAATGTGGTCAACCCATAGCCATGGGCAGAATTCATACCCTCTGGTAATTTAACATAGCTATTGAAAAATCACCATTTTCAATGGGTAAATCCACTATAAATGGCCATTTTCAATAGCTATGTTAAATTACCAGAGGGTAACCCTCCAATTCTTGGGGGTTCAATCCCAGTTTCTGAGACGCTGCTAGCCTTATCTAGCTTTGGGCTTGATCCAAGGACAACCCCGTGCCTTTGACAAGTACCCTTGGAACCGTAGTAGGGTGACGTTGGGGGATTCCGCAAAGTGGCTGCGCTCCTGATGATCAACCCGGCAGATTCATCCCTTCAAACCCGATGTTGGCCATTCAAATGGGCCGTTTCCATCTACAGTACTCGCTGGAACGACATGATAAGTTAAGTATAGTTAAGTGCCAAACCTGCCTTAAGGCATCTCCAGGCCACCCAATTGGGATTTCCTCATCAAACGACCATCATTTTGGGGCACAGATTGCGGATCTACCTCAGCCCCCAGCTTAGTGTCGTGCAGCGCAGGCTCTTGGCCTGTGTCTCTGAGGAGGATTTTGCTGCTAAAGTCAAAGAGTATAGCTAGGCAACACTCCATCCACTGGTTCCAGATTGTTCCAGCGCACAGTTCCCTTCCCATCATAATTCTCCCAAAGGTGTGCTCTTATGCGAGCCTTGACGAGTGAGCATTAATTGCACAGTGGATGGTCAAAATGGCGTATTGTTGAACCCGCCAAACTTGTTACTGTAATACTAAAACATCCATTCTTGCATTCCTAGAGGTCGATAGTCTTGACCTATACCGTACCCCAAATACGATCAGGCAATGGTTTACATCCAATCCATTTTTTATGCATGCCTCACTTCCATTTCACAGACACTCACATACTACATTCTACATCTTACAATATCTTACATATTCCATACTACATACTACATATTAAGATACATACACAGACACATATACATAAATAGATAATAGTACATATAGTAGCTGCTATATCTATATGCAGTTGTACACGAACATCAATGCATTGCTCCTAAAACAAAGAAGAACATCAACACATCCTGGGCCTCCCAAGAGCTCGGACCGGGAGGGGGGCCACTTTGGGCCACCATGCTCCCACCTGTCGCGGCAAAAATGTTGGTTTTCTGAGGGTTCAAAACAGCCAAAATCAGGGCTTCAGCATGCTGCAACACTATCACTATCAAATTGGCTTTGGTGGGAAACTTTGCAGGAAACAACCAGGAACCCAGGCCGATGACCGCCCCTTAAAATGCTGGGCCTTGCTGGGCCTTTCAATTCGGGTGTGAACATGTCTAAACATATCGTGGGAGGGTCCCTGGTGGCGGAGCAGTTGGGAATTCCAGGACATCACTAGGGCTGTGGAATGAAATTTCACCATGGTATGATCTCTAAGACCTTCCTATGGGAAGCAAAGTGCCGAAATCCCAAAAGGACAACACCTACAACCCCAACGCAAATTATTGTTTACTGTTGGTGGGTGAGAGTAGAATAGTTCCTGCAATTCACGAATGTATGTTGAAAATTCTTGAAACACATGGAAATTCAAAGGCTTCGCATAGAAAAAGGACTCTGAAATCCATGTCTCCATGGATTCCAGAAAGACCGCTGGAGAAGCAGTGAAGACTATCCGACTCTGCCCCAATGTCCGGAAATTGCCAGTTTCATTGGATTGGTCTTTTGCAGATTTCTTGGAAAAAAGGACACCCAGAAAATTTCCAATAGCTGAGATGGTATTTTTAGCCATATAAACCCAAACAAAAACCCCGGGTTCCTGTGGATTTTCCCACCCAAGTTACCCAGGTTTACCCATAAAACCATCGCCTGTGCCGGGCTCCCTGTCGGGCGTCCTGTCGGGGCCGAATCAGATCATGGCCGTAGAAAGTTCGTGGATTTACCCATTGAAAACTGGTGATATGATTTCAGAAACACATCCTCAATCTCTACCGATTTTGAACCGCTACCTCAAGACAAGCATTGAAGGGACTAAACCTTGGGCCTTACCGGACCAGGTACCCATCTCCAATCTTGGATACTGGGCAATCATGTTCAAATCCCAATTTCATCCACCAAGAAAACAACAACAATCACTTGGTTTCGCCATAAGTTGTTGGTTACATCATCATTTCAGGTGGTTTAATGACACAGTTCTTTCCAGGTGAATTACAGCATCCTCCACAAACGCCAGTCGGCTTACCTACTGGGGGGTGCATCCCACTTGGTGAGTTGTTGCCAACACATGGATATTTATATATATAATTGTATATATGGTTATAATACATGTACATGTACTATAACTATATACAACTGGCATCAACTGGGTATATCCCACAGATAACATCATATAACTGGTCATTTCATTAGATATTACCCACTTACCCAGGATGCATCTCCAACTACGTCGAGGATCGCGACTCACTTCCCCTGCCTTTTGCTCTGTTTCCACTGTGTCCAAAGGCGTTGAAGGGACCGGAAAGTGTTGCCTGGGTTTCTACCACTGGCCAAAAGGTGACTGAAATATATGCTATTCTTATGGAAAATCATTGGAAAATCATGGATGAAATTGATGAAATTACAGGGTATGACAGGGAGAATGTGGGATCGAGTATGAAGCAGTACCTGGTGAACACCAAAATAGTTGGCAAATGGAGGTTAATCCAACCAAAATATGATATCATATACTGATAGGTTACTTGCTGTATATTTGTATATACCTCATAGAATCACGTAAACAAAAATGGGATGCAGATAGGTATATGTATATACATACACACATGTATGCATTTAAGTACATATATATTATATATGTATGTATATATATATGGTGGCATACCTTATGTTTCTGACTATATGCATGTACCCTCAGCCGTAGTCAAACATAAGTATGTAGGTCAATCATCTATAAATGGTACAATTTATCAATGTTCCATAGCCATGTAACAAATTACCAAAGCGTATGTAAAATTGATCTGTAACAAATGACCAGAACATATGTTAAATTACGTTAAATTACTATAGCAATTACTACCCTCTGGTTATTCGATGTTATTTGTTACATAGCGGAAAATGGCCCATAGAAATGGATGTGTTTTGATGATTTCCTTATCAAACATGGTGATTCTCCAGTTCGCGTCACCTTAAAAATACCCCATCCACGCCGCAGCCACGCCTGTGACTCCCTTGGTGCACCTCGGCTCCGCGGAAAATGGGGGTAGCTAACCATGGCTGGATGGTTTATTTCATGGAAAAAAATGGATGATAACCATGGGTACCCCTATGACGTAGGAAAATGTTGGAAACCCCATAGATAATCTATTAATCAAGATGTTCAGTTGATCCAAATCCTGACATTTTTTCGGGGTTAATCCCCATCGTTGATTCACAAGCGGTAAAACCCCAACCTTTGTTGGGGCCTTGGATCAACCCACCGCGACTGGATTTCGGAACCACTTTATGATAGAACCAAACTGAGGAGCTGTTGGGAAACTGGAACCGGAAACATGGCAAATTTCATATTTATGGTGTTTTCCTTTAGACTGTCCTTTCATCCAAATCATCCAAGTGTCGAATAATTACAAGCCATTGACCCAAATGGGATAAGCCTCCGGATGGACTTACAGTACCGGGGGTACTAACCACTTACCTAAGTGGGGATGATCCTTCTGGCGTTATTTCTGAGCGATTTCCAATCGATTTCCAATGTCACCCACCTGATGTAATGCAGTGAGAAACCACGCTAGAGCTTCGTATCTGGTGACATCTCATTGAGGATGGCCCAATTCTAATAAATTTACCCTGTGGAAATTGAACATAGCTACGGAAGATCCCCATTCTTAACAGAAAACATCGTAAATCCTCTAGAAACGGGTCAAATAAGCAGAGGGTACAGTTTTTGCGTGGCCAAGCCCATGAGAAACTCAGTGAAACACTCAGTTCACAACCACCCGGCGGCATACCAAGGTACAGCTCGCGAGGGTCTCGCCTCTCCTGCGATCCATCGGAGGCATTGTCACCCCCAAAAATGGGGGATACAGGATGACAGAGGGGAAAAATGGAGCACCCTATTGTCCCCAAAAAAGTGGACGCCTCGAATCCATCACTTCCATCTTCTGATAATTCATGGATCCAGTTCGGCCAAGAAACACACCGTTTTTTCCCACTTGTCAGGTGAGGGTCAGGTTTTATGTCAGTTCCTGTGTCATTTCTGCACCTGGCTCGCTGTCAAAGTGCAGTTCCTCCTCGCTGTCTGAGGCCTGGAAAGCTGGGCAGTAGCTGCAAATCCAGGGAGAAAAGCCCAATGTTCATAGGACCATAGGATTTCTTGGGATTTAAAGGGATATCATTGGATATATAATGGTTGAGAATAATCCCAACACTCATCCCATGAAGAAAAATCATGATAGTTTTCCCCAATATGCCAATAAGCCCAATGATTGATCATATTAGGCCAAAGATGGGGCCCGTAAAAAAAAAAGCTAACTGTGTTGGAAAAACTCCAGTAACTATAGGATCTATGATACCAGTATATAGATGTATCTAGGGTTTATAAGTTATAAACCAACTTATAAACTGGGATTCCCACCTTGTAAAGTTGGATAAGTTTGTCTCAAAGTGAAGGACGCTGTGCCCCCCCCTTTCGTTTTAAGCTGTTTTTGGATGTGGTTCGGCAATTTTCAAAGCTTTCCATCTTTTGATATGTTGTGAAAATGTTGCTTTTCAGCCTTGGTATTTATATTATTTGATATGTATGTGATGATGTTATTGGTTAATGTTTAACATGTTGATTTGGTTTCAGCATCATCAGGCAGTGTGTCTATATTACATGTCCCTTCCAGAATTACTGACACAATCAATGATTGCTGATTTCTCACACATTGCTTCTAATACAACTGAGTATTTGATACTTTGTGTTAATAAGATTTAATGATCGCTTCTAGGTTGGTTTCAGTGTTGATGTGTTTCTGATGATAGAAGTGTGATGTTGTTTCATCCTTCTATTTGAGAGTCCAATAATGTTGAACTTATGATGGTATTGTGTGCCATTTGCATGTAGTTGCTGAAGTGCACCTTGGGCCCAGAAGTTGGTTTGCAACAAACTTTGCATAGAGACTGCTTGCTTTGGAGGCATCACTGATGTTCCCTCGTGTTTTTTGTGTTTGTCATGTTGTTTTTTCTTTCTTGACTACACTACTTCAACTTGTGGTTCTTGTGTTTCATGCATTTTATGCTGTCTGTGTAGTTTGAGGAACTTGATTAGTTTATATAATCCTTTGCTCTTTAGGCCGTCAGCCTCATACTACAAATGGTGTTCGTCTTTTGATGATCTTGTGTTTTGACTTCCAAGTTGTTGGGTCTTCCGTTTCCAGTCACGTCCTTTTTGTTGTTCGTAGGTGCAACAAGTCAAATATATATATATATAGACATGGCAACACTAAATGGGCGCTAAAATTCCAAAGCGCGGTCATCCTTCATCATGGGAAGCAAATTAAAAAACGACGTGATGTTTCTTTGGTTCCGTCAATGTCTGCCACCAAAATCCACCAAATAATTTTCGAGATGACCTGTGCGATACTCGAAGAAGCCTGCCTGATGAGCGGCTTTTGCCAACGATGATAAGCAGCTCTACTAGTAAAACGGCGTTGCATTTCCACTTTAAAGCATAAACATTCCAAGGACAAGCTGCCTTGCCGCTTGATGACAATTTTGAATATTCGAAAAAACGTTCAGAAGTCTGCTTTCAGTGGCCCAATAAAACTATCAAAGTCTGCTTGAAGTAGGCAAAATACGGCCCCACACCCTATAGCCTCCCTGTCCTAATCTGTTCAATTCATCTAGATATAGCCAATCCTCTCCCGCCCCATGGGAAGGTTAAGAGATTCCACGGGTTGATCCTGGGTTTGAGGATTCCAAGTTTTTTTTGTTGGAAGGTTCCAAGGTTCCCAGGATGTTCCGCTGGCAAGTTCAGTTCAGTGGTGGTGGAGGGTTCAAGACTGGACCGCTGAGAACTCGGACCTTGGTAAATGAACTCGAATGGGATTATATAAAGAAATAGGATCCACCATTCCACCATCACCATCCCCATAATATTATGGGTGTCAGCCATCAAAATATGGGTGGATTTGTTGTTTTACTATATAAAATGAATGACTTTTTCATATGCCATGATCGAAATAAAGAGTACCGTAGGACATGTGCTTGACCTGGTTGACCTGGTTGACCACAGGATTCTGCAACAAAGGGCTGCAACAAATGCCCAAAATGGTCACCAGAATCATTTCACCAGAAACAGGTGGTTCATCCTTGGGTATCCTCAGGTGGAATATCATCTCTCTCCACCCAGGTGGCCAGAAATCAACCCTGTTCCTCTACCTTTCACCAACCGTTCCCAGAAAAAACATGTTGAGTTTGGAATCTCCAGAGGAAAACCGAGGGGCCAACCTCTAACCATCGCCGATCCACTGGCCGTCTATCCTCAGAAATGCTTCGGAAAGGCTCTTATGTACTGTATATGTATATATATATATGTATATATATATGTATATATGTATATATACATATATATGTATATATGTATATATGTATATATGTATACATGTATATATGTATATATGTATATATGTATAAATGTATATATGTATATATGCATATATGCATATATGCATATATGCATATATGTATATATGTATATATGTATATATGTATATATGTATATATGTATATATGTATATATGTATATGTGTGTATATATATGTATATATGTATATATGTATATATGTATATATGTATATATGTATATATGTATATATGTATATATGTATATATGTATATATGTATATGTATATGTATATATATATGTATATATGTATATATCTATATATGTATATATGTATATATGTATATATGTATATATGTATATATGTATATATGTATATATGTATGTATATATATGTATATATATATATATATGTATATATATGTATATATGTATATATGTATATATATGTATATATGTGTATATATGTATATATGTATATATGTATATATGTATATGTATATATGTATATATGTATATATGTATATATGTATATATGTATATATGTATATATGTATACATGTATATATATATGTATATGTATATATATATATATATGTGTATATATGTATATATGTATATATGTATATATGTATATATGTATATATGTATATATGTATATATGTATATATGTATATATGTATATATATGTATGTATATGTATGTATATATGTATGTGTATATATATATGTATATATGTATATATATATACATGCATATATGTATATATGTATATGTAAATATATATATATATGTATATGTAAATATATATATGTATGTGTATAAATGTATGTGTATATATGTATATATGTATATGTATATGCATATGCATATGTATATGTATATGTATATGTGTATGTATGTATGTATGTATGTAGGTAGGTAGGTATGTATGTATGTATGTATGTATATATATATGTATATATATATATATATCTATATATGTGCGTATATATATACATATGTATAGTAGGTAAGTGTGTATATACATATATATAATTGTATATATTGGTATATAGTCTTATGATTGGGGGTCTCTTAGAAGGAGATCTCCAAAACCATTGGTTTAAAACCAAGATATGTTCAAACTTGGATGAATTGGGGTAGCCCTAATTTTAGGAGACCTCCATATACTTCATATACTTCAGGGTGGGTATTGGGGTGGGTTAGCACATGAGGATATGTATCTGATTGATGGTTTCAACCCACTCCAAACATATGAGTATATGAGTCCATTTTGAACATAATCCATGCGAATTGGAAATATATATATATATAATTCACACACTACCAACCAAATAATCTAGTTCGTGATCAATGACTGGTGACTAGTCCATCCCATTGATTTTGATCTCTTCGCATCTTTGAGAGTCAACAGTTTGGACTTCAGGGTCTCCATGGAACCCCTGGGTGGTTACCCATCATCTCAAGCAGACCCTGCGGTGCCGGGCGCCCGGGCCAAATGGGCCTGCATTGGAGGTGTCGATGCAGGGCAAGCCTCAGCACAAACTTCAAGCCCAGTACCACTTCCTTGGCCCAACACCCAACAAATGGTACATTTTGGTATGCAAACGCAGGTGAGAATCATCAACCCCTGCAGCTTTGCAGCTTCATTGGAATACACCTCAACCAGGAGACTTTCCCGACTTTTTGGAACACCATCAAATCCTGACTTGGCAGTCCCTGATTTTGACGTATCGTATCCAAGACTGGTTGTCTCCAAAGTTTGGTAGGTACGTTCCACCGCCGTAACCCAGTCAGCTTCCAAAATCCCAATTCTATACCCCAAAAGCCGGGAAGAAAAAAGTAAAACCACCAGAAACTTGATTTTGCTGAGTCACTTCCTATCTCGGGCAGGACACAGCTCATATTTTTGGGGTTCCCTTTGTATCTATGGAACAAAAACCTGCAAATGATCCTTGTGAACGTCAAACTATCTCATCAACTACAAGGCAAATTTCAGAAGTCTGCAAAATACCACAATTTTGGAAAAAAAACATTACACCAGTCTTGAACAAGGTTTATGCTTCTAGGATCTTCTGGGCACCTTGCTACACTTCCCAAATCAGAAGTGAAGTGCAGTAATCTCCACAAACTTAATTCATGTCCAATTTCGCTGATTTAATAGGGGTTTAATTGAATTTGGTTGTAACTGAATTACAATTTGGAACATCCTTTATATAATTAGTTCGATGATTTTCCCAGCAAGAGAAACCTCCATTTAGATAGAGGATTTCCCAGCCAGCCACGTTTGATGACACCGGAGGGTATTCCATTAAATATCCCAATATCAGCCAGTATTAACCATCATTATCCATTATTAAAAACTATATATTCACCATAATTAACCATTATCAACCCATGCTTCACCATTTATTAAGCCATGATTACCAGAGAATACATATCCCATTAAGTCAATTGTAATCCCATTGACTTGAAACCATTAAATCTCCATTCATCTCATTACAGTAAATCTCCCGGCTGATTAAAATCCCCTGAAATCCCATGGTAAATGGGTGCGTGTGTCTGAAAATAAGGTGTCCCATTCCATCCCTTGGTAATTCTCACCATTCTTCCTATTATTTCATGGCCACGTTAAGGGTATACCCCATTTTTTCAGAAACCAAACGTCATATCCAGTTGTCTATAATTCTATCCCGTGAAATTTCCCATATCAAATTATATCGTCATTCAACCATGCCACCATTCTTTGTCCATAATAATGCCATCCTAGGAACGATTTGCGTAATCAGAGTCAATCTTTGATAGTCCACAACATAAAAGGTGGATTATATAGCTGGTTATGGAAACAATGCTGGTTATTGATAGCCAATCTTTCCATATATATATATATAGCTGGTTATGGAAAGTTTCCATATATAGCAAAAAACGAAGGATTAGTTTCTACCCATCCAGTCGGTAGGTTCTAAACTGGGGTTAACGGGTTAACTTGATATAATCCTAGTTTATAACTCCATTAACTATAGATACCATAGTTTCCTATGGTTCTATAGTTCTCAATAGTTACCATATCCATGGTTCTTATATCAGATTACTTAAATATCCCTATCCCACATATCTTGGTAAATTATAATATTTTCACTAACTTGAAATGTTGCGCTATTTGGGATAGTTACCAGAAATAAAAATTCACAAATCATTCCAGTGAGAACAGGTCGCCGCTGAAAGGCTTCCTCGAGGTGCCTCAGAACACCGGCGCGCCACATGATATGCACAGGATGACTTTTTTGGTGAATATCATACGAAATATGGCATGGGGTACATATATACCTATACGTGTATGTATATATATATATATATGTATTTTGGAAACAAGATGATATGTATGTATGTATGTATGTATGTATGTAGGTAGGTAGGTAGGTATGTATGTATGTAGGTAGGTAGGTAGGTATGTATGTAGGTAGGTATGTATGTATGTATGTAGGTAGGTATGTATGTATGTAGGTAGGTATGTATGTATGTATGTAGGTAGGTATGTATGTAGGTAGGTATGTATGTATGTAGGTATGTATGTATGTAGGTAGGTAGGTATGTATGCATGTATGTAGGTAGGTATGTATGTATGTATGTAGGTATGTATGTATGTATGTAGGTAGGTAGGTATGTATGTAGGTAGGTATGTATGTAGGTAGGTAGGTATGTATGTATGTAGGTAGGTATGTATGTATGTAGGTATGTATGTATGTATGTAGGTAGGTAGGTATGTATGTATGTATGTGTGTATGTATGTATGTATGTAGGTAGGTAGGTAGGTAGGTAGGTATGTATGTAGGTATGTATGTATGTATGTAGGTAGGTAGGTATGTATGTATGTATGTGTGTATGTATGTATGTAGGTAGGTATGTATGTATGTATGTAGGTAGGTAGGTAGGTATGTATGTATGTGTGTATGTATGTATGTATGTATGTATGTAGGTATGTATGTATGTATGTATGTAGGTAGGTAGGTATGTATGTATGTAGGTAGGTAGGTATGTATGTATGTATGGATGTATGTATGATCCCCCTTGGAGTTCGGTGTGTAACCTGGGTACCCCCATTTTATAGTGATAAAATGGTTTTGGGGGGGGGGGGGCCTCTATAAAATGGGGGGCCCAGGTAATTAGGGGGGTCTGCGCTGTCTATAAAATGGGGGTACCCAGGTTACTTACTTAACTGTCTGATTCGGCTGTCTGGGTCCATTTTGACCTTCTATAAAATGGGGATCAGGGTCCCAGGTGTGAAGTGCTGGGGGCAAACTCCGGTCATAAAAGAGAGTTGTTGATTTGGAATTTCTATTTTATAGAGGTGATAAAAGGTGAGAAATACAACAGGCCTGCCTCGCATAAAAACTGCACTTTTTCACAACTGCACTGAATATGTTTAAGATGATACATGTTGATACATGTTGATACAAAGCCTTGAAAAAAACAATGCAAACGGGCACTCTATAAAGTGGAAGTTCAGCCACACCACACATGGAAACACCCTATCTATAAAATAGCACCACAACATTGCACAGCCAACATTGTGCTATAAAGTGGAGGCCTGTGCCACCCCTACTAAATGAACAGCTTTCCTGCAGTAAGGCCCCAAGTGGCCTCTATAAAGTAGTACTTGCCCAAAAAAAAAATAGATAAAACATATCCTGGTAAACCATTCAAGAACCACTCCAAACATTCTGTTTTCCATTTTATAGTGCCTGAAAAAATGGTTTAGCAGGGTACCCGGGTGCGACCATTTTATAGAGGAAATGGCCACCAGGATTGTTTAAGATTGTTTGTATATATTGTTTAAAAAAAACCTCTGATAACCTTTCTATAAAATGGGGAACAGAACGGTTTTGCAAGGGCTTGCCTCTATAAAATAGAAACGCATGGGCACCTGTGATTGGAAAGCTAGGAAGCCCTTCTATAAAATGGAGAGCAGAACGGTTTTGCAAGGGCTTGCCTCTATAAAATAGAAACGCATGGGCACCTGTGATTGGAAAGCTAGGAAGCCCTTCTATAAAATGGAGAGCAGAACGGTTTTGCAAGGGCTTGCCTCTATAAAATAGAAACGCATGGGCACCTGTGATTGGAAAGCTAGGAAGCCCTTCTATAAAATGGAGAGCAGAACGGTTTTGCAAGGGCTTGCCTCTATAAAATAGAAACGCATGGGCACCTGTGATTGGAAAGCTAGGAAGCCCTTCTATAAAATGGGGAGCAGAACAGTTTTGCAAGGGCTTGCCTCTATAAAATAGAAACGCATGGGCACCTGTGATTGGAAAGCTAGGAAGCCCTTCTATCAAATGGGGAGCAGAACGGTTTTGCAAGGGCTTGCCTCTATAAAATAGAAACGCATGGGCACCTGTGATTGGAAAGCTAGGAAGCCCTTCTATAAAATGGAGAGCAGAACGGTTTTGCAAGGGCTTGCCTCTATAAAATAGAAACGCATGGGCACCTGTGATTGGAAAGCTAGGAAGCCCTTCTATAAAATGGGGAGCAGAACGGTTTTGCAAGGGCTTGCCTCTATAAAATAGAAACGCATGGGCACCTGTGATTGGAAAGCTAGGAAGCCCTTCTATAAAATGGGGAGCAGAACGGTTTTGCAAGGGCTTGCCTCTATAAAATGGAAAAATTATGGAAAACACATTGGCACCTGGGAGATCCTGGGATGGGAAAGCTAGAAAGCTGGAAGTTAGGGAAGGCGCTTTACCACACAACCCAAGATATCCATAGAATTCCATAGATATTCTAAGAATTCCTAAGATTCCCCAAACATCCCTAAGCCATCCCAGACCCAAAAGCCCCCTCAAAAAAAACATCAAACATCATCAAAAATCTCCAAAGCCCCAGCACTTTCCCAGATTCTGGGAAGCCCTCCTCTATAAAATGGGGAACCAGCTCGTATCTTACCACAAAGCACCCATTTTATAGAGGCTCTTGGTGGTAGAGGCCCAAATACCCATTTTATAGAGGTAGTATAATATAAATTTGTAACATCATGTAACATATTGTAACATCAATGTTCGTGCTTGTATGTGCTTGTAGTATCTTGTATGTTCTTGGATGTTCTTGTATTATACCCCCCTAAAAGTAGATGGCGCAACTCCAAAACCAAAATACCCATAAGATGGCACCGCGCGGTGAGAAAGAAAACGGCGCTATTTTTTGCCGGAGCATAAAACGAGTTCAGCCACTTGAAAAAAGTCACCCTACTTTAAAATGAGAAGGTAGATGGTGCAACTCGTTTTGAGCCTATGTTGAGCCCGAAACCGACCCAAAATTCAACCTCAACGGAGCCATGCTTCCGCTGGGGTTGAAATTTTAGGCCCGAAAGCCGCCAACAGAGCCCTCGATTGTATTCAATTGGTTTCTCTTTTTACTTGCCAAATCTTGCCAACATGTTTGATCTTTTTGAACATTTTGGAGCCATGTGTTGCTGCCGGTCACAATCCAAGCATTAGTCTCTATAAAATGGGGACCAGGGTTAAAAGAGCCCCCAAAAGTTACCCCAAAAAGTCCCTCTATAAAATGGGGACCTGGGTTGACCTTGCAACATGCCAAAAACACCAAAAAGTGCTTCGTATTTCCCAAAAAAAAAAAAACATTTTATAGAGGGATAAAATGGTGGGTTATAAGGGTACCCGGGTACCTCTATTTTATAGAGGAAATTGCCACGGGGATTATGTATGTATCTATGTATGTATGTATGTATGTATGTAAATATATATGTGCACCTTTCATAACCGAGAATATGATAATGGGCGCAGGAAAAGAATTCAAATCATGGGAAACAACGGATCTCAGTGTCCTTTCGCACTGTCACTGCTGGATCGGTCCGGCTTGGAACATTCGCAACACACCTCCACGAGGCCATACGTGACATACGTGAGTACCCAAGAAATATAAAAGTTATATAGATGATCAAAATATCTGGGTCCCAGGGTCTTGGAACTTGACCCACAGTCATATCTCACCAATCTGAAATGTTGGCGAATGTTGCTATGCTGTCCTGTCTTTTAATCCAGCGGCCCTCAAAAACCCTTCAAACCAATGTGTCCTGTCTACCAAGTTAGATGAGCTTGGTCAAAGTTAAGATCCCAGATGAAGCAAGACAGCAAAAGAAACAGCACGTGACGCCGTGATGCCAGAAGGAACCTGCGTGCATGTAAAATATAATATACTGTATACTGTATGCTGCACATATGAACATGTGTATAGGATTGTATAGGTAATATGTACAAACATCAGGTAGAGTGCATTATGCGGCTCTAAAGCACCACAAATGAAACAAATCATTTACAGCTGCATGTATCATGCTGCATCACAGCCAGCATGGATGGAGCTTTCTGTTTTGTCATGGAGTTACCCCCAGTCATCATCCATTTGAACACGTGGGGAGTTCCATAGTCATGGGGGTACCCAAAATGGATAGTTTATTTCATGGAACATCCCAATGAAAAATGGATGATAACCATGGGTACCCCTATGACTTAGGAAACCTCCACATTTTTCATCGGATTTTCCAACCGTCCAGCCATTGGGGTACCCAGGCCAAGTGGGAGTCTCTTCGTCCAAGCCGCTCCTGCGAGCAGATCTTGGGGCTTCACAAACCAATCAGACAAACCCACATGGAAACACATAATAAATAAATACATTTTAAAAGAGGTCTCAATAATTAATCACAGAGTTCTTAACAAGCAGACGTTAGCTGGTAAGAGTCATGGTAAGAGCACTCACAGTTTCGACTATCCGTCTTTAGCAAACCATTTTTCTTCGAAAAATATAGTTTACCACTATCAGCAGGAATCTACATGTCCATCCTTTTGGCTGTCACTGTAAAATAGAGAAAAGTCCTATGAACATGTGAAGATTTCCAAGCCATGATCACCATGCCGCCTGTTCGCCACTTCGAACCTCGGGATGCAGGAGCTATATGGAGCTATAGCTTTTTCTGCCCAGAAAATCCCAATGATTCGTTTTACCCTTGGGTTAGTTGTGGCTTGTCACGGTCATTGAGTCAGACTTGACTTTCAGGCTATGGTCATTTGACATTGTTTCTCTGACACATCCTGATGACCGTGACTCACGCGCATCCCAGTTTTCAGAGATCAAAATTGTGTGTACATCTGCGTACGCCCTGTATGCCATTTATCCTGAGGTACCCTCTGGTTATGACTAACATGCTATTGAAAATGGCAATTTATAGTGGATTTACCCATTGAAAATGGTGATTTTCCATAGTTATGTTAATTTACCAGGGGGTATTCAAAACATTGTTAGCTGGAAGATCGCCGATCTGTAGATGTACTGAACATGGCTTGGTCTTCCTGCCAGGATGGATTGCCACTTGGTGTGCCATGGTTTTAAAATTGAATTATCGGACAAGGATCCTCTTGGAATCTGTCAAAACGTTGATTTCATGTCATTCATTGCTTTCATTCATCTCATTTCATGCCGTGTCGTCTCATGCCATGCATTCATTCATTATTTCCTTCTTTCAATATTTCAATACTTCAATATTTCATGCATTCGTTCGTTCATTCATTCATCCGTACAAACATGCAGTGACTAGTTTAACCAAACGACTGTGGCATTGAAAGCTATAGGCCTTGCCAGCCCTTGCATTTCCATTTCGCCACTGACTATGATCAAAACTTCCGCCCCGGCGTGGCCGGGTACTACTGTTAGTCATGTCTGGCAATCCAACAGTTTGCCATGGGTTCCATGGCTTGTTTGTGGATGATTTAGCTAAAATGCTGGTTTCCCATACTTATAATATATTATATATACACAGTATTATATCGTTATGTTACATGACCAGAGGGTAATGATGCTTCCAGCTGGTAAGTGATTTGTCATCTTTCGAGCCCCGTCCCAGCTCATCACTCAGGTGTTTCTGAACCCAGCACTGGGGCAAGTTGTGTCGATTGGGATTGCAAGCGTTTGTCAGGACTGACATCGATCTAAGCATCATGCGATCAGCAAATGTTGAAGTCTTTTCCTCACCCGCAGTCAAATGTTCCGAAGACATTTGTGACTTCGGTGTCATCGCACTGGCAGAACGGCAGGACTGGCTGTCGACTTTCGCTGCACTGATGTCCGATTCCAACCCAACAGAATGTGGGCAAACTGGGGATTTAATCCCCCAACTGACTGTGGTCATTTCATAGGGATTTTCTAATGGGAAAATGAAAATTTCTAATCCAATGGATTGAGGTTTTCTCCATAATTTTCTGATATACACCAAAGCCGTATTGTTGTTCTTTGGGCGGAATTGGGCCGCCCATGGCCGCCCCATCTTCAGGTCCACGTCGGTTCTGGCCTTTTAAAGGGGCCTTCCTTTTCAAACAGACTTATAAAGGGCCTAAGGTAACGACATGTTCAACCAAACCACATCATTCTTATGAAACACATCAGATGTTCAAGTGAAATAATATTGATCGATGGATGAACATTGATCGTATTGATCAATATGCATAGAATACAACCCTTCAAAGCCTTTCTTAGTTTGGAAGATGAATTCGTTTTCACCATCACTTTGGGTTGCCGGAGGACATCTGTCAGCGCTTGCGCCATAATTTCTATTTAGTGGGTAATTGTATTTATTGGTATGGGTCAGAATTCGGTGCCCAGCATATCCAAAACATCTATGGCTAATAACTATATTTTTGATTCCAGAGCCATACATGTTTTGCAAATAACCAATAGCTAATAGCTTCTCGAAATGATATCCAATGGCTAACAACTGATTTCATTGATATCATTGATATCTAGAAAACATTCTATGGCCTAAAAGAGCCCGTTTTTTGCGGATGAATCAACATCAACCATTCACCAATCTGTTTGTGAAATGTCATGGGATGATCCCAGCCATGACCGTGCCATCTGTTGTGAAAAAACATGTTCCAAGCAGGTCGACCAAAATTTCAACCCATACCCAACCGTGACATGAACTGCATGACGAGTGACCTGTGCACTCTGCCCGCACTCTGCCCACGTCCAAAAATGCTGCACCTGCGACCTGTACGTATGCCTGTATGTGTCAGGCGCGAGAACTGCTGTTTGGTCGATGGAATACGCTTAAAGGACATATGAGTCAATGCAGGATATGGACAATGAAACAGATGCAACCAAATGACCAAATCAGAGTGTTTATGGTCTAGACGATCCAGTCAAAGTTAAAGTTCGAAATTACTAACTTGGATCAACTTGGTATATACATGTAATCTGGGTTCTTGGCACCCTTTTTTGGAGATCCCTTTGCGTTGCAAAGACTGTAGTCTCACTTGCACAGAAGGATCCTGTGAGGATGCCGAAGACCCAAGCACTTTTAAATGCCAGAGTCATGCAATGATGAGCGCAGTTCTACACACAAAAGCATCCCTTGTATAATCTGCATGAACTATGGTTCGAACTGGCTTCCTAGATGTTCCTCGCTCATCCCTGAGATTGAGGGCCTGGAGCCCTGTCCTGGAGCCGGCAGAATTCAAACCGCCGTATTCAAACCGCCGTTCAAAATTCATCAAATTTCCGCATCAAACGGTCGCCGGCCTCGCCATGCTCTGGCGGGCACTATCCACTAAGAACTTCAATTCACGTTTAAACGTGGCACTGACTTGAGGCCAGTGCTGAAGGGAATTGAACAACTGTCCTAAGGAGAATCCGCGCAGAATCCACAGATTCTCCATGACCCGGCAAAGCTCAAGCTCTGTTGGCATCTGAGCCTGCCTCAGACCTCGCACATGGCGCTGTACAACCACCAGCACAAGACGTAGCTGCTGCTCAAGTTGGAGTTTGATCACCTCATGGGTCGTTTGAGTCCGAAGACTCGATCACGACACATTCATGGCTTCGTTTCCGTTTCAACTCACGAGAATATGATGCCAAATTACCGGACCGGGTATATATAATCCCTTCCCCCTGAAACCACCTTTTTGTGGTGGATGTATGCATTTTGGGGACTAGGATGGCGTACTGGAATCAGTACTCATAATCGGACTGTTACCATCTGGTTATTCCCCACCTGCCAGGTGAGGGTTGTTAGATTTTATCAGAGCGCATGCCCGCCTCCTCCTCCGCCTCCTCCTCCGCCTCCTCCTCCTCCTCCTCGACTAGCTGTCCTCCTCGCCCTCCTCGCCTCCGCCTCTTCCACCTCCACTTCCGCCTTGCTCCACCTCCACTTCCGCCTTGCCAACCTTGCCAACTCGTCGCCAAGCTCTTCGCCAACTGCCCAGCTCAGTGCGCACTGCTGGACGTCAACCTGCGAGCTGCCCAGCTCAGTGTGCACCGCTGGACCTCAACCTGCGAGCTGCCCAGCTCAGTGTGCACCGCTGGACCTCAACCTGCGAGCTGCCCAGCTCAGTGTGCACCGCTGGACCTCAACCGGGGACCTGCCCAGCTCAGTGTGCACCGCTGGACCTCAACCGGGAAAATGCCCAGCTCAGTGTGCACCGCTGGAACTCAACAGACAGAAAGAATGCCAGAAGATATGCCAGATAGAATGTCAGATATAATGCCAGAAGATATGCCAGATAAAATGCCATGAGATATGCCAGATAGAATGCCAGAAGATATGCCAGATAGAATGCCAGATAGAATGCCAGAAGATATGCCAGAAGATATGCCAGAACATATGCCAGATAGAATGCCAGAAGATATGCCAGAAGATATGCCAGATAGAATGCCAGAAGATATGCCAGATAGAATTCCAGATAGAATGCCAGAAGATATGTCAGATAGAATGCCAGAAGATATGTCAGATAGAATGCCAGAAGATATGCCAGAAGATATGCCAGATAGAATGCCAGATAGAATGCCAGATAGAATGCCAGAAGATATGCCAGAAGATATTCCAGAAGATATGCCAGATAGAATGCCAGATAGAATGCCAGAAGATATGTCAGAATATATGCCAGAAGATATGTCAGATAGAATGCCAGATAGAATGCCAGAAGATATGTCAGATAGAATGCCAGAAGATATGCCAGATAGAATGCAGAAGATTTGCCAGATAGAATGCCAGAAGATATGCCAGATAGAATGCCAGAAGATTTGCCAGATAGAATGCCAGAAGATATGTCAGATAGAATGCCAGAAGATTTGCCAGTAAGAAAATGTATAAATGTCATGGTGGGGATCACACGAAGTAAAGTAATTTAACATATAGATGATTCATGATTTACCAAATTTCAAAAAATGGTGTAAAATGGTGATGTTCCAGAGGGTATGTCATATGTATAATCCCCGATGATAGCTCTTCAACAGCTCAGCATGTTTGCTGCCCACCTGTTGTTCCAAATGCCACTGGAAGATGAGCAAAGCAAGCAGCTCACGCATTGTCTCCAAGCGTTCTCGTTCCTGAAACCGGAAGGGGTCGCTGGTTCCGAGCGAGAAATCCATCGCTCGTTCAGCATGAAACGTCTGAAAGAAACTGAAGATACAGGCTAATATTCAGAAATATTCAGAAATATGTATAGTAATCATCTCGGAATGCCAATCTGGGCAAACTCAGGTTGAATCCAGCTAATTAATGCAAATCAGAGTTTGCTTGAAACCGATCCCAGCATGAATCACCACAAATCTCAGGATGATCCGATTTATAAACTTGACCATACTGGTATGCTCATCATCTGGCTGTCACCTTGGCATACAAAATTCATAGGGACTCAGATCGACGTGGAATTCCTTTTCCTCGCAGCAAACACAGCCTGTCCCAAGGAACGTTCCCGGGTCGCTCCTGTCTGCGCAGCTTGCGCTTGGGATGGACATGTTCCAAATGGCAGAAGTCGCACCTGCCGGGGTGAAGAGACTCAATCGTTGCTCAAATGATGTCGAGGAAGAACCTTTCACAAAAAGACCTGGTACTGTAAATCATTGAACTGGTTTTCATTCAACGTTTGAAAAGGAAAAATCATCTGTGGATATACTGTACATAAAAGATATTAAAAGATGCTCCATTGCCAAATGGAAAGATCTTGGTTTGTCCAAAAATGGGCATCGCCCATTCTTCATTAGTGAAAGTGATGGTTTTTTCGAATTTGGGGACAAGTCGTTCCCAATTTTTTTTTGCTCTCAAAGCCATGTCCGTATGGCTTCCCACAAAATGGGACGGTTCATTTTCTGGCCAAATCACTATTGGTGCTTCAAAACCTTCATGTTTCATCATTTTTCACCATTTCTCACCGTGCAAAAAAAAAAAGTTAAATCCCTATTGGTTTTCCAACAAAAGACTATGTTTCAAACGTGAACTTGTCACCTCATATATAAACCTCAAAATTGGGCTCAAATACCTTGAAAGGTTGAAAAAAAAAGGATCAATACCTGCTTTAACATGGTTCAAAAATCCCTATTTGTTGAAAGAACCATGCCATGGTTTAAAAAAAAAAAAAAACTATTTTGTTGGTTTCATGGTTCACCCCTCTCCACCACCTGGGACCCTTCATGCAGGTTCCATGAACTGCACGGATGCAGGGAGCACGGCAGAGAAACGGGTGCCCCAAGCTGCCACTGGAGATGCCCGGCTCCTGAGGAGACAGGATGCATTTCTTTGTGTGATAGAAATATGGCTAGGTCGGATTTATGTAAAGAAAAACTGAAGATGACACATGTATATATTAGTGCAATGTTATATGCAGAGCATATTATACTGGTATGGATGTAAGTATCATAGATGCATACATAGGGATGATATATATACATACATACATACATACATACATACATACATACATACATACATACATACGTACGTACGTACGTACGTACGTACGTACGTACATACATACATACATACATACATACATACATACATACATACATACATACATACATACATACATACATACATACATACACACACACAGACATACATACATACATACATACATACATACAACATACATACATACATACATACATACATACATACATACATACATACATACATACATACATACATACATAATACATACATACATACATACATACATACATACATACATACATACATACATACATACATACATACATACATACATACATACATACATACATACATACATACATACATACATACATTACATACATTACATACATTACATACATTACATACATTACATACATACATACTTACATTACATTACATTACATTACATTACATTACATACATACATACATACATATGAGACGGTGTATGTATCCATGTGTATATATACATATATATATATATGTATAAACTGTGTGCGTGTCTCACTACACATACTGGATATATTATAATCTGTATTAATGATATATCATACGCATGTCTAGATTTCTATGTATATATATATATATATCTGTCTGCCTGTCGGTCTATCTGACTGTCGGTCTATCTGTCTGTCTAGCTATCGATCTATCTAATCTAATCATATCTAAACTATATAATCTAATCTATATACTGCAATGTGATCTACATAATCTAATCTACATAATCCAATCTAATCTGATCTGTACTGCACTATACTATACTGTACTTTACAATACTATACTAAACTATCTATGTTATGTATATATTGCACAGTTTGTACTCATCGTTCATCATACATACCGTACACATGCAGTATACGTACAAAGTTACGTGTGTGTGTGTGTTGTACATCTGTAGTAGAACATGTACGAGTATGGTTCTGGAAACTTACTTTAGAAGGAACAGTCTGTGGTTTGCCCAGTCTGTGGAGCAAACGTCGCCATAAAACCAAGGAGATTTGCAATAATCTAAACAATAAAACAATTTCTTTTGGTACCGCTGTCATCAACTGTGCGTCTATGACTTACAACACAAATCCAGCAAGTATTCCGAAGTGATAGCAAAAACAAAAAAAAATGCCAATATGGACTCTTGGTGATGCCAAACAACTCAGAAAGTACCCTCGGAAAATCAAACATCACAGTGGAAAAATCGGAAATCCCTGGTCAATAGATGATTTTCCCTTCCAAACCTCTATTAAAATATGTTGATATAACTCTACTTAAATCGATTTATATCTAGTCATATCTATCTATATCTATTTGTATTATATCTAGTTATATCTACCTTTGTCATTTATCATATTTTATCTATTTACATCTATTTACCTAGTGATACCTACTTTTGTCTCTTTATATCTATTGATATCTTGTATAATGTATATATATATATATCTCTCTCTCTAACTACTTATATCTATCCATATCTATTCATATCCATTTGTATCTAGTTAATCTATCTATATGTATGAATTGTCCAATTGCCATGAGCCATCTTTGATTCCCAGGAGAGCACTGGTATCACAAAAAAGGCCCCTCTCAGTGCCGAGATGCAGACTGCCAAGCGAATCTGCTTGCGACCCGCCGCAAGAGATCATCTACTCTGGTGTCTGGCTCAGATTCCTAGCCATGTCCGGAAAGACACAGAAATATATGATATATTACAGTCAATTATTGTAGTAACTAACAAAAAATTGGAGAAATATTGGGTTTAACTATCAAAGATGTGATAACAACGAAAAACATTTGAGGAATTATTGGATTTAAGTATCAAAGATGGTGGGAACATGCTTTTTGTAACCATCAAAACAAAGGGGATTGAACTCAAAAAAGGGATGCCAAAGCCTGCAGGATGGGTTTCAAGACAGGGGGGACACCCCAAAAGACTATTCCAACAATTGCCACTTGCTTATCTTGGGGAAACTGATGATAAGCCACGGCATTTGGGGGATCTATCATGTTCTTTGGGGATGTATCGAAAAAAACATCCGTATACCTGACAAAACTGGGAAGTCAATCAATAAACATAGGCTAGGAATGTACCATAGTAACATGGAGGATCATCCTACTTTGTAACTGGTTTGTAAACATATTATTCCTACAGGTCACCTCACGAACTAGTTCCCTGACCTTATCGCCTTGCAGGAGATCTTGATGCATACCTTGGGAAATCTTAGGAAACTCGGGCTTTTACAAAATATGTATTAGGGATAAACCAAAATGTTTACGTTGTAGAAGGGTCCAAATGGAATGATATGATATGATTTGGTATGATCCCATAAAGATCGGCGACTCACTTGCGCACACAAAACTGACTCAGTTGTCCACACAGATTTTTGACTCAGTTGTACACACAAAATTGACTCACTTGTACACACAACCTCGGGGGGTGGGGTGGGGCTAGGGAAGAAAAGGGTAGGATCTACCAGCCACACCCGTTGCTTAAATTGATTAAAGGGACACTACCGCTACTGGACTTCCTTCGACTTACCATCACGCTTCAACCGTGGGGGGTGGGGCTAGGGAAGAAAAGGGTAGGATCTACCAGCCACACCCGTTGCTTAAATTGATTAAAGGGACACTACCGCTACTGGACTTCCTTCGACTTACCATCACGTTTCAACCGTGGGGGGTGGGGTGGGGCTAGGGAAGAAAAGGGTAGGATCTACCAGCCACACCCGTTGCTTAACTTTATTATAGGGACACTACCGCTACTCGACTTCCTTCACTTCCTTTGACTTACCATCTCACTTCAACTTTCAGGAGGGGAGCAGAAATCTACGGTCTATAACTATATATCATTATCACATTCCATGCTACTGGCTGCCTATCAATATTCTTTGCCATTCCAAGGTATACCACCACCCACTCTTGCCACTGAAACAACATCTGCCACAAACGTCGGTCTCGTTCTTTTCCTCATCATCATCATCATCATCAACAACATCATCACCATCACCATCACCATCATCATCATCATCATCAACATAATCATCGTCATCGTCGTCATCATCATCATCATCAGCAGCAGCAGCATCACCACCATCATTTGCGTGCACAACGTGTGCACAACCGAGTCGGTTTTCGCATGCACAACCGAGGCACCTTCCAATGATAAATGCTATACTATGTGATGTGATTTATGATGTGATCATATATAGTATGTGATATGATAGAGTACATTATGTTCTGTATCTGGCATGAAACATGGTTTGAAATATGGTGTGATGTAAGATATGACACATGGTTTGATGTATGATAAAAAGGACCATATGAAATATGTTTTGCATTTGATATAAATTAAACAGTGTATATATATATATATACACTGTATATATATATATACACTGTATATATATATATACACACATACGAATTGGTGTACTAAATCAACTGGATATGCGCGCGAGATATGCGCATGTGATATAATATGTGGTATGAGATGCGACGCTATGACATACAAATTCCTCCATCGTACCGGAATTCATTGACTCATCCGTCAGCCATTTCTCTTAGGTTTCCCAGGATGTTTGGGTTTGCCAAAGAAATAGGATAGCAATGAAGCCCTAGGTGGCCATTTCTGGTCACTTGAGGTCTTCAATGTCAGCCATCCAATTGCGGAATTGCGGAGCTTGCATGGCTGAAACCATTCTCCTGACCAAAGAATTAATCATCATCCACGATTTCAACCTGGAACATAGCCAAACTGGGCTATCCTCTTTGTACAGGTTCAAGGGATCCTTTACAATCTTTACAGGAAACCCCAACACTTGATGCGAAAAAAAACTGCTTTCCGGATCTATTCTGAAGATGTTCGTGCCCCCAAAAAAAGCTGATGTTTAGGAGATATTCCTCCATTTGTATTTCAAAATCAAAGCGACAAGATCGTCGCCATCCCTTTTTCCGAAGGTGATCCTGTCCACTTGGAAAAAATATGTTATCTGGTTGGTGGTTAACCTACCCCTCTGAAAAATATGAAAGTCAAATGGGAGTATTATTCCCAATAATTTCCGAATATATAGAAAAATAAGAAATGTTTGAAACCACCAACCAGTAAAAGATGTTATAAGTTTTACCGCTTTAAACCCCATGTTTGCACGTCAAATAGGGTCAAATGATAATTTTTGACAATCAAATCACCACAGGTCAACGTTTGTGTCGGTGACATCCCCCATTTCAATGGATGAAAGCAGAAATCTTAACTGGCGACAAATGTCTAAAACTCTTTAAAAAAAAAAAACACGTCAGCACATTTGCATATATTTGCAAGTGAACCTCAGTGAAATTCGGATTTGGTGCCCTCCGCATCCAGGGCACTTCCTGTAGGTCGTCACGCACCGGTACGCTTTTGGAACGGTTGGACGCAAGGCTGCCAAGCTCGACCACTTCCAGGAAGGTCTTGCGGTACCTCAAAAGACATGGCCATGGCCATAGCTTTCCACCCATAGCCAGTGGGGGGGTTCCATAAATTGGGGGTACTGCAAAATGGTTAATTTAGAATCGAAAAGGCTATTAAAATGGATGGCTTGGGGGTACCCCCATTTCATGAAAACTGGATTTGGGATCATTTGGGTTTGTCTGAAACAGGATAGCCCTAAATTTGATGATGAATCTGATGAATCTGATGAATCTGATGAATCATCAAATTCCGACAATGTGGTTGCCATTTGGCTTCCCATTTTCAGACACACCCATGTTTCACCCATCGTTTAAGCCATAGCCATTACCCGGGGACCGCCTTAGCCTTGGACATGATCAACATGGGATCCCTGAAAATCCATGGCGAATCATAGCGGCTTGTGTGCCTTGCGCAGGAAAATATCCCTAACTGATCCTAGTGTTGGTGTATTATACATATATCATGCGCATGTATCTATACGTATAAAAAAAATATATGTATTGTTTATATATCGTGTATATACTAAGAACAGAAGAGACCTCATGGGGGAGTGATTTTGGCTCCAAAAGCCTTTGTTAAATATATCATATCACTATGACTTGTCACCATTTACTCCATTTTAAAAATGGATGGCGCTAATTTTTGAAATGCGCCATCTATAGACCACTTGAGGGATGAGATGTTTTGCGCCATCTATAGGTTCCCGACACACGTGGTTGAAAACAACCTGTTTTCCTCTAGGTTAGTTTAAACTCAGTATTAAGATCTGGGGTCCATTTTTTTTTTGGAAAACCATAATTGTGGATTGCGCCATCTATAGGTTACCACTGCGTTCCATGTGTAAAGGGAAAGGGAAAGGAGGAGGGAAAGGAGAAAGGAGAAAGGGAAAGGGAACAAATCATGTTATTTACAGCTCGCTCTTTGTATTTTATGTCTCCCAAAGTGAATTGCGCCATCTACAGTGCACAGTTAGTGTATGAGTGTGCGTGCATATGATCTAGGGTCAATTGCCCAATTTCGGTAAGTTTTTCCCGGTGAATCGTGTTATTTACAGCTCGCTGTGTGCATTTATGCCTCCCAAAGTGAATTGCGCCATCTACAGTGCATGGTTAGTGTATGTGTGTGCGTGCATACCACTGTATGTGTGTGTGTGAGCCACATTTGCTTCAAAAATATGGATGCATTGAGTTTGAAGATGGCAGCTCCACTGGAAGTAGCCCTGGTGCAAAATTTGGTGAGAATCCAAAGAAAAAGAAAGCAATCGCTATTTACCAAAAATAGCGATGCTATCCGGGGTCGCGCCATCTGCCAAAAATAGCGATTTTACGACCAGGCTGCGCCATCTACTTTCTTTTTGGTGTATATGGGGAAAATAGAACACCAGGTTACCACAACCACGCATGACTGTAGGTATAATAAGATGTTTAAATAAAACAGCTCCCTTTTCTGTTGAACTATCCCAATTGGGGTTTAAATATCCATTTTGGGCCGGTTTAATTATCATGTTTGGGGGTTCAAATTGTTGGTAAGGCATATAAGATTTAGGGCCTAAAGGGTATCAGCAATAGACCGGCAAATATGTTTCCATGTTTGAAAGAATCCATGTCACTGTCCAATTCTTGAGAAGTTTATTTTTCGTGGTCAAAATGTCCAACCCCTAGCGGTTCGTTCCGCATTGATGGTGAGAACGGCAGTGCTGGTAGCTACGGGTAACAACGGGTAGCCTAGTGATCATCGAAAATTCGCTGGGATTTTAGTTGGAATTGCATCCCCCAAACTCTGGCAGTTACAACTGGACATAAGAGATGATATTTTAGCATGGTTATAGGGGTACCATATCCCAACTTGCGGATGTTGATCAACCAAAGATTAAAAAATCATAGGTCTTTATCCATCCCTGATCAGTTGAAGAACCGCGCCAACGAATAACAAGGCACTCCAAGGTGGACATGATGCTGCGAGCTAAATCCACTAGTGCCCAAGTTTCAAAATTTACTGTACTTGAGCCACTTCAAAAAAACGGCTGCCTGGGGCGTAAGCAACATCAATGGCTCTGTCTGAAGATGGGTAGTTACACCCCAAAATTAGTGTATGTTTTTTGATACCAAGACCGAGTAAACAATTTACGGATACTTTTTTCTCACAAAACCAAACGTCTGTTGCTCAAAATTGTATGTAATGAGCCAATTGGAAAGCGGGAAAAGTAAAAACACATGCATGTTTCTTGTAAAGGAAATATAGTGAATATATATTATATATACAGTATAGGGATTTTCCATTTCATAATATTATAAACCATTCATTTTGGGGTACCCCCATGTCAGGAAACCCCCATATGTATAAGTATATATATCTGGGTAAATTATAATATTTCACTAACCTGAATTAAGGCCATTTGAGGATGATTTCCCTTATTAACCATGATTCCAGTGAGGTCGCAGTGAGGTCGTTATAAATGTTATAATTTACCCATATATATATATATACATTTCGAAGCTGAATTAGGACATACCCGGCTGGGAATTTCACAGCGAGCCATTTTCAATGCAGCTACAAGGATGATCTCGGGACTGCAAGACAAAGCTTGACGACAGCCATCATTCCAGTGATGTCGCAATGAATGTATCATTTATCAGGGGTTGGTAACTGTCCCATTTAGGGTATATTGGACATCACCTTATAGTAGCCATTATAGACCATATACCTAATGGTTGGGTGATGTTCAATGGGGACATTTAATGACCCATGTTTATACCCAAATTTACCACTGATTGACCACTGATTGACCACTGATTGACCCAAATAATATGATTAATATGCTCCTTTTGTTGAAGATTGTGGACATCGTAGTCTTCAGTTGCGGAGTAGCTAACCAGCTCTCACAAACGGTATGCTCACCATTCACAACCAATAAGACATCATGAAAAAAACTTCGAACGTTTTGACATGGTTTGACAATAATTTCAATACTCCTGCTAATGTCTCATTGAAACCATCCCCTTCTAAGATGTTGACAAGATATTGGACTCCCGACTACTGGTTCCATAACCAGGCAATGTTGTTGGTCATAGATCAAGTCGTTGGGTGCCCGACAGACTGTATGTATGGTTGCTATTCAAGATGAGAAACATGCGAAATTAGTCCATCATGCTTCAAATCATGACCATATATCTTAGCTGAATCTCAGCAGCCTCCAGGGCTTCCGTCTATAGGAGCCTGACGAGGGGGTACGTATACATATCCTAAGTGGCCACGCATGCAAAACATATTTTGTAAAACGCGTATTTAACATACACATGTACGTTAGTGGAACGTATGTGATGCGTATGTGAAGCGTATGTGCAGCGCAAGTGAAAACATGTGAGCCGTATGTGAAATATATGCGAAACACATGTGAAACATTAACGTATTTTGCGACTGGATTGCGTTGTGTTTATGTTTTACTTACGTATATGTTTGCGAATTTATGTCGTTGTTTTTTATTTCGAAGGAAAAATAAGACCCTATGTTGCAAATCACGTAAAATAAGGTCTTATTTTGGACCGTGCGTAAAGAAAACATAAACAGAAACATAAACAAAACGCAAACGATAACGCAAACACATTTTGTAATGGTTGTGTTTGTTGTATGGTTTATGTGTGTTTGTTTTGCCGGGAGAAAAATAAGACCTTATTTTGCGCAAATAAGACCTCCATTCCTATTTCCATATTGTGTTGCTTGTTTTTTCGGTAAAAAAAAATCTGGGTTGAGTAACCCCATTTTTTGTTTTGGTTTTTGTTTCCTATATAGCTTCCTCTTGGGGTTTGTTGCTGCTAAAATCCCCACACCTACCCAATCTTCGTTGGCACCCGATGTGAAAAACTTGGTCTCCGCACAGCTCTGAGACTTTGCCGAGGGAGGATTCTTTCACGATCTCCGGCCTGAGTTTTCTTCACCCCTTGGAAGAAGCGTGAGTTTCTGAATCTCGAATCGCTACCCTCTGGTAATTTGTTACATAACTATGGAAAATCACCATTTAGTTTGTGGATTTTCCCATGAAAAATGGTGATTTTCCATAGTTATGTTAGTTTACCAGAGGGTAGTCCAAACCAGGCCACTTCATCCCTCTAGTTTCCATCTCAGTAAAGCTGACCCAAATTGAAGATTCCGAGTCCTTGTGGTCTCAATGGCCAAGGCGAATTGAACTTGTGGATTCGTGACGCGATTGTGTCACAAATGATACCCTTATCTACCCTTAGTTTTTATCACATAGATCTGCCATGATCTGGTGAAATTACAATAATTGGTGGTTTCCTGAGTCATAGCGGCACCCCCAGTCATCATCCATTTTTGATTGGGATTTTCCATGAAATAAACCATCCAGCGATAAAGGGGTACCCCGTGAGGTTGTGGTCAAATCCAGCGCAGCCACCTCAGACTTTCGCAAGTAGCTCTGCCTGGGGCCCAGGCAAACGTCACTGAATTTTGCACTACAAATGGGCCAAAATTGAAAACCTCAGGAACCACAGATTTTTGTCGAATTTTAGTATTAGTATGTCTGTATTAACCATCCAATTATTGGGATACCCAAGTTTGACCTTCACCGACCCCGTTTCGTCGATACAAATGGTTCGCAACTAAGTGAATCGACCCCTCAATTCCGGGATGCCCCAAAGGGGCTCCTGCGGCACCAACCATTTCAATCTAAGTTCAGGGCCCTACCCCAAACCAGATGGTTTCCCGCGATTTAAGTGGAATTGGAAGTTCCAACTGGCGATGCTCTGACCTCCTTTCGCAAATGGCAGGGATTCAGCAACTTTCTGAGGGGGTTGCTTCTGAAAATGCAAAAAATAAAAACTCCAAAAGATCTTCGTAACTTAGATGTTATGTTTAAAGTTTAAATTTAAAGGGATTTAAAGGGTATCAATATCAATATGTATCAATATCATTGACCCCGAAGACCCATCCCTTGGAACAAACCACGGATCTGCCATTGTTGCAAGCCTTTTTCAAAGGGACCACTGGAGAAAAGTGCCAACAACCATTTATAAACATGCGTTTGATCCTTGTTTTTCCCATAAGATTTGCCATCAAATAGATCCAAATCAACTTAGGAAAATGTTCGATCATCAAGTGTTGGATCCATTGTTTCTCATTGATTGCCATTAAAATTCGATAAATCATCCATGTGAAAAATCCCAGATCCAACTTCGGCCTCAGGCGGATCTGCGAGTCCTACCATTGCAGGAACCGATTGATTGGAGGTACCTACCATATATAAGGCCTATTTTTCAGGCCTATGTAAGGGAATATCCCAGCAATACATATGGCCTTATATGGTACTAACGTACCTCCATTTTAGGATCCTGAAATTCCCATTGATAATATCATGGGATTGATTACCGGAACTATGGATATTTGTTGTGAAATTCACCCAATGCCATAAACCTACCATGATCCAGGACTGGAAACTATTTTCACCACCCATTTATTGATATTTATGGTAGTATTGGGGATTGCTAATTACTGAATCAGGATTTATTGGATTTGCATTTTGGGGGACAATAAACAATATAAATATAAAATAGTCCCAGTGGATTCCCCCACGTCATTCCCCTTATTACATAGACCACCAGTTTTAATGTGTCTTAAGGAGCGACACAACCAAAGTCGGTCGACTATCTGTTTCAGCGATGGTGAAACTGATAAAAAAAATAGGCGAAAAAACATAAAACGCATGGTATGGTACAATATTATAAATATATATATATAATATACATACATACATACTACTATGTACATACAGTATAACATAACATCTCGGACATTCTCGGACCATGGAGGTATGTCTTTGGACTGCTCAAATCCTGCAACGACCTCCTTTTGGTTGACATTTTCGAGGTGATGGGGGTGAGAGGTGTTGGTTGGGTCGGCGCGGCTGAATCGGAATCTACATTGGGTGGATCGGGACGGTATAGATCGCAACCTTGGCAGACTACCGTACCCGAACCGCCCCGACCATCCCGACCATCCCGACCATCCCGACCATTTATTCACGATGTTGATCCAGCATCGTCTTTGACGCTGATTCTACGACGCTGATCCGAACGTTTGGATGTTGATTCCGGAAGCCGCTCCGTGACGCTGATTCGACTCGATAGTTTCTGACCTGGAATTTACTCGGGGAGTGAGGTGTCCCGGCGGAAACCCCGGCATTCTATGTTCACATATATGTTCACATTTCAAGGCAACACAGCATGACACAGCATCATTGAGGAGTACAATATGAATCAGTTTTGATTCGCCTTGCGTTCTTCAGGGAGCAAGTTATTCAGCAATGAGTTTTCTCACTCAAAGCGCATCAAAATTTGGGTGCCCAGCTTCAGGGCAAAGGGGCATGGCATCGACTGAGCGTACATCCATTGGGGCGCGATTGCAATTGAGCGTTGTTGCCCCACCCAGGCAGCCCCATGGAGCAGTGAAGTATATATCGAAAACACTAAAACGCTGCTTTGGTTTTCCACCTCTAGGCAGAAACAGGTACAGTATATGATTTTGGAAATGCGTAGATGCAATATGATGCAATCATATAATATCATATGCAACAACATATACATACACATACCATCATGTCAATTCATGGCATGGATCCTTCGAAACACCAGAGACACATGGGCCATGGGGACTTGTGCCTGCGAACGCCGACGGTGAGCGTCTTTGGCTCGTTCCATCTCCTGCCAAAGGTTTTTTCTATCTGGTCGGGCAAAAAATGTAAAAAACATTCGGAAAACCAAGGAAAATGATCTGCAAATGATGGGTGATGATGGGCTATATTCATCTATTCATGTTCTGAAGGGTAGTAACTTGGGATCATCCTCCCAACAATACAGATGAAAATAACGTATATTTGGAAACACCGTGAAAGACCAAGCGGTATAGTTCAAGGGTTTCATCACTGCGGGGCAAAAACAGTCGGTTAAACATTACTGCCATTTTGTGGCCGTTGTTTTGGGACCACATGTTTACCGAACAGATTTCCAATAAAACCCTCTGGCTTAACACATCCATGGTGACTAGTTTCCAGCACTTTAAACTACTGGTTGGTGGATCCCATTCCAAATCTCATCGCATGAAATTCCATTCAATTCTCCGATTCCATTAAATCCCTATATTTTGGCTCGTGGCAAACGTCTCCCAAAGCTTCATCAGAAAATTCATCTTCTACGTCTCTGCGAGGATGCCATTTTCGGAAGGAAACAAATCACAGAGATCGACCGTTTCATACGGGACCAAACTTGCAGAATTCGAAGAGTTCTTTGTGTCACTGGATTGGTTTAAGGGAAAATTTACAGGAAACCATGGTTTTTACCATCAAATTGATCGGGCTTTCCGGTTAAAATTTTCCCATCATCCAATTCTATGATTGTGGAAATACCGGGATGTTGGAGAAACCCTGGAGAAACCTGCAGGGTATCGAAGCAAAACTTCCCTATGTCTCTTCACTCTTTTTCGAAACGGCGTTGCTGATTAGTGCTGATTGGTGCTGGTTGTTGTTCGACATTGGGGAGATTCACCAAGGTCTACTGTATTGCTTATTGAAATAACCAGAATTTATATCCAAATGCATATATATATATACATTATATTATTAATTGATATGTATATATATACACAGTATTACAGTATATATCATATATTACAAGTTCAGTATATGATGTATCAATATAACTGTATTGCATACATGAATAGAAATGTAGTGAATATGCCTGGAATTAATCTCTATGAATTGATAAAATATGATAAAATATTATAGACATAAAACTGGACCCTTCCGCTAAAAACATCTAAAAACATAATCTGAAATCTGAAATATCAGACTTGGGGACTATTCACTGTTTTGTGCATGATAATTATGATGAGAGAGAGTCATCAACTTCTGCCAAAGTGCTAAGACAGAAATCGAACCCGAACAATGAAGCCGTGGTGCATACCACGTGTGCATATCAGGAGTCAACAATACCTTCCCAGTCTCCTTTGCGTCTCGCTCCTTTATTTCTCGTGCTTTTGCTTCTTGCTCCTTCGCTTCTCGTTCTTTTGCTTCTCGCTCCTTCACTTCTCGTTCTTTGGCTTCTCGTTCCTTCGCTTCTCGTTCCTGTGCTTCTCTTTCCTTTGCTTCTTGCTCCTTGGCTTCTCGCTCCTTGGCTTCTCGTTCTTTGGCATCGCGCTCCTTGGCTTCTCGTTCCTTTGCTTCTCGTTCTTTTGCTTGTCGTTCTTTTGCTTCTCGTTCTTTTGCTTCTCGTTCCTTTGCTTCTCGTTCGTTTGCTTCTCGTTCTTTTGCTTCTCGCTCCTTTGCTTCTCTTTCACTACCCTCCTGAAGACAATCGACAAAATAAATGGCCTGCACGTCAAAGAACATGAGCCGATTTTATTTTGCATAACTTCCAAGCACCAACCCCTGCTCATCTCTGCTCCTCAGCCCTCCGTTCTTGAAGTTCCTGCTCTTTGACAGGCGGTACCTTTAGGCAACAACCCATGAGGGGCACCAATGCATGCAGGGTTGCACGGCTTTTTCTCCTTTCATGAACTATCATGAAATCTAAGCATTGAGAACGATATATGGATGCAATTTTTTCTGAAAGTTGTGCAACTGGGTCAGAAAATGGCTGGTTTTCAATGCAGCTTGGCAGATCCAAATCAAGAATCAAGGCCATGAACATCTGGAGAGTTACTATACCGAACTTCCATACTTGCACTTCAACATCAACTACATTGGGATGCTTTGAGAGGAAATCATGGAAAAATGTGGAAAAATCATACCGGGAAATCGTGATATCAACCGTTGGTTGGATTGGTCAGCCGGGACAGCCGCCTCCTCGACAGCATCCTCTTCCTGTCGACTCGAGAAGGTTTTTTGATTGGCAGGTTTTGGGCGTCCTTGTTAGTATTGAGGACTGTCAAGCCGCAAGGTACTCTCCACAGAAAAATTGAGTGCATCTACGGACCCCCTGTGGGGTGAAAGTCGACCTATATCCATATGGTTGTCCAATTTTGGGGACGCCCGAATTGCATGGAATCTGACAAGCACAATGCCTATGTGCAGGAGAATCCATGAAGTATCCAAGCTTGGAGGTTTTTCCGCCTCCACCCAAACAATCACGGTCCTGTTCTTCCTCTTCTTCCCCTTCTTCCTCCTCTTCCTCTTCCTCTTCGTCCGCATCTACTGCCTTGCCAAGGACTGCCACAAGCCAAGTTACATCTCCGAAAGTTTGGGACCAATTCTTGCAGCTTCAAAGCATCAGAGTTCAGCTAGTCATATTTTTCTTCGTTGGTCGTGGCTTAAAACGTCAGGCCGCAGGGTCCTCCTCATGTGTCATGCATAGTGATCCTTATCCTGCCCCCGTAGGAGGCCAATGGACTCATAGATTTTGCAAGGACACCAGGTACTGTAATGTATTTATTGTATAACCAAGCATCTCAAAAATGTTCATGAAGAATAAGCTGACACAGCGCTGATAAACACAAGAAATGCTCTTAGACATGTGGAAGCAAACACGAAGCAAAGAAAGAACTGATCAAATATTTCAAATATAAAATCTGCAGCCTATCTCGTCCTGATGAGGTAAATTCAAAACAACAAAGCATACTGTATGGGTTTGTCTTAAAATTGGGCACCCCTAAAATTCAGCCTGGTTTATCCTAAGTTTCTCTAAACAGCCAGATATTGCGGGTAAATGCGCATTTGGGACCCACGATTGTCATATTGTTGGTTATGCATATCAAGGATCCTGTATAATCGCAAAAATATTCCCAGTTTTGTACCCATGTATCTATATATATATATAGTATATTATATTATATGTACATATATATATATTATACCCCAAACACAGATCTACCACTTTCCACCGTCCTGAGTCTTCTGCGGAGTCAGCACCTAGCCATCAGGGAAATGGTCACCAGGTCATCACGGGTCTCTAATCCCAAAATTTGGCAATGTGGGATTGGCTTTAGATTCAATGACAAATCCCAAGGGACTGAAGGTCTTGTAGCTTGTTGTTGAGGGTCCCCGATTCTCATACGAATTGATTGCAATTTGCTCTATAGCGCATGTAATAAATAGGTTGACAAGCTATAGTTCAGTCCAACCCTGCTGAATTTGGCTAAATTACTTTAAAATGTCCTCGCTGATAGGTTATATATGCAGGTAGAAAGATAGAGATAGGTCGATAGATGGATGGATGGATGGATCGATAGATCCATAGATCCATATATCGATGGATCGATGGATCGACCGATGGATGGATAGATGGACAGATAGTTAGATTGCAGATAGATAGATGGACAGGCAAATACACATATACATATATATATATATGATCATATATGATCATATAATATATGAGTACGATTCTCAAACTGGAGGTTTCACCAACAAAAATAAACAGTTTTTGGAAAAAATGTGGGGGTCCCCTATTTTGAGAAGACCTTGTCCGCAGTCAAGTGGTCCCTAGGGGCCCCAGTGACCGCCTCGGACTCTGCTTCTTCCTTAATGGGCCTGGGCACCCGTTACGCTATCAAACAAAAAAAAGAAACAGGAGAGATCGGACCCAAGATTGGGTTACTTCTTACCTAACTATGGAAAATCACCATTTTTAATGGGTATATCAACTATTTCTATGGCCATTTTCCATAGCTATCTTAGTTTACCAGAGAGTAGATTCTCAGCAAAACTCATCCGAAATATCTTGCCATTTGGATATGGGCCAGTTCTGCGTGGTAGAGCTGGACAATGCGTATGGCAAACGTCTGCGGGTCTTATGAACCTCAAGAGTTAGAGTGAAGTTATTGTGTCAGTCAATTCACTTCCACCTTCTCACCTTACCAGGTTTATTTCTTGGAAATTGCTAATACAAAATAAGATGATTGTCTATCAGTCCCCATAGATCTGGGTAAATTATAATATTTCACTAACCTGAATTAAGGCTATATTGGTATGATTTCCCGAATCCTAACCATCATTCCAGTGAGGTAGAACAGTGAGTGAGGTCGTTATAGTTTAGCCAGATATATCGTTATATCCCTTTACCCAACTGCAAAAAGTGGTAAACATCCTCATCTCTCTGGGCTGGATTTATCAGGCTCGGGCAGCGAAGTGCATATTTTTTTCGAGGAAAACCAAATCTGAGCAAGTCACAACGTTTGGAATATGTTGGGATGATAACTCCATACTATACTATACTGTATTGTGTATGTATATATATATACTATACTATCCTATCCTATACTATACTATACTGTACTCTACTGTACTGTACTATATTATACTATATAATGTATGGTGCTGTACAGGGAGGTTTGCCTAGAGATCCCTATAATTTCATCATAGTTGATTGCTCAAATATGCTCAAATACCCTGTCTTCTGGATCAGATCCCCAGTTTTGCTGGCAAAATCCCTATTTTCTATCAGTTTTCATGGTTGCAGCATGTGAAAAAACCCGTAAATTCACCATGTCTTGCCCAAAACAAGGGCTGGAATCATTAGTTTCACTGGCTCTGCGACTCGCTCGAAACTAGGAGCCCTGCTTCAGCTCGGACCTGTGAGTAAGTCACTGGGAATCCAGGGATGTGCTAGACCAATGTCCGTTTCTCAGTCAAAATGGTAACGGACATATGATATGATATGAAGGACGACATGTTATATGATGTGTTTGAAGGGTATATAGGGGTATATGATATGTTTCTTGTCATGAGGATATATGATATGATATGAACATCACGCAGAAAAATATGGGACATGAACCAAGATCCACTGTTGATCTTCAAAAATACATTGCAGCCATGAGGAAAACCATCATCCCAGGGATGGTTTTTCTTGATGGCCCAATCCAGCGATACCATGGCAGTCCCAGCATCTGCACACGGCCCAGGTGTAATTGGGCAGGAGACTTATGATCGGGTGTTCAAAAAAATCTTGTCCAATTTTGTTTCGAACCACCCAATCTCGTAGATTACCATGATTACCTCCGGTAATTTAACAGGTTAACAGTTCCCAAAGACAATGATAATGTTATGAAATCCCATTTAACTGGTCATCAGTCATCAATCTTAACTGGAATTTCATCCCCTGGTAATTCAACATCGCCTGTTAAAATTGATGATTTTCCAGTTCGTCCCATGAAACATCCCCTCTCCGACTTGGAGCCCCCAACCTCGCTTTGGGCGGCGGCCGAGACTGGGAGCATTTTTTGACACCGGACTTTGGGGGGATCACCATGAAAAAATGGTGTAAAAAAACCAAATGTTGTAAAAAAAACGGTTTTCTTGAACCAATGTAAATTGATGTAAATTGTCTGTCAGCCATAAGGTGACAAAGTGGGTCATTCACTAAATGGGAATTCATGTTGAAATAGCACTTTAATCAGCACATATAGCAATTTGACTGATATCAGCGTTTTCAGCATGAGGAACTTTTGTTCAACCATGAACATGTGAGTAGAGTGTGCTGAATCTTTGCTGAGTCGGATCGAACTCCTGCACCAGTTGGTAGATGCTGAAGGTTTAATCTTGTTTATCCCCGTCTAATCCCATGAAAAAGGTCCTACAAGTTGTCTCATAGTTACCAATGGAGGTGATCGCCACCGGGCATAGTTTGACCCAGGAAATTTGGACCACCCCATCGTATCTGTTTAGAAGATGGGGTTCCGAAGCTTCGGATTTCGTAGGGGATGCCGAGCATCCTGGAATGCCAGGTTTTCCCGGAAGTTTTATCCAAAAGTAACCAACCATTTGCCGGCAATGTTGCATCTTTCCAGATAGGGTACCACCAAATACTCAATTGGGTCTATGTATATACAATGCTATAAATTGGTAATTAAGTTGGTCTATGAACCCATCCAACTGTAGATATATCCCGTATATATATAATTATATATCCTAGTTCTATTCAATTGTCGAGATATCGGAGGACGCCCCACCCTATTTTTTTCACCTCACCATCTGAGACGCCCCACAGGAAAGAGAAACCTCACATGGGGGAAGGTTGAAACCGCTTTCAGGACGGCACCATCATTGACATCTTAAATTCCTTCGGAAAAAAAAACAAAGAAACTGTATATTCAAACCATTGTAAAACAAATAGTCGATCGATGCAAAAGATAGACCATGTGTATCATGGCTTTCTCTGAGCCTCTTTGCATTCCGTCGCGCCAGAGTTTCGTCAACCAAATTCGGTCTGGATCAAAATCATCAACCTCCCATGGATCTTTTGCAGGGTTTGGTAAATGTATGTAAATGTCCTAATTGAATCCACACCCAAATATTGGGGATATCATCTCCAACAGATACATGTTCAAGAGATGTTCAAAAGCCCCAAACCATGGGACATTTACCGTAAACCCTGTTCCGGGATGACAAAGTTTTAATGCTGAATCATTCCCAGGTTGGTCACGCCAAATCCACCAACTTGACTTGTCCCAAAATGATGCACCAAAAAAATTGCAAATGTCGAAAATTCTATTTCCCCACATCACTGTGTGGGGTTCTTGTTTTTCGCTTTGCACCCGCCGCTTCCGCGTCCGCCCGCCCTGCCGCATCACAACTCATCACACCACAACTCATCACAGCTCATCACAGGGCCACTTATCACACCACTTCGTCTGGCAGGTGCAGCTCTCACACCACCTCATCACACAGCACTCATCACAGCACAACCCATCGCACCACTTGTCACACCTCACTCATCACAGCACAACTCATCACACCACTTCGTCTGGCACCAACTCATCACACAGCACTCAGCTCACACACCAACTCACACCACACATGGCTCTCACACCAACTTTTATACAGCACTTAGCTCGCGGCCCGCGGCTGGCTTTCGTGTGGCAGGCGCAGTACGCAGAGCCTTCTGGAGGAGCTGCTGCGCGCGTGGCTGCCGCTGGCCCGCGGCTGGCTGTCGTGTGGCAGACGCAGTACACAGAGCCTTCTGGAGGAGCTGCTGCGCGCGTGGCGGCGCAGTACACAGAGCCTGCTGGAGGAGCTGCTGCGCGCGTGGCCGTCGCTGGCCCGCGGCTGGCTGTCGTGTGGCAGGCGCAGTACACAGAGCCTGCTGGAGGAGCTGCTGCGCGCGTGGCCGCCGCTGGCCCGTGGGTGGCTGTCGTGTGGCAGGCGCAGTACACAGAGTCTCAGAGCCTTCTGGACAAGCTGCTCCGCGCTAGCCCGCGGCTGGCTGTCGTGTGGCAGGCGCAGTACACAGAGCCTGCTGGAGGAGCTGCTGCGCGCGTGGCCGTCGCTGGTCCGCGGCTGGCTGTCGTGTGGCAGGCGCAGTGCACAGAGCCTGCTGGAGGAGCTGCTGCGCGCGTGGCCGCCGCTGGCCCGCGGCTGCCTGTCGTGTGGCAGGCGCAGTACACAGAGCCTCCTGGAGGAGCTGTGTGGCCGCCGGAGGCCCGCGGCTGGCTTTCGTGTGGCAGGCGCAGTTGGAGGAGGCGGTGCGCGTTGCGTGTGGCAGGCGCAGTACACAGAGCCTTCTGGAGGAGCTGCTGCGCGCATGGGCGCCACTGGGCCGCGGCTGGCTTTCGTGTGGCAGGCGTGGCACTTGGTGACATCGACCTTCACTTTGCGTGGCAGGCGTGGCACTTAGTGACATCGACCTTCACTTTGCGTAGCAGGTGTGGCGCTTATGGCACTGGGCTGGCTCTGGTGGCCTTGGGTCTCTCTTGTCACACACGATCTTTCACACACAACTTTGTCACACCCTCTCTTTCACACACAACTTTCACACACACACACACTATCTTTCACACACAACTTTGTCACACACCATCTTTCACACACAACTTTGTCACACACCATCTTTCACACACAACTTTGTCACACCCTCTCTTTCACACACAACTTTGTCACACACCATCTTTGACACACCACTTTGTCACACACCATCTTTCACACACCATCTTTCACACACCACCTTTGTCACACCACTTTGTCACACACCATCTTTGACACACCATCTTTCACACCACTTTGTCCCACACCATCTTTCACACGACTTTGTCACACACCATCTGTCACACATCATCTGTCACACCACTTTGTCACACACCATCTTTCACACACAACTTTGTCACACACCACCTTTCACACACAACTTTGTCACACCCTGTCTTTCACACACAACTTACACACACACACACTAGACAAGAATGGATCATTATATGATCCGGCAGGAACTGAATCCTGAAACATGCAAATCTGATCCTGAATAGTTTCCACGTCCACGATCTTCAGCAAAATATTCCAAATACATCGGCGACATAGTCGGCGAAATAATCCAAATAATCGAAAATACAATCGGCGAAAAAATCCCAAAAATCGAAAATACAATCGGCGACATGATCTCGGCGAAAATACTGAGGAAGGTTCTGATGCATCCAAAACAGATTGTGGCGACCGTGAAGAAATAAAACTATAGTGTTTGGGGTTCTGAGCTTGGCCCCTTGCTATGTCAGAAAATGCAGGTACGTCATCCTGGCGTCCCAGAATGATTTCACACTTCTCAACAGGCGTCTTCGTTGGCCTGAGTCCTGTTGAGAAGCCTCAGGCCCCCTGCATTAGGTTTAAAAAGGGAGAGGACAGAAGGAAGAAAAAGAGAGAAGTTTTACATCTATTCAGATGTTACACACACACACACCCGGCCAGAGCCGGGTCAACCCTGAAAGGCAAGAGGAAGAAAAAAGCGGACACACGAAGGGCAGAAGGCCAAAAACAGCGCAGGGGGGGGAGGGGAACAGACGGACCTCCGGAACCAACCTACACGGCGAAACGGACCTGACCAAAACAGCGCACACACCTAAACCCCACGACACATTACGGAGAGGCACGCGGGGAAATTAGGGACCAAATGGGGGACTAGTTGATGACAGACAGGAAAACCAAAACAATTAATTAAAAACAGGATTCAGTTCCTAAACCTAAAGGTCGTGCGTTGTGCCAATCCAGGCCCGTGTTCAAGTCAGCCACAAGGGCATATAACGGCTTTCAAGTTCCAGCGAATTAGGTGCACGATATGTTTCACCTCACCAGATAACCATCAAAAGAAAGAGGACCACACCTGGAAGTCGTGTGCCTGCCTGGTTCCTTTGTCATGGCATGATGCTGTGTCGCTGTGACATTGCTGCAAAAAAGGAGGTTTCTGAATGTTCAGCACGGCTTCACAGTCACAGAGGTGTATTCCACGAGGTTTCACAAGGGACCGCAGGATCAGCGGGACACTCAGAAAGCGGTGCAAAACGGAAAGGCCAGCTGTTGCACTTTACTTAAACGAATTACCAACTTAAAATGTGTTAATTCGGCAGTCAGGACAGTCATCACTCACCCTAAAGAGGGTTGCCTCAAATGGCTCCATGGCACCATGTCGGAGCCACCATGGAAATCACACTAGACAAGAATGGATCATTATATGATCCGGCAGGAACTGAATCCTGAAACATGCAAATCTGATCCTGAATAGTTTCCACGTCCACGATCTTCAGCAAAATATTCCAAATACATCGGCGACATAGTCGGCGAAATAATCCAAATAATCGAAAATACAATCGGCGAAAAAATCCAAATAATCGAAAATACAATCGGCGACATGATCTCGGCGAAAATACTGAGGAAGGTTCTGATGCATCCAAAACAGATTGTGGCAACCGTGAAGAAATAAAACTATAGTGTTTGGGGTTCTGAGCTTGGCCCCTTGCTATGTCAGAAAATGCAGGTACGTCATCCTGGCGTCCCAGAATGATTTCACACTTCTCAACAGGCGTCTTCGTTGGCCTGAGTCCTGTTGAGAAGCCTCAGGCCCCCTGCATTAGGTTTAAAAAGGGAGAGGACAGAAGGAAGAAAAAGAGAGAAGTTTTACATCTATTCAGATGTTACACACACACTTACTATCTTTCACACACAACTTTGTCACACACAATCTTTCACACACAACTTTGTCACAATCTTTCACACACCATCTTTCACACACAACTTTGTCACACACCATCTTTCACACCACTTTGTCACACACCATCTTTCACACCATCTTTCACACACACCATCTTTCACACACAATCTTTCACACACAACTTTGTCACGCACCACTTTCACCACACCATCTTTGACACACCGTCTTTGACACACCATCTTTCACACCACTTTGTCACGCACCACTTTGTCACAATCTTTCACACACCATCTTTCACACACAACTTTGTCACACACCATCTTTCACCACACCATCTTTGTCACACACCATCTTTCACCACACCATCTTTCACCCATACAACTTTGTCACACACCATCTTTTCTCCACCTCCTCCTTTGTCTTTCCTTCCTTCCCCGTCCCCGCTACAACATTTGTTGCTCATTATTGGAAAAAGTTGACTTGTGGGGTTATCCGGTCCTTTTATTTTTAGCTCAAATTAACTCATGGGCATTTGGTATACTCGTTTTTTGGTCAAGTGATGCCACTCACATTTTGGTAACCTGTGAGGATCATCAAAGTATCCATGGTCAACAACTCCCAAGGAGAAGAGAAAGAAAATCTTACTAACTGTTCCTAGAGTGATGAATTTAAGTTTTTTTCTGAATCCAAAATGGGGGGATTGCCAAAGGGAGGTGTCCTGGTCATCCAAGATATCCAAGTTGTGGATGACCATCTTAGTATTGAAACCTATGGTGACTTGGGGATCTCCCATACATGATTTATATTATATATACTGTATATCCCATGTCAATTCTAGATAGATTGTCCCAATTTGTCCCATATTATCCCAAAATGTTAATGTTAATCATTAAAATATCATTAATATCTATGATATCTGGATAACTGATCATTAATGTGTCATATCCCATTTCATAATGTTATCCTAGAAAATCTCCGGGTGCCATGTTTTTTTTAGTACGTGTTGCCCATCTCTAGTTCGCCAAGACGCTTCCAGATGTGCAGGGCTTGCGCATCATCGGCCGGAAGGAAGTCACACGAGCCCAGCCTCATCCCAATCGGAAAGGCCAATCGATTCCACAGAAACCACCAGGGATACCATCTGGTTATTTAACATAGCTATATATAGCTATGGAAAATGCCTTATAAATATAAATGAAGGTTTATAGCTGGGAAAATCATCCGTAAATGGGCCATGTTCCATAGATCTGGGTAAATTATAATGTTTCACTAGCCTGAATGGTTGGGCCGTAAAAGGGGATGATTTCCCGAATCCAATTCCCATGATTCCAGTGAGGACAGTGAGGTCGTTACCCAGATGTACGCTTCGACCAACCGCTGCTTGACCGGCTTTCTCTCAGCACAACAGCTGTACGCATTGGGCAACATGCCAACGGGTCGACTCATGGACACAACGGTGGCCATGGGACGGGAAGAGCCCAGTGATGGGCTCGCTCCATTGTTGGTAAACTGGGTTGATTCAGATGAATTGCAATGCATTGCTATGATCTGGCGTGCCTTAGCATGACATGCCAATCAGTGGTTGATCACCAGTTCACATTTGTGAATAGGGGAACTGACGATGGTGACTAACTACAAACCCATTGCACAAGACCTTGGGTGATCCTGGTCATTTGCGCCCATAGTTTGGGCTATGCTGGGATGTCAATTAAACAATGTCTGTGAGAACCCAATAGTAAGCATACCATTTGAATTTGGGGATGATGGTTACCACGTATATATTTATTGTCATTTTTTGGGCATGATTTACTATTGGGTTTACCACATTAAAATTTTATCCAATCTTGACATGATCAATTAATTGACGTGTCGGCATTTTTCAAGGAGATTCAAGCAGGAAAGCCAGCCAGAACCTTTGTGCCATCCAGCCAGAACCAGCAGGTCACACCATCGCAGCAAGTCATCACAGCATGGACGCAATGATGTCGTCAGGTACGTCTCGCCTTTGAGAACCTGCAACGGCGATTTACGCACCGCAACGAGCCACCCGCTCAGCATAGATTAGTCATGATTAGTCAGTCAGGATCATCAGGATCATCCTCCCATTGAAAATACTGCAAAAGATAGACAAGTAAATCATGACTATATTACTATATGCTATTTACTTGTCTATGCTATTACTATATGCTATTTACTCTATTATTATATGCTATAACTATATACTGATATGCTCATGGGAGAAAAAACTTGTCTATCTTTTTGGAGATGACTTCAATGCTGAAAAAAATAACGCAGCACGACTTGAGATATGCCTCCCAAAAAAGGGGTCATCTGTGTGGGACTACCCGGATTCGTATGCGTTCCGTGTTGAATTTTGGAGCTGTGAAATATATATGTACTGTACGTATGCGTATGTGTGAAAATGAGGTATACCTCCCAACAATTTCTATGTTATGTTAATGATGATTAACCAGCGCATCGAGGGGTTCGAGGCTTTTCAAATAAAGGTAGCCACAAGGCATTTTGTCAAGGGTTATTTATCCTCCTGCCGCATGATTGGTCACGTGGGAAGTCGTGGATGATCCCCCAGTTGTCACCATGAAATCGGCTCGCGTACGCCGTACTAGTTGTCTTTAACAGGGTTTGTCTGAAAAAAAGGTACACCATGGATACACCATCCCAATTCCAATGGATTAGAACCTCATGTCCCCTATTATTCAATAGTTATTTTCGGGTAATCCCTTCCCCCTATTTTTAAGCGCCAAGAAACCATGGTTTCGTAGAACAAAAAACACATTCCATTGGAACCGTTTGGATTTAGCATGATTTCGCTGGTGTTTAATTAGGGGGATGGGATTCATCCCCCGCCCATCTCGGCATCGCCTTCCATACTTCCAGCACAGCGATGTCCTGCGAATGCTGACACCAGAAGCCGCGAAACCCCTTGTCGTGCCTTCAACTTCGATTGGAACAACTTAATGCATCTGTGGGTTTTTCCGGGTTTTTTCTGTAATTCATGGATACACCATTATACAAGCAACGCTTCGTGGCTACTAATTTCTTGAACAATCGGCTTCAACGGTGTCCTTTGTCGGCCTCTTCCTGCCAATATCCCAACTCTTCTTGGGACACGCGCCGGCCTCAAGACGTGTTGGATGATGACATTTTAAAAAATATATGGCTGCCTAGAGAGATACATTAAATATTTATACATATATTAATATATATATATACATATATATATATATTCCCATATTATCCCATGTTGTCCCATGTTGTCCCATATTGTCCCTCATCGCTGTTGTTCCGTATCAAACCTGGTCACTATTGTATCTATCAACATCTCTGAACAATTTAGTTACAATTTCATAAAATTCCATTAAATTCCAAGTCACAGACATTATTTCCCAAATCCCAAATTGCAATGAAATCTTCCCCAAAAAGAAAAACATCTGCAAAAAAAATCATGCAAATCTCTTGAAATCCCCCAACTTTCCCATTACCATAGTTTTTACCAATGTTTCTAACCATAGTTCTCCCATTTTTCCCCTAGTTTTCCCACCTCGATCCGCATGTCTTACCGTCTCCTCCACGCCCTCCACCCGGAGCCCCGCCGCGCGCAACTGCGCGCGCAGCGCGGCGGAGGCGGCCGCGGAGGCGGCCGCGTCCGCACCGTCACCGCCGTTGAGGCGGTCGCAGAGGTGGAGAAGGCGATCCCGGAGCCATCTGGGGGAATTTGTTACAAAAATGGTTGGAGTTGATGGGAATTTTATGGAAATTTCTGGTGATTTTTTATGGTGGTTTTGATGATGTTGGTGATTTGATCGGGATTTTTGGATGGGATGAGATTTGTATCAGGGATTGAACCACCAAACATAGTAGTCTTATGGAATTTAACAAGTTCATCCAAAAAGGTGAAGAATGTTGAAAGCATCCATTTGATGAGGATACAACCGGATAGTGGGCATTTTGAGGCTTCAACCAACAAAAATGGGAGAATTAAATATAATTGAAGAAAACATATGATTTATGGCTAAGTTGGTAAACATAACAAGGTTAGCTGGTGGGTTTATGGTTCTATTCTTACGAACCAACTTAGCTATGGGGCACCACCTCAAGGGGGGCCCTCGAATGACACCGCCGCCCGAAGCACTGTCCGTTCCTAAACTGAAATTTTAGCACTTTCAACCCAGGAAATGATGTTTATTTGGTGGCACACATGAGAAATAACACTTGAAAACACATGTGTATCTATAGAATAAAGTCGCAACACGTCAACAGGCGGCTCACAGCCCGACGATGATGACCCACTACTCCAAGCACGCAACAGATGATCTGGTCGTTACAGGCGTATTTAGAACAAATTGTCGTTGATATGTCATGATGACTGCCCTTCCAGTTGATAATAGTGCTGACAACAACTATTCAACTAGGATCTATAACAAATTGTGTTAATGCTCCCACGGGTTATTCCTGTTCGTGTTGACAACAACTGGAGTTGACCAACTAACCCCAGTACCCAATGAGGGCGTGACAAAGTTAAAACCGCCCTTTTGATGAATCCCGGCTCAAGATTCTTTATACCATCATGTTGCTTAAATGCGGTATATGTAGATTGCTTAACTGCCAACTTAGCATGGTACCTGGATGAATAGATATAGATGATGATTATAGATATATAGAATTAGCATGGTACTGAACCTGTTATATGTAGATTTGTTCTTTAATTCATGATGGTACCTGGATGAATCTCGACCAGCTGCTGCCCAGGACAATCGCTCAATGGCTTCATCAGTGGTGCAGGACTTAGGACCTGGACCATGGCCATGGCCATGGGTTGGGTGTTTTTTTTGCCCGGCAAAATATAGAATTCATGTGGATTCGAACCATACAAACATGGGTTTTATATGGTGTCATATGGTTTTATCATCCAGCGCGGGAGATCGTAGCCAGCTGGAGTTTTATCTTAGCCATCAGTATGGGGATACTGAAGCCGACAGACTCTGACAGAGAGAGGGATTGGATCACAAGCAAAACTCCGGAAGATACACCCAGCATCTGCCGGAAGATATTGAATTCTTGGAGGGGAATAGATCGGAGTTTGGGAGTATGATCAACAGTTGATCAACATCAATGGAACTGTATACTGTATATATGTATATCAACATAACATAGTGGACATAGCCACTTCCGGACATGTTCTCCTATTGAAATCTCTGGTGCCTAGAATCCCTGCTTGTTGGACAGCCGATGGCATCATATCAGTCTGACATAACCACTTGTGATTGGTTTGACACAATAAATAATGAAACAAAAACTAATCCCCATAATCATAGTGTATGTAATATATGTGCACTGTTCTACATGATCCCGTAATAGTAATAACAGTTCTGCTACTAACCATAATATCTGTATAAAATATTTTAGAATAACATGTTTTTCTATAGATCCCCATGTTTTCTTGCTTAGTCTTAGTACATATATAATGGTTAGTAAACCACCATATTGTTTCCATATATCACAATGTGTTTTCTATACAGTAAATCACCTCTCTGACATCGCACAAGTCCCTGTGCCAGAAAGACAGCCAACCAGATTGTGTGAGTCTCCAATCCCCATACAGTAAATCACCACATCGATAAAACAGCAGTTTTTTTCCATACCCTCTGGTAATTTATTTAACAGTTTGCTATTGAAAATGGCCGATAGAAATAGTTGGTTTACCGTTTTTAAAGCTGATGATTTTCCAGTTCGCTATGTTAGTTTACCAGAGGATTTAACAAACACGGGTGGGTGGTTTTAACCATCTTGAAAAATATGAAAGTCAATTGGGAAGGATTATCCCATATATTCTGGAAATAAAACACAATATTTGTTTTCCATAAATCCCTTTGTTTTTTAGTAAGGCTTCGTATGTTAATCTCCCCAGCGCCTTCACCCGCAGCATGGTCTCCACGGGCCACAGCTGCTGCAGAATGGCGTCCGGCAGATACGTCAGCGCCGTGAACGCCCGGTCCGGACGCGCCAGGACCTAGGGGATGTTCACCAAGGTAGACACACATATGTATAAAGATGTGTATATGTATATATATATATATGCATTTTAGCATATTGTACATATATATATATATGTGTGTGTGTGCATATTGTGGATATATCTATCGTATTATTTGTATACATGTAGTAGGATGTAGTAAATTGTGATTCATATTATATGACAGATTATGATAGATTGATTATGTATAGTCAATATATTGTAATATAGATGACATTGGATTTATGTTTTATGGTAAAACGTTTTGTGTAGTGGATTTATCAAGTTCTGTGTATCTATGCATATATACAATTATATACATATATATGCAGAATATTGAATAATAAGTTTATTGGTATGCATGCATGTATGTACACTTGTCGGTATTGACGTGGGATAAAACAAATGGGTATCGCTTGTCTGAAAAAGTTCTTACCTAGTTGATGCTGTCCTGAGCAGTGGCTAATCATGGTTCGTCGATGCCTGTGGTCCTTGACGTAGACGATTCATGAGCAACCCAAATATCCATAAATATCCAACAAAAGCCACAACTTGTGCCAAAACATACCAGGACAAAATCCATCAATTACCATGTTTCATAGGAAAATCATCATAGATCATCTATGAATTGGCCATGTTACAGATATGTTAAATAACCAGAGGGTAGTTCAACATAGTTCGCCCAGATGCTATAAAAATCCCACGAAAACCATTGGATCCCAGCTATAAACCTCCATTAAACCATATTGAACCCATTCTAAACAATGATGATCATGACCCATAACTAACCATTATTCTCCCATTACTATCCATATAGACCATATGTCTGGGTAAAGTGTAATAATTCCCTAACCTAAAATGTCCAGCCAGGTATGGGGATGATTCCCCTTAATTACCAACCATGATTCCAGTGAGGGAGGACAGTGAGGTCGTTATAATCCAACGTCGCTAAATCACCATATGTTCGAGAAATTACATGTTCTTAGTACGCGCCGTGCACATGAGGGACCGTGTTTTTTTGGATGCGTCAGATTGAATCATGAATGTCCAAGTAGCATCAAGTTACATGCATCGAATGTGATTAGGCCCCCCCCCCACCCCCATGTGTCTTGGAAAGCTCCGTGAGGTGCAAGGTACCTTTTAGTAACACTTAGTATCTATCCCCCAGCATCTATCTGGGTAAATTATCATATTTCACGAACCTGAATCTTGCGGCCATAAAAGGGGATCATTTCCCTTACTAACTATGATTATAGTGAGGGAGAACAGTGAGGTTGTTATAATTTACCCAGCATCTATACACCCTAAGTTCGAGTCAAAAAACCACCACTTCGAGGCCGCACTGGCCATCCAAGGGCTTGGCATTTCCCAAGCCTGGCAATGAATCTATGGTGGATCCACAGGGATAGTGGCTTTCAGAATCAAACAAATGTTGGTTGTATGTGATTTAATCCAACAAAATTTTAGTTTTAACAGATTTAATCCACAAAAATGGTGATGAATGGTGATCTAACCATCAAAATAGAGATCTGACCAACCAACAAATATGTCATGAGTTCATGGGTATATGATGGTTTAAAATATAATGGGATGTATATGTAAGATTATGTAAACAGCTTATTACCCGCAATTATGATTTTCAGATTCAAGATGAACATTTTGCAGTTGATTCCCAGACGGTGTCCTAAAATAACTCCAAACCTTGCCTCATGCAAATGGAACCAATTGGTGGATTTCCTATCCAAAACTTGGGTTCCACCCGAATAAATTGGCTGAAATCACCGCTTCTCAAACTTGGATTTGCATTTTTGAGGACCACGGAAATGTATATATATATGCATGTATAATTACGTATATATTTATAAATAGTATTCCGCATAGATCCCAATAGATTCTTCAATCATTGCTGGATTTACCAAAGTCCCCACCCCCGCGTAACGCACCTGGCAGCCAGCCACGTTTCGACTGCAGCAGCACTGCCACATTCCCCGACGAAAAGCTGCTGAGTTGGAAACGGATCGACGAGGCGCCGGCCTCCCACGTGAGGCCTGTGGTGTAGCCTGTGACCTGGGCGCGAAGGATGGAACAGATGGCAACCATATTGTCTTATCTATACATGCACATGCGCATACCATGTATGTATGCAAACGCAAGTATGTGAATGTAAATATATATATATATACATACATATCTGTATGTATACATATATATATATATGTATATATATATATATGTACATATATGTACATATATGTACATATATGTACATATATGTACATATGATTACATATGTACATATGTAAGTTTCAGTCCGAGTTGTATGTGTATATATGTGAAAACTTTGTGTATTATAGTGTATATATATATATATATACATTGCACTTATGTAGTTTATGTAAATATATTTATTGAATAACAATTCATGTTTTTTGTATTTTATCATATATTAAGTTATATATTGTATATCTTGTTATGTTTTATTAAATTATACTATATTGTATCAAAATATTTTATAGTATACTGTACTTTGTGATATGATATTATATTATATATCATATAATATATTATATATTATATATTATATATTATATATTATATATTATATATTATATAATATGTATTATATTATATTAAATTATATTATATTAAATTAAATTATATTAAATTATATTTTATATCAAACATTATATTATATATTATATTATTGTATATTGTATATTATATATTATATATTATATATTATATATTATATACTATTTAATATATATTCTATATTATATATCATATATTATATATTAGATATTATATATTATATATTATTTATTATATATTATAAATGATATTTTATATTTTATATTTTATATTTTATATATTGTATATATATATATTATATTATATATTATATAATATATATTATATATAATATATTATATATTATATATTATATTTTATATTTTATATATTATATATTATATATTATCTATTATATATATCATATGTTATATATTATATATTATATTATATATATACCATTTATTATATATTATATCATATTTTATTTTATTTTATTATATTTTATTTTGAATATTATATATTATTTTGACTATTATATTATATATTATACGAACGACGAACGGCATATATTATTAACTATATATCTATTTATTAAATCAACTAAATATATATATGTATTAAATTGCAAATATTAAATTCCATATATTACAATATATATATATAAACAAAATATATGATTTATAAAATATATAAAATATTGTAAATACATATGATATATATATAAAAAAAAAAAACAATATGAAATATATATGAAAAAATAATATATGTTAATCAGTATTAAAATTGAAATGTATTATATTATAATGCTGAATTACATTTTTATATATTATCTATTATAAATATATTATAGTATATTTCAAAAAAACATATTATACATCATAAAGAAACAAAAAAGTGATATATTATATACAATAATAAATCATGTTATCTGTAAGAAATATTATATAACTCAAAAATATATAAGTATATTGTGTATTGTAAAAAATATTTGTTATATTGTATATTAAATATTAAATATTTTTTATATTAGATATGATATATTATATATAATATATTATATATGTCTATTATATCATGTATGGTATATATATGATATATTGTATGTTCAAAATATTTTACTGTATTATATATATGTATATCACTGCCTCAGGGGAACCCAAGAATGTAATTTGCATCGTTACGCTAAAATCTAGGTATACCTCCAGCAAGGTCACATAGTCATGGCGCGAATCCTGAAATGCAAAGGCACTGCTGCTGGGTTGCCAAACCTTGCAGATTTATCAACCTTCCCTCACTTGAAATCCCCCAGTGCGGAGCATTCTATCGTTAACCCAAACATTTCCCCTGTCAACTCTTCATTTCTTATTAGCTATATGTCGTTGCCAAATTCCGATTTTTTTGAATTCGCAGTTTTATCGGTGGATCCTCATTTCTGCTCCTTAAATCACTTTTTCTGTTAAACCATGTTCGCTGCAACCCTGACGTTGCGCCGCGTCTGACCTCAGGCGGCTATGAAGATAAAGTTGATGCTATTACCCCAATCAACATATTGTTCATAGGGGGTGGCGAATTTTGATCCCTTATGAAGATAAAATTGATATTATTGTCCCAATCAACATATTGTTCATAGGGGGTGGCGAATTTTGATCCCTTATGAAGCTAAAGTTGTTGTTATTACCCCAATCAACATATTGTTCATAGGCTAATAGGGGTGGCGAATTTTGATCCCTCATGGAAATATAGTTGATGTTCTTACCCCAATCAAAATATTGTTCAGAGGGGGTGGCGAATTTTGACCCCTCATGAAGATAAAGTTGATATTATTACAGTACCACAGTCAACCTATTGTTCAGGGGCGGTGGCGAATTTTTATGTGACGATGATCATGATGTGATGATGTGATGTGATGATGATGATGATGATGATGACGACGATTGTAAGTGTGGAGCAACGTCCGGGCTGGGGCGATCATGTTAAATCCCGCCAAGTTTTTGTTGGTCTATCAAGCGGTAAAACATGATAAAACCTATATGTCCGTTGCTTCACTCCGGGTTCCAAGCAGTCACCAAGCCACCCGCGCAGTGCTTTCCGTTGCTACCTCGGTCGCAAGCATCTTCGCAGCTGCCGAAATAGAGAGGGACAAGGGGAAGACCGCGGAGGCTCTGCCTTGGTCGGATCACAACTTGGGACAGATCTTACGATGATTGTGTATAATGACGAAGACGATGACGGTGATGATTATTATGATGCTGATGATGATGATGATGGTGATGGTGATGGCCGGCAAAGTAAGACCTTGAGGGACTGGCGATGGGACACTCCAATCTTCATGGGGAAATGTGGTTTTCGGAAGATTCTGGTCTAGAAATCTGAGATGAGGCTGAGAGTTTCAAACTACGGCTCTGGGTCAAAAAATGTAAAAGGGTCAGGCCCACAAACCACGGATTTCGATGGCCTTGAGTATAAAATGACTTGATCCAGAGCATCCGGTGACCTGAAAAGACGAGCTTCCATAGGTGCACGGCACCATGTTTACCTCGCTGGGCTCGCTGGTGGCTTCCGCTGCAGGCGTCATGGAGAAGGCTGACCAGCAACCAGTGAAACAGCTCATGTGACGACCATGGCGGCCGCGATGGCTAGAAACTGCTCATGTCATGGAGAAACGACCATGGAAAGCTATGGAAAGCTTAGGTGGGTGGTCATGTCACCTCTTTGAACACTTGGTACTGACAAGACGGCAAGTAAAACTCGGGGTGCACGACAAAACTAGGGAAGGGCGTGTGGTCAGCACATGCTGTAAATCTTAGTGGTCATCTTGGATTTGGATCTACACTCTCTGGTAAACTAACATAAGTCATAAGTATGGAAAATCACCATTTTCAATGGAAAAAAAACACTATAAATGGTCATGTTCAATAGCTATGTTAAATTACCAGAGGGTATTTGGTAGTACAGTAAATGAGACTTGCCACAAGTACGAAACTTGTCTTGTAATCCCCGCTAGGAAAGGGTGCATCGCATGCCAAGTTGATATCATGCTAAGCCAAAGCTCAAAGCCTCGACAAAATCCGTCTGGTGCTGAAACATGGCAACACCATCAGCTACAGTCGGGGGATTTCACCCGGGTAAGTCTCCTAACTGGTTAGTAACCCTGGTTATATATACTTGTTTAGTCATCCGACTTAGGAACTGGTTAGTAACTGGTTAACTGCTTGGAGGATCACCCATTTCTAGATGGGATAACCCACTTTTTCGGAGGGGACTTGCGAGAAAACCAGGGTTACTAGCCTTTAAAACAATCAAACATGGCGAAAATCTTCCGTTTATGGATTGTTTTCCCATCACAACTTGAAAATCGAGAAAATCACTCCATATCTTCCCACGACTATTTCCCATTCAAACCTCCACCGCCCCATCATATTCCCATGAAATCCACCATTTTATGGATGGTTATGGGTCAAAACCCTGGTGCCCTACCCTAGAATAAAATAGATGGTTACTGGATGTTGCTGGGTGACGATTCCCCCAGTCATATGGTTTTGACCATTTTTCACCTATCCCCAGATGAAATCCTCCACTGAGTCCAGAAGCTCTCGTTTCGGTGCAGAAGCACCGGTCCAGCGCATCTGTGATGCGGCGTGGACAGTCATCATGGCCACCACCTGAGCGGCCGTGGTACACCATAAAAAATGATGGGTTTAACCATGAAAAAGGTTGGTTTTAAGGGAATTAACCATGATTTAACCCTGAAAGAAATGTGGTTTCGATGGGATTTAAGCATGAGAAATGGTGATGTCTAGAGCGTTTGCAAACTGATCAAACTGAACATGGGCATCTTAGCATATTTCAAGCCAAGAATGGACAGTTTCCCAACTGGAGACTGGAAATGGTCATATTCAGTGATATATTCCCTAGTTCACCAACTCAAAGTTTCCATTCACAAAAATGAAAACCAGCAATTCTAGCGAAAAGTCCACTGATTGTGGGTCAATGTTTATCGTCTTTCATCCTTACAGGGAAGTGACTATCGCTGTCGGAACTTTGGGACAACGGCTCGCACAAGTTTATCTCCAACAGCGTCTCGCGTCTCTATTAGGACACAACTTTAGTTTTGAAAAACCGGAACAACAAGTTCTGGGTCCAAATATGTCTCTCGCAACAGCATCAACAGCTTTCCAGATTTTTCCGATTCAGATGGGATTGTTCCATGCTTTTTATTCACATGCCAAAACCCAAGGGATCACATAGCCGAGAAGCTCCGTTCACATCTTCCAACTTCAATTCTCGGATGTCAAACCTCGCCAAGGTATGCAGGGGACCATGCCTGACAGACCTAGTCTAAACATACTTTCACTATGGTTAAGCGCAAACAAGAAACAGAAATAACATGGGTCTTTCTTAAGCAATAAACACATATGTTTCTTGACCAGCAATGTGGATTTAAGCAGCGTGCAAAATACGGGGAATCTACCCTTTACCAGTTAGTTTAGCGATAATCTCAAGGCCAGAGTGATAAACCCCTGTAGCAACTAGCAACTAAAACGAATGGTGTTTGCAGTTTCTTCATGAACATCTTGTTAAAACAATGATTGGCATTTGTTTGACAAATCAGAGGGACCCACCCCCGAAAAGTGATTTCATCTGCTCTTAACAGTCCAATACATACCCCCCAATCACCGCAAGTGGGGGATGGCAATCCCGTTTGACCAATTTTACCGGTCCTTTCTTGGATTTGCTTCAGCGGGAAGAGCCAATCTTCCCAGGCGATTCACTGGTGAAGCCCAATAACAAAAAACAAAAACAAACCAGAAACCTGCGGTGGGTTGCGAAATCCTGCACCACCAAAAGGTTGGTTGAAACATGTTGAAACCCTATAAATAATGATAAATCATTGGATGTTGACCACCTATCATCTGTCCATCAACCCCATGAGACCGCCAGCATGCCACGATCTTCATTGATGAAATTCCGATGTTCGGACAGATCAACCACCATTCCAGGAGGTACCAGGTGTTGCCAATTGTTCATGGCTTAAATCCCATGGAAATCCCCATCAAACCACAACTTTTCATGATGAATTCCCAATGTTTCAGGGTAAAACCACCATTTTTCATGCTGAAAAACCCCATGAAACCAGGCCGCTGGTCCGACTTTGCCAGGTTTTTTGTGGTGCCGAAGTGAGCACCTAAAGCCCGGCCCGGCTGATGGAGAAAAATTCTGGGTGACCATGAAAAATGGAGAATTCACCATGGAAAATGGTGGTTTTTATGGGATTTAACCTGATTTAACCAGGAAAAGTCAGGGTTTCACCAGCCATTGATGGGTTACCCTGCGGTTTTTCATGAAATGGAGTCATAGAAACAAACCACCATATTTGGGAAAACATAGGCGTTGCATGGCGTTGCCATATCTTTTTCTATGTCTGCTGGAGGGTACATGCCAAACCGGCATTGATCAACCAGTGGAGTTCAGGGCCGCCCCCTTGTCAGACAAATCCATACCGCTAGATGTTTGGGCTCAGCTCAAAAATCAAAGTTGGTGGTACCCTCTGGCAATTTAACATAGCTATTGAAAATGACCATAGAAATACTGGATTTACCCATTGAAAATTTGATTTTCCATCGTTTTTTGTATGTTTACCAGAGGGTAATTCGCAGCCAAGGAGGAAATTTTCCAAGGCCGGTCAAACTATGCCTCGAAACCAACCCCATTTTCCCTATGGGATCAGCTGAATCCCCATGGCGTTTCCTACAGGAATTTCGTACGGCCTGTCTAGGAATCATAATGGGCCATTCCCTATCTATACATCCATTGTTATCCATTTGTAGATGCGATTTTCCGAAGATTTACCAGCCATATTTGCGTTCCTTAAAGGGTATCCCGCAAAGCCTATAGTTAGAACATAATGTTCCGATGCGAAATTGTGTGTTCCAAGGGACTTGTCCAACAGACACCTGGACCCTGAAAAGACTGATTTCGGCTCAGGTGCACAAATGGTTTCCTGCAAGGTCTGCCACCGTCAGGCCTGGCTCGATGTATGTGTGTATATATATAGAATCATATTCATACACATAAGTGACTAAATATCAATATCAAGTCGTATCGTATCATATCGTGTAATCTACTATCAAATATAGAATATGTCCGACATATATGTATGTATGAATATAATATGTATATATATATATACATATATATATAGTCTAGACATATATGCATATATGATATGATAGATAGACGCATACTGCATATATAAATATATACACATTGTAATGTGGCGTTTCTGAGTTTCACTGATCATCCAAGTACTTTGAGTGGGAATTCATCGTAAGTAGGTTACCTCTCAATATTCTAGCATGACGATGACAATTCAACTGTATAGTGTATAACAACCCACAAAAAGATAGAACAGGTAGACATACAAATCAAATTGCCGTTATTTGAGTAAGATTTGACCTTTCTATCTTTTTGCGGTTGCTAAAAGTGATATACTTGCTGAGGCACTGGAAACCCTGTTGGTCAACAACACCAGCTTCAAAAAAATAGCACATCTGAACAATGCGCGCTGGGGATCTTCCAAAAAAAACCGATGTCCCACGGCCAGCTTGATACTGAGGGCAGATGATTGTTACACAACATGAAAGAATTGTGACGGCAATACCATCTGATCCTGTATGATTCTTCACACCCCTACACATGAAATTTGGACAAATTTGGTATATCAGACCCCATCACCCATAAATTCATATAAATTCCCATGAAATTCGCATTAAATCCCCATGAAGTTGATGGTTAAATCCTGATGCAATCCCCACGAACTCCCCACGAGTTTCCCTCTTCCAACATTTCCCAGCTGAGTTGGGCACGTACATCTGCCTGCACTCCGGCGTCTAAGACCAGAAATGCCTGAAGCGTTTCTGGGATGTTCTGGGCAAGTTGAGTATATCAAACGTGATAGTTAAGTCATCGGAATAGTGATTGACAATAGCAATAAGAACAATAGTAGCACGAATAGTCAGAAGACAACAAAGACTATTCAAATCTAGTTAATAATGATGATAATAGTGGTAGTAAATAAATGATATCGTATGAGAGATAGATCCTATTTGGGGCGTTTCTCCCACCTGAAACCTTGACGTGTCCGAGTCCAGCTGTTTGGGCAGATGGCTGGGACAGGATAGCTCAGGGTCACACGCACCAGTCGAGCTGCACACTACCTTGGGACCCCATCAGGTGACCGAATGTCAGTTGGTGTTGTTTGAAAAACAGGTTACCAAAAGCCAGGGGTTGGTGATCATTTTTCCTAGTAAATTCGCCATATCGTGGGGATAAAATCCCCAAATTTTGGACCCCAGTTCTATGTCGCATGCCTTCTGGCCAATGATGGAATCTGCTCCTCCAAACCAAGAAGAATCGTGAAGCTTTGATGGGAAATCTCCTGCAGTTCTGAGTCCCTGGGCCCTTAGGAGTGAAGACCTCCGAGGGTAAATGCGCGGTTTTTCCATTCGCCATGGTGATGTACCAATGGCACACCATACCTGGGAAGTTGAGATCCTGAAAGTTAGGATGGCTACCGCCGTAGGAAACCAAGTCACTTCGCCAGGGCCAGGGATATTTTTGGCCGAAAAAAATCACCAAAAGTAGCTCAAAGATCTTCAAACTTCAATTTTCAATTCCATGGACCAGAAATTTAAGGCCAAAGTTGAGGTTTTCCATAAATAGAGGTACCCCAGTCGTCACCATGATTGTTTCAATACTAACTCATCCATGACGACTGGATGGCCCACCGTCCCACCACACCTTTCTCGCCACCTGTCGGGGGCCCCTTTGGAAAGGCCTCGAACGATCACCACCATGGCACCCAGCCGGTGACGGGAAAGCAACATGCTCTCATTTCATCTCAGGTCGGTATGTTTAACCCAATAAGCAAATGGGAACCACAAGATTCCATACAAGCAGTATAAGAAGTATAAGACTAGAAAAAAAGAACACATTGAAAACAATCCTTTTCCGCAAACTTTCAGCCCAAAACGCAGTAGGCATGTCCCATGTTTGATGCCAAAACTAGGCTTTGAATAGTGCCTAGGTATTGCCAAAAGATTGATTTATTGACTATATAAATCGATTCATAAAACGATTCATCGGCTATGGATTAAATGACAGTTTTCCCTCAAGATTTGGGTATGGGTCAAATTTGGGGTTACAATTGGATGGTGAGGTTCCTCGGGTACCAGTTCATCGTCCACTGGGCCATGCCATGGTTGAATCCATACCCATGTTTGTGGCGCGTTTCAGTCCTCGTTTCTCGGTGAGACCCATGGCAGCCCCATCTTTGTGGGAATAGATATATAGATATATGTACGTATACCAATCTACACATGATATGGAACCCTTTTCTCTTACAAACAGTGATAAATTACCCTCTGGTAAACTAACATGCAACATAACTATGGAAAATCACCATGTTTAGTGGGAAAATCCACTATTTCTATGGTCATTTTCCATAGCTATGTTAGTCATTACCAGAGGGTATGTGGTATAAAATCCAGGGGCGCCGACCATGGTCTCACAGAGCAACACACAGAGCTGCGCGGAGTTGTCATGGCCTTGGAGGCAGAGAGCTGCTGATTTTATACCTTGTCCACCCCGGGACTTGGTCATATACATTATATGTATATAGTTATATATCTATTGATATAGAGATAATTATACGCATAACACATAACCATATATATACATATAGTTACATATACCAGTAGTGCCCGCACGAGGCGGGGCGGAAGTTGCTTCAGGGATATGCTATAAGACCTTTCTCATCTAGAGAACTTGCATGCGCCGTGCGCCAGCCAGGCCCGTGCGTGCGTGCTTTGCGCGAAGCTGTTGCAGTGTTGCTGTCCAAGAACATGACCTGCGCGCGACCCCTCTGCAATGCAACGCCAAGCGAAGACTTTCTTCACACTTCACGCTGCATTCTTCACACCCCGCGCTTCACATTTCACAGTTGCACTTCGCACTCCACACTTCATCTCATCTCAGATCATGTGGGCTCTTCTCACCTCATCTCAGCTCTTCTCATCTCATTCCATCTCTTCTCACATGTCATCTAAGTAAGTTCTTCTCAACTGTTTTCGTCTCATCCGAGCACTGATCAACCTTTCTCATCTCCTCGAAGTTCGTCTCAACTCATCTCAGCTGTTCTGCACGCCAGAAATCTCTTACTGTCAGAGAGAAGTCTCTTGCACAAAAAGAACGATTGGGCGCAGAAACTTTTGCACACAGAAGCTTGAGACACAGATGCATTTAAACAGAAAAGCCTTTACAAAATACTTTGTACTACACTACACAAAAGCTTGCACAAAGCACTTCCCCCCAGTACTACTTTGTACTACCAACCTTGCACAAAGCACTTCCCAGTATATACTAATTTGTACTGAGAAGCTTGCTCAAAGCACTACCCAGAACAACTTTGTACTACAAAGCTTTCACAAAGCATGTCCCAGTATATACTATTTTGTACTACAAAGCTTGCACACAGCTCTTCCCAGTACTACTTTGTACTACAAAGCTTGCACAAAGCACGTCCCCGTACTACTTTGCACTACAAGACTTGCACAAAGCACTTCCCAGTACTACTTTGTACTACAAGGCTTGCCCAAAGTGTTTCCCAGTACTACTTTGTACTACAAAGCTTGCACAAAGCACGTTCCAGTGCTACTTTGTTCGACAAAGCGCAAAAAGTACTTCCCAGTACTACTTTGTACTACCAGTAGTACCGCACAAGGCGGTGGCGGAAGTTTCAAAAATAGGAAACCTATAGGAGAGATTGGTTGTTGTGAATCAGGGATGGCAGAGCGAAGCCACTGATGGACTGAAAGGTGCTTGATCTCTCTCACTCTTTCTCTCTCTTTCTCTGACTATCTACCCACCTACCAACCTATCTTCTATGTATCTATCTATCTATCGATCTATCGATCTATCTATCGATCTATCTATCTATCTACCTCTCTATCTATCTATCTGTCTGTCTATCTATCTATCTATCTATCTACCTATCTTCCTACCTACCTACCTATAGGTTTCCTATTTTTGAAACTTCAGTAATGTTTGAACATAAGAACGTCCAAAACGGAACAATTCTGCGAGGCGTCTTCATTTTTGAACTTGACAACATCCGAAACGAAGCAATTCTGCGAGACGTCCTCATTTTTCGAAGTGCAAGACATCAAAAACGGAGAATTCTGCGAGACTTCCTTCAAAAATGGAAAGTTGAGTGCAGAGCTGACAGACTTGTACCAATGCGTTTTGCGATTTTTCCAGTCCACCTGTCTAAAGTACTGCGCCTGCCACGGAAAATTAATGCCAGGTCATACGAAGTGCTGCACCTGTCACGCAAAATCATCTTAGCAAACCTGCACATCTGATACTCCAAAATGCAACCCCTCTCAGGAAATCAGCGCCCTGACCTCCTAACATCTCTCAAGAACATGTCTTTTGTACTGCGCCTGCCACGAAAATGCATCTTTGCAGATCCTCTTCAAATGTCCCATGCCTGCCATCATTCTTGGAAATGCTACAAAACCCGCACGTTTTTGTCACTTTTGACAAGCTGCACAATCCCTTGCGCCCGACATCTGAACCTCCAAAAATGGTCCGTACATGGTGTGTTTTGTACATTTTGACTTGGAAATGTGCTTCGCGCCACAACGGCGTGCACTTTTTCGACATCTCAACTTCCAAAAGTGGTCCGACAATGGTGTGCTTTGTACATTTTGACTTGGAAATGTGCTTCGCGCCACAACGGCGTGCACTTTTTCGACATCTCAACTTCCAAAAGTGGTCCGAACCCAGGTGTTTTGTACATTTTGACTTGGAAATGTGCTTCGCGCCACAACGGCGTGCAATTTTTCATCTCTCCTCTGGCCAGCTAGCTCCGCACCCGCCGCTTTAGCGAGCCTACTTTTCGACCCTCCGGAGCCCCAAATCATTGGAAAAACACAGTGTTTCGCGACTTTCCTACCTTTTCTCGCATCTGCATCTTCTTTCTTCTTACTCTTTCTCTTCTACTCTTCTTTCTTCTAATCTTTCTCTTCTCTCTGCCTCTTCCCTTCTCTGCTTTTCATCTGTCCATATTGTCGGAAGTTTGACTTCTAAACTTCCTTCGACAAGGCTTGCACAAAGTATTTCCCAGTATCACTTTGTACTACAAAGCTTGCGCAAAGCACGTTCCAGTGCTACTTTGTTCTACAAACCTTGCACAAAGTACTACTTTGCACTACAAAGCTTGCACAAAGCACTTCCCAGTACTACTTTGTACTACAAAGCTTGCACACAGCTCTTCTCAGTACTACTTTGTACTACCAACCTTGCACAAAGCACTTCCCAGTATATACTAATTTGTACTACAAAGCTTGCACAAAGAAAGCTTTTACACACAGCAAGTTCTTTCGCAGAGAAGCTTTTACACACAGCAAGCTTTTTAAACAGATAAGCTTTTACACAGAGAAGCTTTTACCCACAACAAGCTTTTACACAGAGAAGCTTTCACACACAGCAAGCGTTTACACACAGAACACTTTTACACACAGTGCTTTTACACATGGCAAGCGTTTACGCACTCAGAAGCTTTTACACAGAGAAGCTTTTACACACAGAGAAGCTTTTACACACAGCAAGCTTTTACACACAAAATCTTTTACACGCAGCAAGCTTTTACAGAAAAAAAGTTTTTACACGGAGAAGCTTTCTTGTATATAATGACAATAGGAATTGCAGCTCCAAAACCGGATGGATCTTGGCGCCAAACCGAAAAAAAAACGAGAATTTGAAGCACTTTTTAAAAGGAATTTTACAAGGAAAATCACCAGCGCCAAAATTGAAAAATCTACTGACAAATCACTGTCGCAGCCTTGGTGCAGCCACTCCAATACTTTTTACAAGATCCAGCTGCGAAAGACAATAGTATTACGCACGCAGCCGCGGCACGAAGCAACCTTGACGCAGCCGCTACAATGCGATCTGCAGACATTGAATTGCGAAACACAATAGAGCTACGCGCAACGGCGTCGGAAATTGCAGCTCCAAAACCGGATCTCGACGCCAAAGCGCAAAAAAAAATAATTTGAAAACTAGACGACGGATGGCCCGAGAGCGTAGAGGAGCAGAGTCTTCTGTTGTTAGTATGGAGACACTATATTAAAGATGTATTATAGGCAGACGAGAAGAGTAGTATCAAGACAATATATGACTAGTACAAGACAATAGTTTGCATCGTATTTTTGTAAAGTTTTTCATACACAGAACTTTTTACAGACAGACGCTTTTGCACACAGAGACTTTTACACACAGAGACGAGACTTTTACACACAGACGCTTTTACACACAGACGATTTTGCACACAAACACTTTTACACACAAACACTTTTACACACAGAGACTTTTACACACACAGACGCTTTTACACACAGAAGCTTTTACACACAGAAGCTTTTACACACAGACGCTTTTACACACAGACGCTTTTACACACAGACGCTTTGTCTTTTACACACAGACACTTTTACACATAGGCTCTTTTACACACAGACGCTTTTACACACAGGCTTTTACACACAGCCTTTTACACACAGACGCTTTTACACACAGACGCTTTTACACACAGACGCTTTTGCACACACTTTTACACACAGACGCTTTTACACACAGACGCTTTTACACACAGACGCTTTTACACACAGACGCTTTTACACACAGACGCTTTTACACACAGAGCCTTTTACACACAGACGCTTTTACACACAGACGCTTTTACACACAGAGACTTTTACACACAGAGACTTTTACACACAGACGCTTTTACACACAGACGCTTTTACACACAGACGACACACAGACACTTTTACACACAGACGCTTTTACACACAGAGACTTTTACACACACAGACGCTTTTACACACAGAGCCTTTTACACACAGACGCTTTTACACACAGACGCTTTTACACACAGACGCTTTTACACACAGACGCTTTTTACACACAGGCTCTTTCACACACAGAGACTTTTACACACAGAGGCTTTTACCCGCAGAGACTTTTACACACAGACGCTTTTACACACAGACGCTTTTACACACAGACGCTTTTACACACAGACGCTTTTACACACAGACGCTTTTACACACAGAGGCTTTTACACGCAGGCGCTTTTACACACAAAGCTTTTACACACAGACGCTTTACACACAGACCCTTTTACACACAGACGCTTTACACACAGACCCTTTTACATACAGACTCTTTTACACACAGACGCTTTTACACACAGACACTTTTACACACAGACGCTTTTACACACAGACGCTTTTACACACAGACGCTTTTACACACAGACGCTTTTACACACAGACGCTTTTACACACAGACGCTTTTACACACAGACGCTTTTACACACAGACCCTTTTACACACAGACGCTTTTACACACAGACTTTTACACACAGACGCTTTTACACACAGACGCTTTTACACACAGACGCTTTTACACACAGACGCTTTTTACACATCGTTAACAAGTAAACTCGCAATTTTTCCTCAGTTTTTGACGATCGACC